TAAAGCTTCCTGTGATCATCATGCGATCTTGTGTGCAAGAAAGGGCAGATTTTTGTGATACTATTATCAAAGAGTTTTGTAAAAATGGATAGAGATGAAGAATCCTGTGGAGAACCCAGTGAGAGTCTGATGATGAGACCCAAAACCATATTATTATCACCAGGACAGCTGGCATAGGAAATTGTCCTTTCTCGTATGCTTTGTCATCTGGATGCTTGCCACTTGCGGAAGACCCATCAATTATCATCATCCAAGGCGCCAGAACGTTTACCGGGAGCTAGGATGACAGCTCCGCTCTAAAGACATAAATGTCGTTTTAGCCCCATGGTGCGTGCACGGGATGGCAACCTGTGACCAATGAGATCATATTAGTTGTATGTTCGGCCGTCTATTTTTTTAGTCCACATTACCTTTACTCCATCTCACCCTTACACTTTAAAACTTTTACTCAGATCATCACCATGAAGCGTCAGTTCGGAACAAAAATCCAATAAGAAATAGAAATACTATCCCTTAAACCGTCAACCTGGCAAATTTGCCATTATAAATGGGCTTAAAATCCAGCAATTCATGGGCATTGTCTTGAAATTTTATTTCGATGTCGAAATAAATGACCGAAAACTAAACTGTCATGGAGCTATCCTGGCTTCTTTATTTGTGCCAATAAAAAAACTCTTGAAGGCTTTCGCATGACACTAGCATCCTCTTAGGGGGCCCATTGTGTTGTTTATTTATTGACTGGTGTAATAGCAGTGATAATATTCGCCATAGTATCGACTTGAAAGGAGGGCAATCTGAGTTGATTCATTCTACTGCACCATAGAGCTTGCTCGGCAAGACTTGATTTGTCACATCATTTGCTTCCTCGTCTTCTTGATATATCTGGGTTGGTAAACACTGCTAATAGAGTTTGTTGGGCCTGTTGAAACCAGAGGGAACCACAGCAACATATCCTACCCAAGATGATACAAATATCTCTGTTAGAGTGAGTGGTGAACTGTGTGTGATTCAGATGTAATGGACATAAACGGCGAAAGAATGCATCGAAAGGATGTGAGCGGTTATGAGAGCAAGGAAGAAGGGGTTGGTATGCCTGTTCAAGTCCTTGGCAAGAGGGCATGAGTAGCAGTTGTGATCACAAGTTGATTTCGGTGAGTCTGCATAACAATGGTATAGTTTCTAGACCCTATCTTCCACGTACAGCATTGCATTATTGGTGTTTTCAGACCTGGCACCAATCATGCGAGGTATTTCTTTTTCTGAGGATTCCTTGTGTTAAACGGCCAGACAGAAAGCTTAAAAGACATACAGACACAACGGTGAAAAAAAAATGTATGCGAGCAAACAGTTGCTGTGTTTATTTGTTGTCTGCACATGCCTTCTTTCATCGCGGGCTTTTTTTTTTTTAATTGTTTCGCAAATCTTGTTTCCTTTTTTGTTCGTCAATCACTGTGTGCGCGAATAAGCAGCTGAAGCATCTCTTTGGTTTCTGTACATGCATAAACACATTTTACATCGCGGCGTCTTATTTATTTTCTGCAATTCCAAAACACAAAACACAAGCTTTTTCCATTGGTGCCTCCAGAAGAAATAAACAAACTTTATTTTGGCGGCCACTCCACAATCATGCCATGGTTATAACAATCCCTAGGAAAGGATGAAACGCGTCGGTATTGAAGCGGACCCATGCATAGGGTGCCATGATGAGGAGAATGATAGGATCGTGATATCCCAAGACTCTGATTTTTTTGCGTACGAACGAGTCTGCTTCCTAGTGCGACCCCTTCCGCACCGTAGACGGAAGTTTGGGGTTTACGACGTAGACAACGTTATCCAAGCACTAAGACTGCCAACACACGCGCATCTGGTGTTATTCTGTGCCATCGCAGGTAATGACTACTCAAGGAACCTCGAGACGTTAGGCCCGGTTAATAATCTTCGATTAGTTCGAAAGGTTGCGTGGAACGAGAACTATAATAAAATGCTTCATAATTACCTCGGGGAAGCTAATAAGGTGTTGGGAAGGAACGTAGCCTCTGAGGAAGGCCGTTTCAGTGTAGCTCTCCGCATTTTTACTTCCGGCCATCAAACGTCGGCCCAAGCGTTACCATCGAACAATGAGTTCGATAACTTCAAGCAGCGTCTACTCAATGGAAAGGATCTTCGCCATAGAATGGCTCAGCAAAGGCGAGCGCAGCGCCGCAGAACGTAAGAAAGCTCAAGCTATAGTTTTTGGCCTTGAAACCAGACGTCCCCAATACTAATCGTTAGCCCCTTTCTTGAATAATGTAGAGGCGTACCATCATTCTATATAGCGGAAGGGTCACATAGGAACCAGTTCCGGCCCATCTTTTCTGACAAGGCGAGCATATTGAATGGGCGCACAGTTGATATCAGTAACTGCCGTCAGCACGATAGGCCGGGCCTTAAGCATCCACCACGTCGGAGAAAGGCAAAAAAGAAGCAACAGAAAAAACAAAAGCGGAAGCACAAAGGCAAGAAGCCCCACAGGGCTAAAAAAGAAGGTGCACCAATTAGGAACTTGAAGGATGCTACGAAGGTTGATCACAGCTACAGCAGTAAGCACCCTATCAAGGCCTTAACAATTGGGTCCCTTAAGGCCTCCATGGCAAGGAAAGGCGGACTGGACGCAGATGAAAGGGATAGTATTGCAAGCCAGATCCGAGGGGCAGTTGTTGTCCTCAACCGACTACGCCGCTATGCATACTGGGCGATTGCCTTGGACATTGAGAGGATCATGCGGTTACCAGGGGCAGCAAAGTCGAGGAAAAAGGCACTGGACGAGGTCTTGGATAGCAATGATTATTCCTTCCGTCTCGCCACCCTTCTTTTGAGTGGTCAAGGTGGCCCCAATTCAGCTTACGCGAGGGCAAAAAAACAAGGAAAGGCGGTAGAAACGCCCCATCATCACCTCGCTTATGAACATTTCAAGGCCACCACTGAACTTTCCCCAAAAAAGGATATAGACATCACATTGGGGGACGTCCAAGGCTTTGATCCCAAAAAGATCACATTTCCAAGAGCGTCAGACTTACTAATGGGCCAAGTACAGACATCATTAAGGCAGCACTACAGGAACGCAATGGTATAGCTTGTGTAGGGGTATTTTCATGCATATTCTGCAATCAAATGCTCTTTATTCACACCTTTTTTTTTTTTTTTTTTTTTTTTAGTTTGATGTCGAGAAAACAAACGAAGATATGAGCGACATTGAGTTTTTTTTGCGGGAGAACAAAAAAGTGAAAAAATACTCAGAGTTTCCTACGTCCCCCTGGTCACCCGGGTATGTGTATCTGTCTGAACACGCCCTAGTTGACATCCTCTGGGCGAACGAAGATACCAAGCAGCTGCTGGAGCGTATTCTGCCTCTCAATAATGCTTCCAAGACTGCAATGTATGAGTGTGTACAGGGAACAAAAGGGGTTTTGATACAGGCTCTCTTTTGTGACATTGGAGGTGATCGCATGGTTCGTGGATATCAAGACAAAGTATCCCTGCAGTCACAGGACAAAGATCTAACTCGGTTCAAACTCAAAGGAACGATTTCTACCAATGGTCTAGTTCTGAATCTACTTGCCTATGACACAACCCAGACGAAGAGACAGCAGCAGTCTGACGTAGATGAAGAAGACCCCAGCCAAGAACTGGAGCTTTCTCAGGGATTTCTCAACACGACGTGTTCAAAGGCGGCCGGTGAAGACCTAACAGATGAAGACTATGCAAACATAAACTGGAAGCGGAGCTCCAAGCTGCTTGAAAACGTTGAGCTCACATTCAACAAACCAGGGCGATGCCCATCCGCAAACACCATAACTATCGTCGGATGTGATCCTGGTATTGTTAACGCCCTTACGTTTTCCTCGCTGGACCCTCACAACCCTAACTTGCGGCAAACGGTAAAGGTGAGAAGCAGGTTCTTGTACCTCCCTGTCCTCCGCTTCAATCACCTGTTGAACAAAAGGAAGCGTGAAAAAGGAATGATTGAGGTTGAGAGCGCCATCCCTGTGTTTGGAAGGGATACGTATAATGAGTACTTTCAATGGATGAACGAGGAGTCTCAGACACAGACAGGATCAACGAATTTGGATGTGCTTCAAGAGTTCTACGAGTCCAGATGGCACCTGAAAAAAAAATGGGACCTACGAAAGGCTCAACGAGCTACGTTCGACTACGCGGTACAGCGAGTGTTGAAGATGCTTGGGGATAAAGGAGTACTTGTCGTCGGCCTAGGGTCCTTTGAAAGTAGTAAAGGAGTTCCCAGCAAGCACACTGCTATAACGAGACATCTTGTCACACAGGTATGGCTTTTTTTAAAAAAGTAAGCAAAGCTGGAAAGCCATAAAACCCTTGCTAATAAACGACTGCCATTTGAAACGCTTAGGTCAAAGCACGAGGACATTTCGCTGTAGGAGCGCACGAATTTTACACCAGCGCCCGCTGTCCCCGACCCCTCTGCGATAGCTTTTTAGAGACGGTGTACCCTCGCTCTAAATATTGCAGGACATGTAAGGTATTCTTCGACCGTGACGCAGTAGGGGCGGAAAACATCGCAAGAATCGGTCTTGCTCAAATTGAGAGACAAGAAAGACCTGCAAAGTACAAGCCCACGGAAGAGTCGCCTGCTCCGGCTGCAAAGCGCGCACGACGCAAGACACAAGTATTTGGGTGCCGCACACCCACAAAAAATTTGTAAGTTCTGTTTATTTTCGTCTCCTGTATCCATCCTCTCTAATCTTTTGCCCCTGAATTTCTGGACTAACTTTAAAAACCGTACAGATCAACAGATAGTTTCTATTCGGATAGAGGTTTTAGGTCAATAGAAACCCTCCAAGCGAGTACATGTATATTCTTTTTCTTCTCTACTTGGCCTATCAAAGAATAGATCATCACTATCATATATCTTTGTAGATTAATATTCAATGAGCGCACTAGGGTTGCTTTTTATTTTTATTTTTATTTTTTTATTTTTTTATTTTTTTATTGGCTTATTCCAGCTGTACTTTTATTCCAGTCGTCCAAGAGCTTGACCCATCTTGACACGTTGGCCAGGCTCAATCACAAACTTAAAGTTCTGAGGTGCCTCAAACACAAGCACAACAGTCGAACCCAGCTTGAATCCACCCATTTCTTCACCAACTCGCAAGGGTTGACCGTTCAACAAACGACTCACACCACTGTATAAAAGTTCACCATATCCACGCTTGAATCGATCCTCTCTACTATTAGTGCGAAGCTCCTGTAGATCAAAAAAGAAATGTTGTAATTATATGTTTAGTATTAAAAAAAAAAAAGAAAGAAAGAAAAGAAAGCTGGAAGTACTTTTTTCCTGTTCTCATGAGAAATTACTTTATCAAAGTTCAAAACGATGCTTCCAACGTTGGTTGCGCCGACGGGCACCATTGAGAAGAATCCATGACGCCATTTGCCCAATAAAACCACACGTTCGTTCAAGACAAATAAATCCTGAAGCTGCTTTACCATCCATGGTGAAACCGAATACAGCTCACCCGAGAAGTGACGTCTAGTCTCTGCAACCCAATTCGTGGGCGAGTGGAAACGATGGTAATCTCCTGGGGCCAAGTAAATCACACAAAAGAAAAGAGCATTCCCTGGGCGAAGCTTTAGTTGGCCATCATCCTCATTTAATTTCGCTTTCTTATCAGCTTCCTCATCAGGGACTACATTGCCATGCATGTCCTGTTTCTTATGCTCCATCGATGCATGTTGATCATGACCCAGCAAGCTATCGAGTGTGTAACTGATACCGTTCACTTCTGCAAATTCTTCTTCATCGACAACGTTTGCTGAATGAGTCGCCTTGATGATTTCAGCAGTCTTTGAAGCCTTATGAGAACCCAAGAAATCCTCAAGCATGTATGACATGCCCTTAATTTGCTCTACTTTTGATCCGTCAACCAGCCCAAAATGGAAAACTCGTCCATCTGATGGCGATACCTAACGGACAGTATCATTTACACAGATGTATTTATACATTAATAATCACGGAAATGATGATTTCATACTTTTTTTAAGACAGGGGGAAAAATTACGAAAAGATTTACATTACCAGGGCTGCGCTGTAGTCGATGGGGCGAACACCTTCCTTCAATTCACGATAAAAGAATTCACTCAGATTTTTATAATGAGTCAAGTCAGGATCCTTCATCTCTTCCAGGTTGCATCCAAAAATCCAGCTATAAAGCTTAAATCCTGGGACTCGGAACCACATGGGCAAAGTAATGCTATTGAACGCGCCCCAGAGCCTTGATATCGTCTTCAGTGGTAACTCGCTGATCACATGAACCTATATTTGAGCGAATACGGATAAGTGTTTGCTGTGCATGTTTGAGTTGGACATAAGATAGTACGGCAGATCCTGTTAGTTTTTTTTTTTTTTTTTTTTTTTTTTTTTTGACTTACATGCCAAGGCCCAACAATAACAGCTTTTGTGACATTCGGATCGCGATTTGCCTCCCGCTCCATAACCTTTCTGTATTGTAGAAAAGCAATGAATGCGAGACCTAACCCGATTGGGATAGGTGACCACTTGACAGGCGTTTCATTCCATGTCTTCTTCAAGCGACCTATCAATGAGTAGGAAGTTTAACAAGAATTGTTTGTCAATCCTATCGTTCCACACACTTTCTTCCTCCTTATTCTAAAACTAGGCAAGAACACCATATTGAATCAGTCTCATCCTGTCAATTTACAATGTATTTTTTTGACCTACTGCCATAGGATCCTTGACTGTTACTCTGGGTAGAGAACAAAGTTCGCCTTGTGACATGGAAATTGCGGTGCAAGACCAATGAAGAGCGACAATGTGGGGTTTGCCTATACAGAGGAACCTCATGCACTACACGGCGCATGTTGATCCTATTCATAGGCATTCCAAGGCGCAGCATGGTTGATGTCAAGTTAAAATAACTAATTGGGAGAAAACAAACATGAAGTCTGTGTACATTCAAGCTACTTTTTTTACTTTTTTAGAAACAAACAGTCGTGACTGTTGATCGACGCCCGTACTCTTCCTTGGTTTCCGCACACCCTTCAAAAGGAACAGGTTTAGTCTCACCACCGACGTGCAGCAACTTCATTCAACACTGCATTTCCTCACATTGCGGCCACTGGAATGTTGAGAACAGTTATACAGCAGTGGAGTAACCGCGCTTTGCTCTCAAGGGCTGTTCCAAAGGCCGGAAATGTGTTCCCGAGACAAACCTTACACAGGAGCACAACCGTCGTTACTTGTGCGCACTTGCAACGTACAACAAGGCCAGCACTATGCATGTCCTTCCACACTTCTTACTATAGGCTATCGCCAGATTCTGGTAACCACTCTTTTTTTTTTAAAAAAAAAAAAAAAAAAAAAAAAAATCTGCGGCGGTTTTTGGAGGAAAAAAAAAATACTTAATTGCTCTTATTCCTATCGTCAAATTGGATCTGACTTAATTGGTTTAGTGAGTGCTATGAAAGAGCCACCAAAGATCACCAAGGATATCATTACTCTCGGCGGAAAGAGCTATCAGACTGACGCTTTCACGAATGTGACTCCAACGATCCTTGAAAAGACGACGCGTCAACTTCATCTTATTCCCAGTCATCCAATTGCCATCATCAAGGACCTAATCTCCTCCGCATTCCCAGATTTCAAGCATTATCAAACATTCTCGCCCGTCGTCAGCACTAAAGAGAATTTTGACGACCTTTGCTTTGCTGAAGACCATCCAGGACGTGCTGTCACGGATACATATTACATTAATCAAAAGATCATGCTTCGGACTCATACCTCAGCTCATCAACTGCAGGTCCTGACTGAAGCTGATAAAATCCTTGTTACTGCAGATGTCTACAGAAGAGATGAGATCGATGCAAGCCATTACCCTGTATTCCACCAAATGGAGGGTGCCCAGCTGTTTGAAACAAGGACAGTCGTAGAGGATGTCCGCAAAGCCATTGCACAGGATTCCATGGCATCATCTTCAACTATTCATACCACAGATACGACAGTCATTACCCCGGCGAACCCTAAGCAAGAATGTCATGATGAAGCGGCGATGCTCGCAACGGCTGATCATCTGAAGCATTCGCTCAACATGATGGTTCGTAAGCTGTTCTCGCATGAGAAAGATTTGCAGGTGCGCTGGATCGATGCTCAGTTCCCATTCACGAGCCCTAGTTGGGAGATGGAGATTCTGTATCAGGGTAAATGGCTTGAGGTCCTTGGATGTGGTGTTATCAGACAGGATATTTTAATCAACGCAGGTAAAAAAAAAAAAAAAAAAAAAAAAAAAAAGGAAAGACAGCTTCATTATGGCTCTGATCCTTATTGTCTTCTACAACCCTAACGATCCTCATCCGATAAAACAGGGAAGCCCGATAAGATTGGTTGGGCTTTTGGTTTGGGTCTTGAGCGTCTAGCGCTTGTGCTTTTTGGTATTCCCGATATTCGCCTCTTCTGGTCGCATGATGAACGTTTCTTAAAACAGTTTGAACCCTCCAAGATTCAAAAGTTTATACCTTTTTCCAAATATCCTCCATGTATTAAGGATATTTCGTTCTGGTCGAACGACCAGTTCCATGAGAATAACTTTTGTGAAATTGTGCGAGACGTCGCAGGAGACCTTGCCGAAGATGTTCAGCTGGTAAAGTCTTTATATATTACTACTATTATTTGTTTTCTATCTAAAAAAAAAAAAAAAAAAAAAAAAAAGGCGTAATTAACACTTCCCAATCGTTCACGTTCAACTATTTTATATTTGTCAGATTGACCAATTCGTTCATCCAAAGACCCAGAGGCGCAGTCTCTGCTACAGAATCAACTATCGCTCCATGGACCGCAATGTTACCAACACAGAAATCAATGAAATTCAAGACAAGCTTCGTGAAGAGGTTGTCAATCGTATGAAGGTTGAGTTACGATAAGCAAAAATGCAAAGGCAGACGATGACATAGAAACATTATGCGTCTACATTTTAATAAAGCTTAATGCATGCCATCATCAAGCCGTACTATATATAAAAATGGGCAATGAAAATTGGCTCCTATTCATTAAGGCCATAATTACCTCATAAGAATCAAGATTTTCTGGGTATAAAGGCACGATGAAATCATGTACCTTGAACGAAGAATATATCTTTTTTATCGCTCTTGCAGCAAAATCGTTTTGGCCACTCACCGATTTTTTTTTTTAATCATATTACATCTGTCATTGCTGTCGCCAAATGGTCCTTACAGCTGTTACAGAGTTTCGGTTGCGGACCAATTGTTCCTGTGGTATGTTGTTGCCATATATAACTGGAACATATCGGGTTCGCGCTGTTGGTTGACCCACAGTAGCAATACTCCGGCCTTGGTATGCGACTCTTTGAGGAACTGCAGAGTAAGCATTGGAACGCGCGCTATAAAGCCATGGTCGGGATTGCTGATGCTGTGACGTCGGAGGAGGTGGTGGTGGCATTGTTGTTGAGTAAGGCTGAGCTTGATTATATGTTATAGGCTGTATAGGGCCTGGCATTGGAGTCTCCTCATTAATACACCCCATAACCCTGGGGAGTTGCGCGACTCCTGAGGCACTTGTATCCATAGAGGGGATATGGCTTAAGTATACAGCAGGATTGTGTGTCGCTTTATAAATAACGCCTTCGTTTGGCAATGCTGCTGGGAAAGATTCACAAGGCAGTGTCTTCGTTGCATGAGGGGCGTGTGGATATGATACATGGCTAGCCAAATGGACTCTAGGTGAGCTAGCATTGGAGTTTGAGAGGAGAGAGAGGCGTACAGGAGGCTGCGGCGTACTTGGTACCTGAACCTAAGACCGCTTTTACTAGTAAATATTATTCTTGTAACTTTAAGAATACATCACAAAATATTGTAATACGAACACCAAAGGCATGTCATACCGTTAAGCCAGACTTTACGGTGCTACTGCTTGACATGGCCGAACGCGTCCTGGAGAATATATGATTAGGTTTCAGTTTTATAATATGAATACATCAAGTCGAGCATCGATATTTGAACACACCTCACTTTATTTTCACGATAGTCTTGAGAACCGCGAAGGGTCTGATGTGGTGCATACTTCGAGGTGCATAGCAAAGGCTCCGGTAGAGCATTTTTGAAGGTCCCTGAAGGCATGGCTGCCCTCGAATTAGGTACCTTATCATGGGCCTCCAATGACTCCTTTTCAGTGGCTTGTTGCATATGTGGTGCGTTATATTCTCTCTTTTGAGATCGCTCCAGCTCTTGGATCTTCTTTTGAAGCCTCTCATTCTCGAGCTTGAGCTCGCGGATCTCGCTACGCATCTCATATTGGTTCAATATCAATTCTAGCTTTAGAAGATGTTATGGGCCTTTTATCCTGGCTACCAAGCGTGCACTCATATCTCTTACTATACCTTTTCATTTTTTTCATATTAACGAGCTCTGCACGAGACTTTAATAAGAGTTGCTGCTGCCTTGCTGACTTTTTTCGTAGATGATCTATCAAGTTTGTCAAGTTGTCTTCATGAAACTGCTTGCTTCGCCGATTAGCTTTGTTGAAATATTATGTATTGATATGATAGCTCAAATAAAACTTTAAAAAAAATACGTTTGTCGTTTTACCTTCCACACATCCATTGTATCGTAGCAAATCGTTTCCAATGTGCGGAATAATGGCTGTATCGATGCGGGAAGATCACTCTAATATGCTCATTGCATTGGTATTTAAACTGTTTCAGCTTTTTTGAGTCTTTAATTATTTTGGAGAGCTACCAAGACCGGCTCTTACAAGATGCTCTGTGATCCTCATATATTGACAAGCTGTCTTGCAAATAGGGCAAACCCCTTCACCTTGTTCTATTTCTAATTTATTATTTTAGTGGCAATTCATTCAAGTGAAATATGGCTACGAATAATACCCCAAACTACCAAGGAGGTAACTGATCGAGTAAAAGAGAACCTGTAGATCTGTCATCCAATTCCGGTCGGTCCTTTGAGTCTTTCTTTTCCTTTACGATCACTTTATTTCTTTTATGGCCGTCATGATTGTCGGAAGCATGGTTAAGGCAAGCGAGGCACGACAGATGGCCACATTGTATTAGAAAATAAGCTGTTTCTGATACGGGATCATTTTTAAAGCATTTATTGCAATGTATGTATTTCAGCATGCTGCACTATTGAAAAGGACGTGGGGAGCGTAGGAAGGATAGAAGAATCCAAGATTTGAGTAGTAGGCAGTTGTGGCTTCTTGAATCCCACCAAAAGCACAAAAAAAAGCTTAAAGTTAAGGTAAAATTGAAGATTATTTACAAATTACGTTTCCAGCACTAGTGCTGTCTATGTAAGGGTGATGGTGTCACTGAACCATGCCGACGACCCGCACTCGCAATCGGGCTGTTATTGCCATAGGATGATCTTAACTGCTGATCTGCACCGCGTGAACCGTTGCCTCTGGCTCTTTGCAGCAAATTTTGCGCCGCAGGTGACAACATCTCAGTTCTAATCCTCGGATTCGGGCTGGCAATGCGATTGAATATAGGGCGTGATTTTGATGAGCCAGGCGTGCGCCCAGGAGTCCCCCGTGCAACGGCATGATAGGGTGAGTTAAACTTTGGAGTAGGTGTGCTGCCTCCGATAGAGTTATGATACTGCGATAGTGCGCTCATTGATGGTGATGTGTATACTTTATCTCGCAAAGAAGGTGTTTCTCTGATGCGCTTTGATGCCCTCTCTGTAAGTTTCTGCGCAAGTAGTTCACGCCGAGGTGTTGGTGGTACCTTGAATGGCGATGGACCTATTTATTAGTTGCAAAGAAATAGAACAATTAGTTAGTATGAAATCCATAGGAGAATGGGCTCGTCAAAATAGATGAAAGCAAATGAATATGAGCGATACCTGAATCCGTGACACCAGAACTAATCAGCAAGGGCTCATCCTCAATCGTCCCCCACGTCATCAAATCAGGGTCGTCACCTAATTGTGACATGCTTGGAGAGGGAGTTGAAGAAACAAAGCTGAATCCACGGACTTTGGGAGAATCCGTATCGTTCATTTTCAGGGCTAAAGAGTGTTAATAAGACATAATTAGTTTTCCATAATTTCTTCAGCGAAGTGATGTATCAGAGAATAGCTTACAATCTATTCTTGAAGCTTTTTTGGCTGCCGCTTGATTTACAACCAATAGGTCTCTTCCTTGAAATCCGGTATTACGATGAACAACCTCCTTTGGCGCAGCCCTCGTTGATCCCAAATCAAGATTTGTACCAAGACCTTCAGGAAAATACATCAGCGTATTCTTTGCCTGCTCGGTTACATCCAAATAAAAACTTAGGGTGATTAGAGAGCGTAAGAAGGCAAACTTGGGTTTCCAAGCCATTAATAGTAGCACCGACTACATTTTATCTGCTCCCGTACCTTATATTCCCATGTTGGAATGGTGGCTGATTTTTTGTCCGCTGAAATAAGCGCGAGGCTTGATGTACTCCTTTGTGAGTTATCGTCTGCAGCTTCTGCATTAGTCTCTCCATTTTGAAGCAGCAATTTCTGCTCAGATTTATTCTCTCCCTCGATCAGCTTTTGATGCTTCTTTTCCTGCTCGTACAACCAACGGTACTTTTCTCTCTTTTGGCTGTTGATTTTTTCGACAATCTCGATGAAAGATGCATTATCCTCGCTCGTGTATCGCGCCTGAAATTCGTCAAGTGATAGTGAGGTGTCTATGACCTTCTTTTGATCATCGCCAGCACCGAGTTCTGCATTCTGCTTTCGAAGAGTTCGGACAGCTGGTGTGTCCATCATTGGTGTATCTATTGTGTTTAAAGATGAATGTACTCTAGCATCATCTCGCCATGTTGGTGTTGCTTCGGCGTCCATTCGAGCGGGCGTCCAAGATGCATCTGGCATCCCAGACCTCACTTTAGGTGTTCGGGCTAATCGTGATATGTCAATTGTTCTTATCAGAAAGCCTGGTCGGGAAGCATTAAAGCCTGGCGAATGTTGTGATAAATATTTATCTGATAAATTTTACCTGGGGTCTTTAATCTTCGTTGCCCCAGTGGTGTATCGTTTCCAGTAATGTCTCGAGCCGCAGCCTGTATCCTTTGAATATCGTTCATCTCAACTGCTTCTAGATAGGCGTGCTGGCGTTTAAGCTTGGCGAGATCAGGAAAGAAATCTCGTTCAATGATCTTACTCAGTGCCTCCACATACTCATCTTCCTCAAGGACCTCCTGTGGTGGTGGTGGAGCAACATTGGATTTGTATTTTGTATTGGTTGTGAGTGCAGAGGACACATCACTTTTGACAATTTGTTGCGAGTCCATGGTTAATTATTATGTGAAGGCTGTGAATGCAAAAGAGGGACGCAAAAAAAGGTCATGGACAGTGTCTCCACCATAAACTTATTAAATCAAAATGCGTTCAAATTTGGATAGTCTCCTAATAGGATGTGTCAAACAGACTTGTCCTTTTTAAGTAAAAAAATACGTTAGTATATAAATTAATCTGCTTGATTGATATCCATTCATTTGTATATCCACATTACTCTCAGAAATATCAATTGTTAATCTTAATAGCCCAATAGCAATCTTTAATTAACCTTCTTCATTCATCTTCATCCTTCTGTCCCATTGTATTAGCAAAAAAAAAAAGTCTATCAATGCAAACGAAACAGGAAAACAATGCAAGGGATACAAACGACATTATCTTCCTGATTTTCATAAATTATCGGGGTCCACTTTTTTAATAAAATGTATTTTCAGCAACCCTACTGGACACTGAGACCATGCATTCATTAAGCATTAATGCGCCACAGAACTAAAATATTACTCTCTCTCTTCCCTTCTCTTTTTTTCTCACCATCACTCGTCTTTTTTTTTTTTGCTCTCTCATTCTGATCCCACATTCAACTTCATTTCTTCCTCTCATTGAGTTCATCGTAATCTCTTGTCCCATTTCGACGCCCTTTGTCTTCATTGTTTATTCGCGCTTTTCCTTTACTGCATACAAGTTAATTTTGCTTCTACTCCATTCGTGTAATATTGTGATATTCAGTAGACAGTACACACTAAGACACAAACTATACCTTTTGTTCTTCCTTTTTTCATTCTTTGGAATCCCTCGTTACTTTTTAACGGTCGACTTTTTGATGAGTCGTTAAATATTTCATCTTCATGAAAGACGATAGCAGCGAGCACTCTGTAAGGATCTGTTCTGTACTATAACCTTTTAGTATTGAGGTCGAATATGTATTTGTGTTTTGTGTATTCTACCACATGCTTCATGAAAATGCCAATGATTGATTATCAGAACCAGTGGAACAGATAGACTTGAAGTTGACAAAGTCTCATGCAACATGTGCCTGAACAAAATCAGGCACACTCAAAATCAAAATCACTGTCGTTGTGTCTTACTTCTCACACTTTGTCCAGTCGGACGTACACATGGGGTCTTTTTTTTTACCTCCTCCGCACAACTTTTGCTCGTTTCTCTCTTTCCCCCGACTTTTTTTTTTTTTTGCTCTCTTTATCCACACAATCCACACATTCAAACAGCATCTCCGTCTTCTTACCCTCTCCATCACCGCTTCTCCCTTCTCATCTTTGTTCGTCTTACTTACTCCTTCATCGGTACATCTTTTTTTTTTTTTTTTTTTTTTTTTTTTCGACTTGCATTAGCAAATCTCGCTCATGGCTGGCCAAGCCCGAGGCCAGGAGCCATCAGCCTACAGTTATGGCAATGGGCAGCAGCAACAACTTCAATACAATCATAATAACAATTATGTTCATAACCCACTTCAGGACAACAAGACTGAGCACGCTTTCAGATACCCGGCTAGCGCTGACAATCCTTCAAATCACCACAACATGACCCCCCAGCAACGAGAACAACTTCAGTTGCAACGACAGCATCAGCAGCGACTGCAAGAACAAATCCAGACAGAGGATTCCATCCGAATGCAACAGCATCGTGTCGCTCGTCCCACGGCTGCCGCGGCATTGCAGGATCGACGGGGGTCCGAAAACAGACCAGCAAACTACTATGCATATCCACCACAGCCCTTTGACCCTTCAGATTCGGACCAGAAACCTTCGCTCAAAGCGCGCTTGGAAAAACTTTACCGTTTCCCTTGTTCGAATTATGGCAAAGCATTGTTGCTAGTCATTGGCCTCGAGGCATTGTTGGTCATCATTGTTCAAACTATCATCGTCGTCATGTATTTTAAAGCATTGAGGGATACACCTCTTGTAAGGCCTGGCGTTGATATACAGGAGCCCTACTTGGATACCGATAACGAATCTAGGTCTATTCCAGCTTATCTGATTGTCTTTGTATTTGCTCAGCTCTTTCAACTTGTCTTGGCTTGGGATGCTGTAAGTTTATAATCTACAATAGCCCAGTAAATGCATCCCCTGATGTGTTGTCCACCTGTCGTGCAGCGCTTTGTTCCCCTGTCAAATCCATGTGTGACTCCTTGAGTCCTCCATGTGTTGGATCGTTGTTCACAGAAGGATAAAATATATTGCGGAAAAAAAGAAAAAAAAAAAAAAGATCTACTGCTAAATCATCATGGATCGAGTATTTAGTATGCTCTCTTCATGCAGAGACAGCAACCATGATGCGCTCAATTGGAGTTCTCTTCCGTTGTTGTCTAAATTTACCTCTTCTCTCCTGTGTATTTTTTTTTGTCCTCAGAATTTTTCTCCCATGCTCCATTTACAAATTAATAATTTGATGTCCTTACAAAATCCACAAATTGATAGGTTCGAGCGCAGAATACCATTGAAATGATCGCCATTGTTATTTTCAACTTGTGTTGTTTTGCCTATTCGATTTTTGAGATCAGTCAGACAAAAACATCGCTGGGAGACAGCTCCGCTTTTCTGGACCCTGCCTGGTCAGTGCAACAGCTGGTTGATACACTTACACCACTTTTGATCGTCGTTGTGGTCGTCATTGGAATCACTCAATGCATTGTCACATGGTTGGCATACCAATTGTTCCAGGAATTTGGATGGAAGATTTATAAAAAGATTGGAGCTGATCCAAATATGAAAAGTAAGGGGAAAATATATGTATATATATATATATATATATATTGGACGCATTTTGTGGGTGGAAATCGTAATAGCATTGTTAAAGCTAATCTTATTTTTGTTCTCATTTTAACATCATCAACAAAATAGGGATGTATCGTGCTTACCAGATCTATCTAGTATTGATCAAGGTCGATCTGTTCTTTTTTGTCGGATTTTCGATTCAATTTATTTACTTGACTTTGACAAGGAGAGAAGCAGATCCGGAATATTGGCTTACGATCATTGTCCTTCCTCTGACAATCGTTATCCTATACATCGCGGTTTATGCAGTTCGACATGAGAGTCGAAGATGGATGTCGATCTTTATAGTATCGATGCTTTGTGGTGTGGCATATTTTATGTTCAAAGTGGTCAGGATGTATATTGGTGACAAGAAGCAAAACTATGTTGGAATTATCAACTTCTTGACGCTCTTTGGTATGTTTTTTTTTTTTTTTTTTTTTTTTTTTTTCTAATGTTCTAAGTACTAATGTTCTAATGTTCTAATGTTCTAATGTTCTAATGTTCTAATGTTCTAATGTTCTAATGTTCTAATGTTCATTACTCTATAGCCACATTATGTTTATTAACAATCTTGACCACTATCGCAAACGCTGCGGTTTGTTACCGCAATTTTGGAAAAGGACTCAAAGCTCAAATTATCAAGGGATCTCGGAGAACGTTGGATTCAACTTCATCATCGGGTGAACGTACTTTGGTGCTTGACTAACAAATCCGATTTTAAAATCATTCTCCAAGCACTCTCATACCCTGCACACATGAATACAAAAAAAAAAATCTTAATTCATCTAATAACATTTAAAATAAAAATAGAGGTGTGTAAAAAAGAGATTGACGTACTTAAAATAAAAGGGACAGAGGATAGAGCAAAGCTAGCCACCGTCTGATTGTTCACTCCATTTATTAATTCATACATAGCTACAGCGCCGCTCATAAAGTTATACAACTGTTTAACGTTAATTAATAATAACAAAGGATCCTGCGCTATCATCCGTAGAGTGTTGGAGGTGATGCTCAAGATGGTAGAGATGGAATGAATAAGGGTATCCTTCTTCTCCTTCCTCTTGGTCGTGGCCGTGACAGCAATCACAAGACACTGCACGTTTCAGAAATCGAAGCACTCGCGAGAATACAGACCCACGCAACTCACCGATTGGTTCATCTCCATGTTCCGGAAGAGGACTTCCATCATTATTGTGATCTACACGTTCCTGTCGACTTCCTATACCCGATGGACAGAGAGCATAAGAGAAATCTCTATCTGTTGCTGTAACTTCCGATTCAGCTGCAGGCATCGGGTCGGTTATGGCTATTGGTGCTGGTGCCGTTACTGCTGGGGAATTTGGAGACAACGATGGTGTATTCAAACCTATGGCGAGGTTTGTTATAACATTGAGATCTGTCAGAGCGGCTGTCATTATCATTGTAGTAAAAAATTGCTTTTTTCCCCCCTTTTATTTAATGACACTTGAACTCAAGAATAGGATTTATAGAATCTGCCTACGAGTATGTTGCTACCACTTGTGGATTATTGTTATCAGTAACTGTATGAATTTGGATGTGCTGTTGAGGTACCAGTGGTGGTAATGCTTGGTGATAGCATTAGTATTAATGGTGGTCTTAGTATTGGAGGTGGTAGTGCTGGCAAGGGTGGCACTTGGTGGAAATAATCCTGGTGGAATTATCTCAGGACAGAGAAGTGGAACCGAGCTGCAATCCCATTTGTATTTCTCTTTTTTTGTAATCTCGTTCGTTCCTTTCCTGGCAAGAGTTAAAAAAAAAAAAAAAAAAAAAAAAAAAAAAAACGTTGTTGCTTTTTTGTTGCCTATGCTCTTCGCGCTTAGGACAGCTTCCCTCTCCTTATTTAGCCCTGTATCTAGAGTAAGGATATGGAGGGGGGAAAGGAAAAGATTTCTGTCTGTAAACGTTGCTCCTTGAAAATTATGAAAGATTGGTGACCAACTGAAAATGCAGTACCGCTTTGAATGGAATCTTTTCCCTTTTATAACAAACAAGTGCTGAATAAAATGAGGTTGAGTGACAACTCAAAAAAAAGTCAAGTGAAAATCTGCAGAGGACGAAGACAAGCGCGTCCGTCGGCGACAAGTGGATGGGATGTAACAAGATGAGGAGGCGTTTCACAATCGTTAGGTGTTGGCCATGTTGCATATTTGTATATTTTTTCTTAGTAAAAGAACGCGTGCGGTTGTTTGTTTACACGTTTTAGAAACGCTAGACGTCTTCGGAGAGCTCACATCCCCTTCCTTTACTCCCTTCATGATTATTGGTTATCTAATAAATTACCACGCACTCACTCTTTGCACTCAATTACATATTCGTTATATTTTTCCGAAGGAGATGTTGCAATGCATAAAAAAAAAAGAAAAGGAATAGAGGCTCGGGGATGTGAAAAAAAGCAAAAGGAACCTCTTTTTAATGCTCTTCATCGTGTACAAACATACATGTCAAAGGGATAGCGAAAAAAAAAAAAAAAAAAAAAAAAAGGAGAAATCGTCTCCTTTCTAATAACTAATAGTAGACTGAGAAGAAAATGAAGAGAGCGTTTACGAGCCCGATCTCACGACAACATCAACTCAAAGAGGGTTGCAGAAAATATTATTTATATATATAATATGTATGTATTTATAATTCTATAAGGGTATAGACGCTATTGTACAGTTGCTAATGAGAAAAGAGACCACCCGGGCCCAAGAGAGCAAGAGAGCGAGAGGAAACAAAGGCATATATGAAAGGATGTAAACGAATTAGGGGATGGCGAGTAGGGGGGAAAAAAATAAAGTAAGGTTATGGGACCAAGTGGCCGGCATTGCCTTGCTGTCGTAAAAATACAGGCGCGCAGCCTCAGACATACTAAATTAAGATCTTTGCCGATGCATAATCGATGCTCGATGCTTGGCGTAGCCTACTTGAACCCGATTGTTTTAGTACTTTAGTGCGCAATAAGTTGTCTTTGACCACGCGCACCAACAACGGCGATGGCTGATCCAGCGAGCACAGCCTGATCCTCTTCAAATGCATTGTGGGACAGAGGAGAGGCGCATCTCATAACCTCATCATCGCCAAAGTTGTCAAGATTGATCAAATCCTTGATGGTAGATTCAGTTGCTGCTTTTTTAGTCTTTTTGCTAAGGCTGTTGCGATAATTGGTGGAGTGTCTGGTAGGCGTAAGAGGCTCCCGAATGGAAGAAGCAGAGGACACCGTTGATGCGGCAGTTGAAGCATCTGAGACCATGGATGAAATAGAACATGTAGATGACCGAGAACTAGCAATCTCTTGAGAGCGCTTTTTGCTTACTCTTCGCGAGGATGGGGAAGAAGCAGTGCCATGGTAATTCAAAATGGGTGCGTAGTACTCCAAATCGCTCATTCGTTTACTAGTTGTATCGCCCAATCCATCAAGCATAGGGAATGTGGCCATGAAGGCCGCATGATCCAGAGAGAGGTGCTGTGGAGGAGCAGCCCTTCGGCTTTGAGGAAATGTATTGTTACGGTTCAGTCCAGCATTATTTGGTCTTTTGTTCATGTTTGGGTCAGAGGAACATCTGCGGGTAGAGCCTGCGCTACGGTGGCGGGGTGCGTTAGTGCTGGGATTTTGCTGGCTATCAAGATCTTGGATAGGATAGCCATCCTGAAAAGCCTGTCGATGCGTGTTATTGCGGAAGCTGCCGCTACTAGCACGACGCACGCTCTGACCGTTCGAGAGTGCTTCATACGAATAATTACTGCCCTCGACAGGATAATCTCTTTCAGTTATGGGGCTCTTGTTGCCAGAGCGAGAGAATAGCATTGAGAAAAGAAGTGGTGTCAAGGCCTGCATGTTGCCAATTTGATGTGTGATACGAATCTGAACAAGGTAGTAAGATAGTTGAATACAGTGCAAAGAATGGAATGCAGATATTAAAGACAATGAACAAGATGAGAAAATTGTCCAGGTAATTGTCAATGATAGAATAAAGAGAGAGAAGTGTATGATGAGAGAGGAAAAGAGAAAAGAGAAATGAACGGGAGAGAGGCGGGCATGAAATGAACTGTGAACTCTTTTATACACACTGCACATTCATCCCATCCAATCCATCTATTCGGCTATCCAGTGGACGCATTCCAAAAAAAAAAAAAAAAAAAAAAAAAAAAAAGAGCGCAGAGCAAAGCTTTTTTGCAATCATTCTCAAAGTAAAGACAAAGCGGAACTCGATATTCCCGGTCTTGTTGGACAAGAATTTTATTTTACTCTTGTGTATCCTTTCCTTCAGGTTCTTATCCACTATCCTCATACATACAAACCATACCTTTTGTCACAAATGTCAAATGTAGCCTCGGATGTTCATATCCGGTGTTACTGACCTGTCTGACTGACAAAGTTATGGGAAATGGAGAAAAGAGCCCCGATCAACTGATGATTGATGACTAGCAACCAACACAGATTCCGACACCGACACCGACACTGACACTGATTTATATATACTGACATCAACATTGATACATGGCGACTAAAGACCCTTATTTAAAAAAACTCATCTCTTCATCCGATGTGGTACATGGCTAATGGATTCAATAGAGGGCTCTTTTGCGCAGACCCAGTTGACCCAGTAACAGCGGCCCAAAAACTAAAAGCAAGGTTTACAATCTGGCTTTATTTGTCCTCGTCACCTTGCGTTTGTCTATTTTTCTCATTCCTGTCCCATCGTAACCTTGTTTTTTTCCATTTCCTGCTAACTGTATACAACAGCATGCACAGGTACAGTCCACATGTACAATAGTCCCAGCGTAGCAGAGAATTACAGAGAGGCTGAAAAGGAGACAGAGACATTCAAAAGAACGGAAAAGCACACAGCAAACCAAGTATTGAAGAGGGAAGATAAATCATCTTCGTTTAGAGTGTAGTAGAATCTCAGTGTCTTCCTACTTCAGCCGTTTACTTTCTTCTCTTTGGCCAATGCTTGGCATAATCAGTTATGTCCCACAGCCATTAATTTCATTTCCGACTCTCTGGGTTGAGCTGTATTATATTGCCTTGGCTTACCTAGCATTCATTACTTTGCTCTCTTCGCAGTTTCTTTTTTTTTTCTTTCTCGATTGAAAAGTTGAAAGGATAAATGTCGATGCTGTTCTGCAGCAGACTTTGAACCAGTCCGTGCTAATCCATCGCTCATTGGAGCATGCTATTTCCAAAAAAATTCGCTCAGGAACCTTTTTTTAGGCAATTAGGCATTCTTTGATTTTTGCCCTCAATACATGTGCTGTATACACCTTTAGATCGCGTTATTTTTTTTACCAACATGTACATGTTCACAACCTAATGCTCTCATCTCTTTGGTTCAAGCTTTTTTTATTTCTCTTGTCCAAAATTAACTCTTATATTTATACATGTATATATATAAATATATTATATACATACAAAAAGAAATGATGAGTCCGGATTCGGAACCCTGAACATGTAATACATGTGGTAGAGCAGAAGAATGCACACAGAAAAGTGAAAGAAACAGAGCGAGTGGATAGAGGTTATGACAAAGCCAAGTCCAGTTGTTCCACTGTCATGGACTATCTAAAGGAGACAGCAAGTCAACTCTTTTTTTTTTTTTTTTTTTTTTTTTTTCAAGCTGTCAAATTGTCCACCATTTTAACTCAAAAATGACGGGAATCCGGCAAAAATCAACTCCATCAACAACGATAAACCTTGGACGGGAACGGAATACACTAGCAATCGATGTGTACAGCACATTTTTGCTTTTTATTTTTTTATGTCAAAAAAGGCAAAGTGTATTTACAAGCAGATTGACTAATTCAACATACTCCGTCTATCATACAAAAAGGAAGGGGTTACTATGATCTTGAATCAGATGCAGGCGTCGTAGCAGCAGAAGACTCCTCTATCTGTGACTGGTGTACAATCTTGGGTAGCCATCGCTCTTCTGGTATTGCCTTGGCCCAATCTGGTGCCGGCAGTGTGAACGAGCTCATGATCATAGCGATAGTCTTGAGATCCTCTTCTGGGATCTGCTCTGCTAGACGCTCATCTGTCTTGTCGAGTTCAATCTGAACTGCGTCTGGAATTACTGGTATTGGCAATGTTCCGTCAGAATTGACTGAATGAAGGTAATCATCATATCCTAGCTCTTCACCTTCATCGTCGCTCCTCTTATCCTTGTCCCTTTCATCCTTTTCATCATCGCTCGCCATTTGATTATACTCTGTATGTTCCTCTCCATCTTTTTCACCATCCTCATCTTCGTCATCATCATCGCTAAAGTTGTCTTGGTTCAATGGAATGTAGCCAAAGGGTTGCGGATCTTCCCCGTCGTCACTGGAGCCCAATTGATCTACCAAGTCTTCATTATATCTAGCATTAATATCGTCCACGTCCATGTTTTGATGACTCTGTCCATCAGCTATGGTTCCAACAGCCCCATTTATAAATGAGCTATAAGAGTGCGAATTACTGAGGATATTATTGCTAACATTGCTGTCATTATTGTGTATCGCGCCTTGAGCTACAAGTTCCTGGTGAAACCGTTGCTGCTCAAACCGTTCGACTATCTGGAACGCAGCTGGTACTAGTTGATCGCAAAGAAATACACCCCTGAGGTTTATCAGTTTTTAATAATGAAATTTGAAAACTAAAGGTTGTAAGTGGATGTTAGCTAATACCTCGATCGAATTGTTCATCTAAATCTAATTCTTCAAGCATCCTGTCTACAGCATCTAATTGCTCCTGTCCAACCTCATAGGTTGGTTCATCATCCTGTTCCCTTGACACCATCCTGATCTAGTTAATCTTGAACACTAAATATTAAAAAAAAAAAAAGCTTTACTGTTTTCTTTGCATTTGACATGTGACCGTATATTCTCAAAGAGGAATGCTTCTTTCAGCTCAGTCCATAGTCAACGGTCGTTATCTGGCGCATCATTTCAAGGCTCTTCATTCATTTTACCATTCTCTTCTGCTGTAAGACCACAATAGTCGATACTTTTAGGAAATATGCAGTCCGGCAATCACGCAGGACCAGAAGGTGTGATGATGTTGACGAACAGTAATATGACTGCATATGAAAGAAACATGTTTAACCGATTAACGGCCCTGAACTGGATAGGATACATTTCAATGTGCTTTGTCTTTTCAGTAAAAACTATTACAGTTGTAATAGCATTGCTCGATATTCAAATGAGCACTTGAACCGAACAGGGTACAGCTCACAGCACTTGAATTTGCCAATAGAAGTGATTGTAACCGCAACAGCATCGCTCAATGCTAAAGGATAGGAGGAACTGTCAACTGCTAACGGGGCAAGTAAGCCAAGAGTGAGTCCAGCATGGTACCAAAAATGAGTAATGTCTTCAAGGTGTCATCCGCCCTTTACGGGTTCTCCTTTTAACTAGGTTACACAAACAGACTGAACTATCCTGAACGGAGCAGTGTTATCATCTGGCTCTACCTGCCAAGGATAAAGATAATATGTGTTATCGATGAGGTGGAAGACGACCAAGGAGCCAAACGCGGAGGGGGAAGCTAAAAACTTCTAAACGAAGCTTCTAAACCTGCTTGTCCGAGATCCATACTTCTGTACTCTCGAAGCCCTTCAATAGAGCAGTAGAGACGGCAAAATTGCACAGCGAGTTGATCACTCAAGCGTTTTTTTATGCCAATAGTTCAAGGTGTACTCTTTTATAAGTTGAGCTTCATCCTTATCACGTCAATCATACCTTTAACTATAGTGGGTAGATTACTACCGGTGGTCATAGTCGATGCACCACTAATTCGGGAGTAATTCTATTCCTAGCAAAGACCACTTTACTTTCAGCCAAAGAATGTAAATTGACAGCACTCTTGGACGAGAGTATCGTGGATCAAATAAGTATAAACAACAAATTTTTCTCACTCTTAATGACTCCAAAGGGCGAAGTTGAAGAGAAATGAGGAACCCCTTCATCTTGTGAGCATCCCTCGAATAATCATGGAGATGATACAGCTTCAATACTAACAATTTCAAAGGGTCAACAGCGACATCATTGAGGAAGTTTGTGTTAGAACTGCCTCCAACTCCACAAACAATGGTGATCTGTCATGTTTTATGAGTTTGCAAGACATTCGATATGTGTCTCCAGATGCACAGCGGATCAAGTTGGATGGACATCCTATCCCGTTCCTCTGGACGCTGATGGCAACAGGTACATAGAATAAGCTATTTTATCATGAAACATGAACTCAATTGCTCTGAGAAAACAATTTATAAATTAATTGTTTATGATTCTATTAAAATCGCATTGCATTCTATCCTGGCAAGGTCCTGGACGTTATTACAGAAGCACCGTAGTCCAGCAGTAGCAATAGCGACAATGGCATTAGTTTGTCTACCCTGAGGAAGTCCGTAAACCAGAGTTGTCAGGATCTTCTTAAATCACTATCAAGCTTGCAACTCATCTCCTACTAATCTCAAAATACAAAATCCGGGCTTATAAAGTCTGACCTTTAACAGGCTAAGGAGTTACTTATGCAGATCAAAGAGAGGAACGATGGGTTGATTAAATTGCAATCAGGGATGCTTAAACTACAATTGCAGATTAAAGGAAATGACAAGATGATTAAACTGCAACTAGAGCTGCCCAAACTGTAACTGGAGACTAAAGAGAAGGGCTACATGTACAAAATGCCTAAGATACAACCGGAGGCTAAGAGAATGACGACAAAATACAGTATCAAGCCCTTAGCAGACCTACCATCCTTCAAAGGCACACTGAAGCTATTCCCCTTCAGAATTTGAGCTACATGAGTATCCAATCCCTCGATTATTTATAATTTAGCCTGCCGGCAGCATCAAATGAGACCCTATGAATGCCTTAAGAACGGGATCCACCTTCATTTCCTTTGTGAATACGGAGACCACAGCATAAACACAAGCGAGAGCGGTCAGAACCAAATCCTTGTTGTCAAACATGACGGATATGATATTCGGAAGAACAAGGAATTCATTCCCAATTTTGAAAAACACATGTTCATCCTTTTACTACGGGAAATACCCTCGTCTGCTTCTCCGATACCAGATCTAGACCCGATCAATACCGGTATTGGTTACTCAATGGACTATAAAACGATATTCTCTATTGAGTATCCAGACCTGAACAATATTAATGCAATTGATGACTACGAGCCACTTGACGGAGCTACTATAGTTTGACATATAGCGAAGAAGAGTAGAAGAAATTTGAAAATACACTCAAGGAGGTTAGTGACCAATAGGACTCTCAGTTTGGTAAACCAACTATTATATTGAGATCCATTAGAACTGAAAGCTTCTTTGCTACCCTGACCGATGCACGACGTATTTATGAGCTGGATATTACAGTCGGCTGGAATTGATCCGAGGCTGATCATGAAATACTTGAGAATACATTAAAGGTGTCAAGTGCTTCGATTCTTTGACTGTATCAAGAAAGCGGCAGAGAGAAAGCACTTTCAACGTCCACACGTGAAATACTTGTTCGTACCATAGAATTTAGCCCAATGGAAATGCTTCACATTGTTTACCGCCACAATTCATAGAGTTTCTTAGATTATGGCCCAACATATCATCACACCTTCATAAGCTATCCATTGAGATGGGACCTCAAGAGGCTGGAGCTGGTGATTTCCAAGCACTTATGAGCTCGCTCAAGGCTAACATAACTTTGACTACCTTGAATTTGAAGGGCTATCATCGGACAATTCAATTGAGAAGGAAGATGCTATGGTGCTGTCAAATGGATTTAAGATTAATACAGATTTGATCACTTTAAATTTGAACCGCAACACAACTGAGCATAAAGGGGCGTTGGCACTGTCAGAGGGAGGCATTCAAAGTTAACATGCTTTTGACCACTGTAAAGCTGAGAGGCAATTTGATTATGAATGAAGGAGCTCAAGCATTGTCAGAGGGTCTCAAGATTAACACGACTTTGACCACTTTGGACTTGTTGGAGTATAGTTAAAGAAGATAGTTTCGCTTTTTTTTTTTTTTTTTTTTTGACCTTTGCTGTCGGATCCTTCTCCTTGCGAGAGAATCCTAATTTGGCAAAGTTGTTGAAAGTAGAATTTGTTTAGTATTACAGTTTTTCATTCTAGCCTAATTTAAGGCCTGCCCATCACAGTATAAAAGTGCTAAAGGGGTTTTTTTTTTTTTTTTTTTTGAGTCACCACGTCGTCGTCTTCAAGTCCTTTTACTCCGACTATCAACCCACTTTTATACAGCTGTTCACATTCTCAATGCTCTATTTTCAAGGTATCCTATCTGACCCTACTGACCTATTCACTTATAGAAGGTCTGAAAAGGTCTTATATATATTTATAGTTCGGTATAATCATATTGCAGAACCATTCTATTGTCGTTTAGTGTAGACTAGGTTTTTTTTTTTTTTAAACATTTATCCATTTTCAATTTGCATTGCTCCGATGGGAAATAAGCTTTATCCATTTAAGCTAATAAAATTATCCTATAAGTTATCCGAATGTGTCTGAAATATTATCCATTTTTTCAAACATAATAACCGAACCGACTGTAACAAATATCCAAACACCATGTCCTTTTCCATGTCCCACAAAAGTCATGGTTAATTCCGCATGACCACTTGGACAAAATTTGCAAACACTTGGATAAATTTCTCAGCCCTTTTCGGCCAACTTTTTAACTTACCTTTGGATAAATTTTTTTATTCATTGGAACAATTTTAAAAAAAAACCGATAAAGTTTATTTTAAAATGGATAAAACAATTAAAAACGCTGTATATTGTCACACTGTCTATAAATCACTCGAATGCTTGAAAAGAGCCTCCATTTTCTTGGCTTTAGCAAGGGTTTTTGCTGCTTCCTCGCTCCCTAAGACCGGTGCTTGGAGTTCAGCAAACCGCATGCGACACTGCCACTTATCTCTGTTAGGGATACTGGCAGCAATCTTGATCCAATTCTTAGACCCGTAAGATATAGCGGCATCCAATAACGCCTTGTCCTCTTCTGGGGTCCAATTTGACTTTATATGATTCTTGAAAGAGGATTCGTATGCTACTCTGCATTGGTCAGGGGTCCATATTCCGTTTGGCATTGCTTTTGCAATCCCTTCCCAGTCAGGTTCGAACTCGGATGTACCGCCGTCAGAAGGTTGTCGCTGCTGCTGCTGCTGCTGCTGTTGTTGTTGTTGTTGGAGATTAAACTCTTTCTCTTGGTTATCAATTTTGGACATGAGTGTCTCATACTCTTCAGAAGTTATATATAACTCCTTGTGCTTGATCGTGCCAAACTTGTGGCAGAGGCTTTTGGGATTACGATGTGGCAAATATTTTTCACTAATCAATACCCAATCCCGACCAACTTCTGCAACAGCTTTTTCCAGTGTTCTGATCTCCTCATTGCTCCACAACCCAGCAAGTCCGCCTTTTTTCACCGTCCTGAGATAATAGTGGTGGTGTTTGTATTGTGCATCCGTAATCCCCAAGCCCATGACCTTGGCCACTCTTGCCCAATTAATATGGTTAGTCCCTGATTCTCTCATATCTTCTTCCGCCACTTTCCAAAGTCGATCCGAATTCTCTTTACTCCACTTAAAACTTTGATATGAGGCTGCCTCCGTAGCCAATTCCTGGACTTGGCGATTAAACTTTTCTGGATTGCTCTTGTCAAAGCTCGCTGTTGCTTTGCTGAAGAATGCCTCACATTGCTCCGGTGTTCGATTAACTAGAAATTGTGCCAACTCTTTCCAGTCCGCTCCATGTCTAAGGTAATGCCGCCAAAAGTTGCCACGTTCCACCTTGTACCACATCTTGTCTTTAGAATTTTTGGCATTACGAGTCTTCATGTCTAAAGATTTCCACCTCTCCTTACATTGCTCTGGGGAATGGGTCTGGAGCGCCTCAGAAATCATTTCCCATTGATTGGTCCCATGCTTTAACACATGTTGAATCAATGCAGTCTCTTCGCTCACTGACCAAACATGTGCTGGTCTGCGCAGTATGGAATAGTATTTGTATCTCAACTGTTGTGGCGTGATTTTGGCCATAGTGCGTCCTCCGAGCTGAATCATGAACTCTCGCATAATCTTTTTCCAGTCACCTTCACCATGCTCTTGAACTAATTTCACGAGCACCTTGGCTTGTAGTGTATCAAACATTCGAGTCCGGTCGTTGGCCCCAGGCCTGCCGAGCTCCTTCCATTTGGCTTGACAACATGTGAGGCTGAAACCCAATGTGTGGGCAATTTCAGACCATGGCTTTCCCTGTGTTACAAGATCCTGAAGCTTCTCAATCTTTTCGCTGGTCCAAGATTCTTTCAACTGGGGATCAAGAGCAACGAGGTATCGGCGGTGACAACTTCGATGTGGAATCCCAAGGATAGATCCAATCTCAGACCAGGTCCTTCCCTCTTCATGCAGTCTTGATATTTCAGCATCGATCTCGGGTGTAAACTGTGCATTTTTCCTACGTTTTTTACCCAAGTCTAGAGCATCTGCCACGGTCAGTGTGGCCGATCTACCATCGGGCTCCTGAGTGTCTGTACCACTGTCACTGCTGTCGTAATTTGCAACACTGTTTATGTCCTCAGTCAAAGTGGTATCTGATATGGCAGTAGAAGAGTATAGGACACGATAAGATGACGCTTGAGGAAGCGAAGCAACCATTGGTACATGTGGGAGTCGAAGTGGCAGTTGGAATGGCAACGGGTACTTAATAACTAATGAGACATTCTTAGCAGCGGAGGTGTTCTGGACCGCAAGAGCGCCTCGCATGCGAGAAGCAATAGTCAGCAATGGAAAGGCCATGGCAAGCATAGAGACAATTGAGAAAAAAAAAAAAAAAAAAAAAACAATTTCAAACTTACAAAACATCGGTTAGAGCCATCGCAGTCACAGCAACAAGCGGAACAATGCTCGATTTGGCAAGTGCATTTGCTCCATGCATTTATTAAATGTCAAAGCTTCGCCCGATAATTAATTCAAGATAACTATAAAAAGAGTTAGCGCCATTCTTATGGAGCAGATACCATCCGGACTTTAAAGTCACAAGCCAAAGACCACATTTCTCCAGACTCATCTTCATCGTCAGCACCCTTATCAATTGCTCTCGATGATCGGATCTTCTCAAAGGTCTCATGCGTCAGTAGAGTCTTGGCGGAGAGCAGCGTCTCACAGTCACCACCGTCCTTACGGATCTTGATATCTGTTTCCAACTGAGGAACTCTTTCCTCATGAGCCGTACGCTGTACTCCCCCGTGGCTCCTAGATTGGGATAAACCACGTCGTCCCATTGCGGACCTGTGCCTCTGCTGTCGGACAGTCGAGTGTGCACGTGCAGTCGAGGACGATCCATCACCCCGACCTCTTGGTCGAGAACGTATACGTTCTTCATCATCTTCATTCTTGTCAGTAGGTGCAACTTCTGTACGATGGGTGCGAGTACCACGTCCAATGGGCTCACCTACCAGATGGTGGTCTTGAGCATATTTGGACGAAACAAGCCGACCTTCCATATTGGCAATATCCTCTAACATCTGATTTCGCTTGATCTCTAGTACGCCAACCTCATGGCTCAGGGCAGCTCTCTGCAACTTAGTCTCCTCTAAAGTCTGGCGAAGGTGCTCTGCAGCTTCAGTCATCAAGCTATAACGAGGAATCGCAACGCTCTCGACTGAATCTGTGTCACTCTCCGATCCATCGTCCGCAGCTTTCTTGGAAGACGAGGCATCACCTTGCTGAGATGCGACTGATTCTTCGGCAGATACACCTGTACTCAAACCAAGGCCCTCTACGCAGTATATAACAATAGGAGTAAAAATAAAATAAATAATTATCTCATAAAACGCGATAGAGACTGCTCAACCTGACGTCTACTTACCACGGTAGAGTTTGATGATATCCGCGTTGGCCTTTTTCAGCTTCTCCTTGGTGTTTTCATACTTTTCTTTCAAACGAGCAATCTCCCGATCTTTTGCCATTACTTGTTCATAAAATTCGTTTTCTTTTTTATATTTATCTTCAAGGATGGCTGTAATTTCTCGGTCTTTATCCAATAGCTCGGCCATCATCTGACTCACATTGCCTTCGTTCCCGCGAGGCTCCCGTGCTTTGAACAAGTACTGTTCTTGGAGGTCCGAGGGCTCTTGACCGGGTGCTGAAAACTCCTCAGGGTCTCGAGTAGTAGTGATAGCGGTGGGGCCAATAACTGTGGCTCCGCCATTTCGTGAAGCAGCTGGTGCGTTATCGACGAGAATAGGCTCTGAATGGAAATAAGGCCTAAGAAAGTCATACAGCTCTTTTGGTAATGCACTTTGGTGTGTGGGATGACTACTGGACCTGAAATCATTCTGGGAATGGCCGATGTTTTCGCCAGCTTCATTATCGATTTGGGGAACTGGCTCTATCGAGTTAACAGTGGCATTTTTTCTAGTCTTGGAATCATCAGCTACAGCTACTTCCGCGTTCGCTTCGGTCCCCGCTTCTACTGTAGGCTGCAATTCTCCTTGGTAGTTTTGGCTTGTTGTAGCTGCTCCTCTTTTCAGAATGCTCCGAAGCATATCAATGGCGCTCTGTATAGTGGATCTTGTGGTGCTCGTTTCAGTGGTTGGTTCGGACCCGTCTCCGGATATTGCACCACAAGGACATCTGTAAGAATCCGCTGTCCCAGAGGCCATTGAGTCATCAGCCACGACATCAGCGCCCTCCCCCCTTGTATCAGATAAGCTAGCTTCTAGTATAGCATCAGTAACATGGCCACTATTCTCGCTGGCCTTGGGTTTAGCATCGGTGCTAGCGCCTAGAGCCATTCCACGGTCGACCTGAGCTCCGGATTGGATAGCGCTTGGCGTTGAAGGGAAAGAAGCGGGTGCGGGAGGGCAGCCATGACAGCAGCGCTTTTGTCCGAGCTCTGATAACTGCTTGCCATGTAAATTGTGCCACGCTTCGATTGTCTCGGCATGTTTCCTTTGCCACTCTTGAATTTCTTCTTGGTGAATACGCCTCCATTCTTCAAACTCTCGCATATCTTTATCATACTTGTCATGCCAGCTTTCGAAGCTGAGTACACTTGGGCCATATTTTTCGTGATACTCTTCCCATCCTTCTCTATGTTTCGTCTGCAAGTCTTGAAGCAGTTTTCCTTGGGCTTCTTGATAGGATAGCGTCCGTTCATTGATCGCCATAAGTTCGGTAATGCTGGCTGCTGCTTGCATGACCTCTGGCGTCTGTGACTTCACAAACATACCACTTGAGGGCCCTTGGTCACTAATAATAGTCTCTATTTGCTGCTTCACAAGCGCAAGCGTTGAAGAGTCCTCCATGGACCCATGCAATATGCTCTGCACATCTGCATGGCAGTTGATGATCTTAGTTTCCAGCGTTACAATAAGCGCCTTGATTTCTTCAATCTCCTTTTGCGCATCATCAAGCTTGCAGGAATGATGGAAATTTACACTCTCGAGTGAAGTCATCAAGTTTGGTATCATTGAAATTCGATCATACGCTTCACGGCGTTCTGCCTCTGCTCTGGCTCGACTGCCTTCCGACTCTGCCGGGCGCATCACTGGAAGGACTCGATTGAGCTCTCGTCTGAAAGCCTCTTCAAGGTGGATCTGGCCTTGAGACAGGCTACTTGTAGTATTGGTAATGACCATTAAAAGCTCTGTCATGTTTCTATTCATGGATTCAAGTTCATCATGGAGCTCTCGATGCATTCCAAACAGTGGGGCAGGCTCTGAAGTATCACTTCCATCCCTTCCAATGCTCTCAAGTATTTCGCTCCTATCAATTGGAGTTCTAGTGTCAACAGTGTAAGTGGCAGCAACGCCACCAGCGTTAGTAGAATTGTCATGTGCAGGGTCGCCACTAAGCGTCGCTGGTGACACCCTGCGGTAACCTGGCGCCGGCGAGGCTTTTGTCCCCCTAGGCCCAGAGTTCCCAGCTTGCTTCTCGCTTGGGTTCGAGCTACCTTGCCATATAGAGTGTCCTTCTACAGCGCGGGTTCGCCGCTCTAGAGATTCCTCGTGAGACAGTAGTTCGGATGTATCGAAAGCTTCAGGTGGGGAGGTATCGGTTGTAGTCCCCCCAGGCGCGCTTGTGACGTTAGTGGCAACTGGTTCGCCTACAGAAGAAGCCTCGGTCGGCTGTATGGTCTTGGATCGTAAAAGGTCGCCGTACTTTGAAATCATGTATTGTGCACTAGCTTGCAGGTCCTCCACCGCCTGTATTAGCCTTAAGGTAGGATTGGACTGTCCATTACCTCCTGTTACGATGGTAATATCCCCATCAACAGCAGCAGCAGTAGGTGCTCTGTTCTCTGCATCGGCTCTCTCTGCCGAAGATACAGCCCCAGCGACATTATCCTTATCAGCTCTTGGAGGGACCACGGGAGCTGCAGCCTCAGATATGGTCAAACCAGGGTTCCAGGCCTCATTATATGCAGAATAGGTGGCAGAGCCAACTGAATCCCAGCCTCCGGATTTTGCGGTAGGAGCAAGGTTTCCTTCTGGCCTTGTTGCAGCCAAATAGTCCAAACCTGATTGAGGATTAGGCTGAAATGATGCGGCTTCACCAATCCTTGAGGCGTTATCGGTTTGTTCGACTTGGTGCTCTGGAGCTGCCGTCAGGGCTGGCTCTGTCGATGCGCTTGGCCTTGCAGAAATGGCAGAGCCTCCCGCTGCAATTGTTGGTGTGCTTGCTTGCTTGAGCAAGTCAGCTACCATCTCCGGAAGGCCAGTGAGGACGGCTTGGATCTCTGTCCGCATCTGATCCAAGTCGCCCGAGAACTGCACTCTCTGCTCCGGCTCTACCTTGATCTGGCTTTTGATCTCATCGAACACTTGGCGGATCTTAATATCGACCTTTTCGGTATGTTTGTATATCCAGTACATGTATTCTTTGAGAAGGTAAAAAATAGAGACGAGAGTTTGTCAGTACAGGCAACCATAACACCATCAGGACACGCGCATTTCAATTAGACAAACATATCCAAAGCCTGGAATACGTACTCAATATCACTCGCAGCGACAGCCTATTTGAATTTCTCCAGTCCTTGATTTCATTGTCCACGCTTTGGATAGTCGATTCCATAACTTGAAATTGGATGCCCAAATCATCGAGCCCAGCTTGATGCGAAGTCGCCATCTTCAGGACGTTGGCTTGCCATTGGCCATGTTCATCATGGTGCAAGGGCTGAGTATCAGCTTCTGGTACCAACTCAGCGTTGGTAGGTTCAGAGTTCGTATGGTTTTTGGCAAATGTCTCAATCAGCTCCTGCATGGTTGTTTGCGTACTCTTTAGCATGTCCGGGAAGGTAAGTAACTCGTTTCTCATGGCTCCGAACCGAGTCATAGTCTCCGAACCGACTTGGTTCATCCGTATAGTGCTACTTGTGGTCGCAGCAGTCCCAATCTCTACACCGTTCCCACTCGAGAGGATCACCGCTGGATCCGTGACGAGCGGAAGCTGGCCATCAATGACCACCTTGCAGAGCGCATCGACTTGAGTCTCGATGTTGGAAAGTTTCTCCAACACAACAAGGTCGGCTTGGGCCTTGGAAGAAGTAGAGGAATCAGCGTTAGTGATATTGGCACTACTTCCTCCTTTTTGGCCTAATGCCCTTGATACAGATCCAATGTCTCCAATTTCGTCTGTACTAGTAAGGTCCATGGGATCAAGGCTTGTTCTAGAGTACTCAGGCTCTTCCGGATCACCATCGGCGATCGAACGTATGGAAACGCTCTTCATTGAAAGTGATCTTGGGGTTTTAGATTTAGGAGGACGACTAAGGAGCAAATGCTCAATCCTATCGAGCTTTGGGCCGACCTCTGTTCTGATCTGAATCTCAACTTGTGCAACCTGAGATGCCATAAGCCCATCATTTTCTTGAATGGTCAATTTTAAATCTTCCAGTCTATCAAACGATTCACGTCTAGAAGCCTCAAGGGTATCTTGGGCCAGAGTGCTGAGCTCTTGTAACCTGTTGTCCAGGACAGTCGCAAATGTTTTACTGGAAAGAGTTAAAAAAAAAAAAAAAAAAAAAAAAAAGATGATCAGATCTTTTGGGCATAATCTTCCTTTTAAGACACAACAACATCAATAACAATGATTTCAAGTATATTGTTTCCTTGAGTGATACACACCTAGTAGTGTCAGGAATAGTATGCCCTAACAGCGAAGGTTTCCCATCCTTGGATGCAAAAACATGGGTTTGGACCGTACCAGATTTAAGATGCTCTACCACGATGTGAGTCGCGGCGTCGACTTCTCTCACGGTTGTTGGATCTATGTTTTCGTTATTATTGTCGGTTTGTGGCACCATTTCAGGATCTGGACTAACAATAACCTCTGGATCAGTAGGCGTAGGTGAAGGTGATGGCGTAGGAACAGGTGCAAGTGATGTGGTAGAAGTTGCAGGGATAATAGATGGAGTCGATAGTTGGGAAGGCTGTGCCGTAGAACCAACCCCGCATCGAGGGGCTCGGGAACACACAGAGTGTCCCAACGTACTTTTACGATTAGACATAATTTGAGGGCTTGTCTGGAAGAAAGTGTTGATCCGATTGTCCAAAGTGAGGCCGGTAAGAGTGATCGAAATAAAATGGCGAATGGTGAAGAAAACAAAGGTGTACGACTGTAAAGGAACGAAAAAGCGAAATGGATTATTTATTTATTTTTATTATTTATTTCTATTATCAGTATAGACACACTGATAAATGAGAGGAGTCGAGTCTACATTGTTCCGTCCAAAATAGCAGATGAAAGGTGATGGGAGTACCACGAAGGAAGCCTTTGCTTGTGATTGTAGTGAATGCACACAGGAACAAGGGGTTGTTTCGGAACATGTCTGCCAAAAGCAGAAGACAGTAACCAATCTCTGTAATGCGATTGGGAAGACCCATTGATAGCGGTGGATATCCACACTACACCACACCACACTTCTTTTCGTCGCACTGCTGTGTCTATTGTTATCCTAAAACTCAAATTGGATGCTCTGTCCCTTGCATGCATTTACATGTTCATGGATGAGCCTTGACGTAATGGGTTTGGTTTGTTAAGCAGAGGTCGCGTGCGGGAGCACAGGCAATTCTGTCATCGTTTCATTCATTCGTACGCCCCCGATTGGCTAGACCGTCATCTGCAATGTTCAACGCTTCTTTTCTCTTCCTCTCCACTTTTTCCCCACCCTCTTCCTTTCATTTCCTTTTATCACTCCTGCACTTGCACTTTTATAATCCACATCTTAAACAGGCCCTCAGAATTCACAACTACAGACCATGCATCCAGCAGCGTACACCGGCGGCTTCTTTGGTTTGGTAAAATTTCTTTCTTTCTCACTGTCTCTACTCAACCAAGTGGAGGAATTGAAGGCGCGAACGGACAATAAGAAAGGGTACAATGGAGGATTATTTCTTCTAACAGTACTCTCCTCATTTCTAACTATTTTTTTTTAAAAAAAAAAAAAATTGTGTTATTGATAACTAGATCGTCTTAATCCTCGATCTTATTGCAATCTTTGAAGTCCTCAACTCGAGTAGAAGCATCGGCTCCAAGTTTCTTTGTATGTCATTTTAGGATATTTTTTCTCTTTCACTTTACTGTGCTTGGCATTATTGCTAACCTTTTTTTTTTTTTTTTTTTTTTTTTTTTTTGATGGTAGGGTCTCTACTTATTTTCATGTTCCCTGTCTTTGGAATCATCATTTATTTGTAAGTAGTAGAAGTTGTATCGGTTCTTCATGCATGGTGTCGTTTTCCATATTGTGTTCATTTCTTGAACAAAAAAAAATTCTTGTTCATACTAATTTTGCTCCTTTTGTAAACTGTAGCTTGTTCGGATCTCGAGAAGAGTACAATTACGATGGCTACGAATCTATTGTCTAGAATCTCACATTTCAATTGCTAAAAGATTCAATGAAGAAAAAAAAAAAACATCAACACATTCATATTTACAAACACACACAAAAGAAAAAGGGCGGGAACATCGTCATAATTGCATTTTTTTTTTTTTTTTTTTTTTTTTTTGCAAATTAAAGCTGATTGAAGGCGAAAACCATGACGACTTTGCCAGGACCCACATTAATCCTACCATTTTCTTCCTACCCTTGTTTATCTTTCTTTCCCTCAGCTCACTATCAAGGTGTTTTCTTCACTTTTTTTTTGTTAAAAGGTGCTTCTTGGTTTTCTTGTACTATTTTCAATAAAAAAGAACTCATTACAACACATTAATTAGCCGTGTTCCTTTCTCGATAAATTTGCGCTTTTTGTAGGCAACAGTCACATAATCGCACCATAATCGAGAAAGGAACGCGGCTATTGATGGTCCTGGCTCGATTGACAATTAACTCTAATCATTTAATAAGAAAAGGTAGATACAGAGGGGCTTTTTAATTACTATAATAATAATGATAATGGTCTCGACCAAGTTATCCTGCTAGCCTAAGAATAGAGTATCATTGATGTTTATCATTAAAGAGCTTATCCAATGAATGTTTGTGCATGTGTGAAAGAAGCAAAAAAGTGATCATCAGCTGGGGAATGTCGTGTGCAGGCTAAACTACATGAATTTTTTATTATTGTAATTGTATTGCAATTGATGGTGGTGTGATGCATGTTGTCCATACTTGTTAGGAATACTATACAAAAAATCATAAAACTAAGCAGCACTTGGACTTGTGTACATCCTGATTATAAGATGTAACTCGGGCATCTGGCCCTGTCGATCCCCCAATCCACCGCCCTTGGGCATCCTCGCCTTGAATTCCACTTTCATTCATGGTTACAGGCCGAGCCATCGACCTATTGGGCGTGCTTGGACATCGATCATTTCTTCGTAGGCCCGGTGCTGGTTGACCTGTAACTGTAGTATCAAGTTGAGAAGATGAGCACGAGGGACGGCCTGAAGTGTCTCTACTACCTTCATTACCATTTCCAAGACCATGTTTCGGTAAGCTATCCATCTCGATATCATTATTGGCATGCATAAAGGGATCATTATACCGAATAGTGGCAGGTTTCACTGGCGATGGCACTATGGTAGATGGGTAGTCCTCTTGGGTAACATATGGACGTGTCGCCCTGGCAGCAGCTGCAACGGCGGTCGCTTGGTTGTCTTCGATTAGGAGGTCTCCATAATGATCACTAAAACTAGCAACGCTTCCTCGGTTCTGGTAATTTTTGCTAAAATGATTGCTATTGTGATTATTATTATTACTGCTAATACTCGCCTGACTTGCGGGAATATTGTCGCACGAGGTGGAGGCTGGCTCGCTGCGGAGCCGTGTAAGCCGAAGATATTCTTGTTGTTGTTGAAGCATCAATATCTCTGATGCTGAGCTCGACCGACGTGTATATAGCAAAGTCGGTGCTGCTGCTGGGTTTTCTTCGAAAGACCTGTGGCCGTCGCTGGCACCTTCCTCTTTATTAGACGTAGAGTGAAGAAATTCCTGTTTATGGCTGGGAGAAGATTTCCCGAGGGGTGGAGAATGATAATACGGGCCTCGACTGTACACTGTTTGAGCTGATTGCTGGTTACGCGTTTGACCCCGCGATTGGGTTTGACGATCCTGGTAAGTGTCTGGAGGAGAGTAATAGCCCGATGCTAGGGTCTTTGGGCTTGTTGGTGAGGAATAAATAGGAGCAGAATAGTTGCTACTGTTGTTATGGCTATTGCTGTCGTTGATGTTGCTGTGGTCATTTGCGCTGCTGTCCCATTGCTTTTTATCATGGTCTGGCTTCAAACTCGTCTTTAAACTAATATCCCCATGTGAGTGGCTATTATATGGATCCATTGCATCCTCAATCCACTCACTCTTTCCTGACAGAGCAGATACTCCGAATCCATTTTCAGGATGGCCAGGAGTTGAAACCGAAAGAGCTGTAGTGGGATTACTCCTCATGCCTTGGTGGGTATAACCATTGCCATATTCTTTGGCTGCAGCAGCCACATCATCATTACTAGATCCACCTCTACTGTGGTCATTTCTAATGCTGCTGCTTGTCTGATATCCCGACAAAGGAACTATAGTTTTGAAAGTGTTGTTAGTTTTATTGGCATTTTTGAGAATGGTCATCCGTTCTTCAAGTTTCCACTCTTTAAAATCCACACCAATGTGAGGTGAATGAAATGGACACTATCCTTTTTACCTTCATCCTTATCGTCATTTATGAACTCCTGCTTATCACTACTATATCTTTTAGTCTGATTCTGCCATTGACTTTCTGAGCCCGTGTTGGTCAGCTTCGTAGAGAGTGGGAAATAATCCGGTTCTGAGGAATTCATCGACATATTACTATGATGCAACCCATTGTTTTCGTTGTTTATACTTGCTGCTTGTGAGGGCGTAAAAAGCTCTGGTGGGTATGGGTTCTTATCTAATGGAAGGTCGGTCGAAGGGGATCTACCGTTTCTGATCCCAGTAGTTACAAGAGGTCGCGAAGAAACATCATTTGAATCGACTTTTTATAAGGTAGGAATCAATAATGTCAGAAGTGCAAAAACGAAAAGAAAGCTATTGATCTCAAATAAGTAAAGAAAAAGAAGTACCTTCAGGTGCTCCGTAAGTATTAAATAGCGCTGTTTGTATCCTTAACGGAGTATTTTTCGTTCCTTTAGAGGTGGTGGAGGTGTCATTCAAGATCATTGGTTGCTGAGAAATATTTTGTTGAATGTCTCTAGTATTCTCAGCGTTATTAACCTGAGCAAAATTTAGTCTTGCCTTTGGAGACAACTGTGCTGAGCCATTCTCAGATGCATAACTGCTTTTTTTGCTCAGCTGTGAACCTGATCTGGCTGGGGTTAAATATCGCATCATAAAAGAATTACTGCGTGAAATCGCTGGTGAGGACGGAGTAGAATCGTTGTTGTTTTTGTTGTCAGTTTTAGATACTAAAGGAGCCGTGAACTGGCGCTCGCCCTGCCTCCGTGACTGTACCTGTCCTTGATCGATCTGGTTTTGACTAAAGGACGAAAAAGTTGTACCCGAGATTTCAAACAGTTCCCTCGGCGATGTCAATGGCCGCTTCGGCATCCCTTGGAGCCGAGGCGTGGCTGGGATACTGGGTTGATTGGGTGCTTTTGGCGAACTTGGAGGATCGGTATCATCATCTTGTTTTTGCCACATCTGTTGTTGTGCTTCTACTGAAACCCCTGATGACACCTCTATTCTCACAGCTTCTCTTGCCTCACTGCTCGAGGCTAAACCGGGAACCATGATAGTGCTTTGTAACTGACATCCAAAGAGATCGCCATCTTGGTCAACGCCAATGACATATCCATCGACTCCAACCCCAACGCTCTCAAACTTTGCACCCCCACCCATCGAAATCCAAGCATTATTACAAAATCGGTACACTTGTCCATCTGCTGCCACTCCAACAATATAATCCGCTGAAGAGAGAGTGCAGCTGGTCATATGAAGGCGTTGGGTGGTTATGGCTGATCCGGCAAAGGATGGCATCAATGACGGTAAATGGCAAAATGTGCCCGTCCCTGGGAGAGCTGTCCATAGGGGCGGATGCGACACTGAGGGGTGTGTCTTGAGCCTAAAGACTGTGCCTGTGTGTGCATCAGTAGCCAATACAATGTTGTCATGTCCAACTGAAATGGATGTGAAGTTTGGTCTGTTGTATCCTGCTCCAGTTGTTACAGGGGCTTTGAGCTGTACAAGCTGATTTGATGTACCATAGTGAATATCACCACTGTTATTTAACCCCCAGATTTGCGATACAGAAGCCACGCTTTTTTTTTAAAAAAAAAAAAAAAAAAAAAAAAAAAAAAAAAAAATCGAAGATCAGTTTTTTTTTTTGAGCTGGGTCCTCTATCAACTAAAATCTCTTGCATGAAAATGTGCTCCAGCAGAACGCGGTACCTGACACATCTCCATAAGTGGCCTAAATCGATCCAGATGACATCTTTTTCAAAATTGCAATGATTATAATGTGGTGTAATCAAATACCAACTTCTATGAGACCTGTCCAATCTCACCACTGTCCCGTCTGCGGCTGCAGAGACTTGGAGTGTTGTATCTGCATCTGCATCTACATCTGTATCTTCATCCGTAATGAATGCCATCAAATTGTCATGCATTAGACGTTGTTGTTGCTGCAAGGGCCTATTTGTACTTGTGATCGAATCACCTGTTAATCCAAGACTCTGTCCTAATGACGCAGGGATCAGGGACTGCACCTTTTTTTTAGCCGCCATTGCCGTTGACGTTGCTGATGAATAATACGGCGTCGATTGCGCTGATTCCGCTGATTGTGTGGGTAAAGATGAAAAACGTGCTTGGTTATCGGATTCTGAAGTAACAGCGACGAACTGCCATTGCTGCGTGTTAGGATCGAGTCTACAGAGTTGATAATCCAAGGTGACTCCCCAGATGTTGGATTTGTCTGCCACTGAGACAGAATGAAGTCTTCCTGGGATATGATGCCACAACATACTAGAGGAGGCCATATCTTTTTACTTTTTCTTGGTTGTTTGTTTGTTTGTTTGTTTGTTTGTCCGTATGTCTGTTTGTTCAAGTGGAAAGCAATGTGGTGAAAATAAGGAATACGAACTACTTTCTATGGCTGATCAATGCTTCGGTTTAAATATTCCGGGCTCAAAGTAAGAATAGAACTGATATTAAGCATTAGAGAGAGAAGAAAATAGGCTGAAGAAAAGGAATGGGACGGCAGAAAAAAAATGGGATGTAATTGAAAGGGAATTATTTGTAAAGGTGTGTGCGTAAACCTTTTTTTTTTTTTTTACGTTTGCGATTGAAAGAAAAGCACAGACCAAGGAGAGAGCTTTTTTGGAAGTGAATGAGGATAAACCTTTTTGTTTTCTTTGTCACACAACGTCTTGATCAAAAAGAGAAATGTTGTCAATGAGAAATGAGAAATGAAAAACCAGGTCATGAATCTAATGCACTTGAATTGGTAAAAGATATCTCGTCATTAGAGAAACAGTCTTTTTTTGTTTTTTTACATTCATAAAGTTTCATTATTACTCGCAGACAGATACAAGAAACGACGCAAATACATCCCATCATCGTTGCAATGTCTCGTTCCCCCTTAATATTATGTTCCCGAGCATACAAAAGACCTCTTTTAAAGTACTTGCTAGCGTATCCCCTCAATCTCTTTCCGATCCACTTGTTGTATTCTCTAAGATCTACTTTCAGTACTTGAATAAAAGTGAGATGCGCTATGCTTTGGAGGATTTTTTTCATGTGCCATTTACAAATATTTACCTGCAATATGAAGACGCGCAAAATTTGAAAGTATGAATAACAATGAGGTCAACTTTCAATGATTAATTTCCCCCAATGTTCTTTCTTTCTCTTCTTTATTTGTTAGCTTGTAACTAAAAATTTTGTATGCACCATTCTGGAACCCAATAATGTAATTTTCATTAAGTTACCACCTCTGTAAGTTAGGTATCAACAAGGATATCAATACTAATGGTCATACAATATAAATCTATGATTTCGCAAACTTCTATGCAATCCTTTACACTTTTCTCTTTACCCACTGCTTATTAGTGCCTTTCTCATGCATCATTGGATACCAAATGAATAGGATTACTGTGATAATACCGTTGTAAAAGGATGAATTGTGGACCAATAGCCTAACATTAATAAGGAATGTCAGTGCCAATTATTGCCTGCTCGTGTAAGCTACCAGAATCTAGAACAATAACTGTGCCTATAGAGAGTGATACTGCCTTGAAGGAGAGCTTGCTTCGCAGCTTGCGAATTAAAAAGAGTAAACACGTGAATATCATCGAAAGTCATTGCTGGCATCAGACCTTTAAGAAAAATTGGTGGCGCCTATCTGCACAGCAGACTTGAGTAGGTATATTTCGCTGTTGCGTATTAAGCACTTTGCGAAGTTACGTGCCTTATCTAGAAATACTGTGTATGTACTAAGCTACAGGGGTATGCTTCAATGATAGTCTCAGTTTGTCCTTCAACGCAAGAGATGCTCTATATTCCTTGAGCAAAAGCTGTAGCAAGGGCTCTAATATGGAACAGAGGCTATTTGCTATGAAAGGCTATGGTGAAGGCTGGAATGGGCCTTGAAGTCCACGTAATGTTTCATCATTGGTTGTCGGACGATGCGTCTGGTCATGTGGAGCAAACCCTCTGTGCAACATATCGAATTGGCGATATTCAGTATCGTCACCGGCTACAGCCCGCTCGTATCTCGAGAACCAGCAACTCCAGCGCTATGGTTTATATCAAAGATCATGTTAGCGATGCTGCTGAACCTTTAAAGTGACCACTCCAACTTTCAAATTGACTCTCTCGCTCTGAATCTTAGGATACGGGGATGTGCGGATATTGTACAGAGAGTCAATAAATAACTCTGTTGAGTGATATGGTGGGCCTCAAGATTACTCCAACTTTATAAAGGGAAACTTTGATAAGAACAAAACCGTCCCATTATCTCTCCAAAAAGGTGAAGGAGATAGTAGTGCACCCTTGGGAAGAGTGCCCAATACCAATCCTCTATCACTGCCTGCCAAGCGTTACACAGCACGCTCAATAAATGATCGTATGGCTTTGAGCTTGTCTTTCATCGAGTGAAGATGGTAAAAAGATTCGCTCCAGACCATGTACCTAAAATATCTTGCAGTAAGAGAGAGCAAAGAGAGAAGACAGGAGTAGGATGCGCGACTGAAGGGATGTTGGAAAATCGCTAGAGCAAGCTCAAATCTTTAGGATAGTCAAAAGGCCATGGATATCATTGGCGATGATGGCTCTTGGAGCAAGAGTGGAAGAGCAATCAAGGCCAATAAGCTTATCTACAATGCAACAGTCAAAGTAATAGTTAATACGGCGAGTCTTGCTTACAAAGGCATGCTTATTGTTTTGACAGCAGTCGCTTACACTCTTGGTAAAGGTACATTGTTGGCAAGTTTAGAACTTCAATTCCTACATTTGCAATAAAATGTCACTCCACTATTGCCCAGATCGCCCTCTTGGGTGAACGCGAGTATGATGAAGACCACAAGCTAAGGTCCTAAGGCCAGTCTCCAGCGTGACAGGGACCACAATGCTAACTAAAACATGCTTAGCCCTTCAACGGTTTAAAGAATTTAAGTGCCCCAATACATTGAGTCGATGATTTGCCAACATTCATATTTGGACTGGGATAGTTTTTTGTCTCTTCATCTTTTTTACGTACAAAGCATAATTCCACTATGGCGCGACGCACATCACATTTCATGCAAACAAATAGCATACATTCATTCGTCTATTTCATGCGAGGAAAAAAAGAGTTTACTAGTGTGATCTATTCTGATATAATAGATGAATAACAAAAAAAGTTTCAGGGTGCAAGGCGCAGGGTGCAGGAACAGTAAGAAGGGCAGTGCAATCGACAAGGAAATAAATAAAAGAGCCCGCATTAGAGGGAGAACTCATTTTTTGGTGCTATTGGATTGGTCCTGGTTCTAGACAAGTCATAAGAGAAGATGGGATGATGCTGCTCTTTTCTGTTGATATCATGGTCTCTATCTAGAATATTATACCGCTTAATAGGCCGAGACACTCAAGTGGGCAGTCTGGGTTGTCTTTGGAGGCTGAGTAAGGGCTGTGGACGAACTCCAGTAATGGTCCTTTTTTATTTTTAGTCTTGATCCCTCTGATTTTAAATGAGGTTATGTCATCATCTCTTTACTTGACGCCGATATTCTTGTATTCTTTTTTTTTTTTTTTTTTCCTTCCTATAGAAACGAAACAGCATTCAGTCTGTTGGTGAATGTCGACATATTACTCCTTTTTCCCCTTCCTTCCCAGTCCCGTTTCTTTTTTTTATGAGTTTGCCCGCTGAAAGGGGGTTGAAGCGTGGGAGGAAGGAGGGCTACTTTCATTGGATGCAACGCACATACAATTTATTTTTCTTTTCACACGAAGGCCAAAGGGAATATAAAAATGTAAAGAGTTAGGATAGATTTAAGGTAGTTTCAATAGCGATGCCCCGGGTCATGCAAGCTCTGTCGACCGTTTGTTTTTATATAAATATTGGTGTGAGTATGCAACACTATTTTACACAGACCGAGAAAAGTGCGTCATTGGCAGATACAATGATATGATTAGCTTCTTTAGCTTTCTTCCTCCCGTCCAATCCAATCCAATCCAACCACATTCATCAACAAAAAAACGTTTATTTATGCCTGTTGAGGGCAGTGCAGACATTCCTTGATCGTGTGCGCATATAAATATCGTCGCTTCCCCTGGTAACTTGCTTCTCTTTCTTTCTCTTTTTTCTCTTCACCAATCTTTTCAAAACCATCTCTTTGTAAATATTCTTTAACCCAAATCAAAAAACTTTATTTAACCATGTCTGATATTACTCTCCCTGTTGAGCCTACAATCTCGCCCGAGCCCGAGCCCGGCACGGTCTCCATCTCACCTATTCCCGGAGACCCTAGTGTGACAGCGAGCGAGCCTGTGCCCACAACGGCCCCACAAGTGCCTACAGGCGAAACCACCACGAATTGGTTGCCCACGCTCACTTCAACGGCACCAACAGCGACCTTGCCAGTTACCTCGCCTCCCACTTCCAGTCCCACCAAGCCTTCTGCAGCCACAACGAATCAGAAGAAATTGTCGGCCATGTTTGCTATCTTGGTCATCCTCCCCGCCATCTTCAACGCTTTGTAAAAGAATGAAAGAATGGAAGAAAAGAAATAGACAGGCAGGAACTGAATCATTCTAGTCAAAACATTTCAGCTGGCTCTGAGGACAATTGTAACAGGGAGACCATTATTTATCAATAAAGAATTGCTTCAATTGAATTAACAAGGACAATGCTCACTTTGAATGGCATATTCTTGTATTCTTATTTTTTTTATTTGTTTTACCGGCTATTTGTGCTTGTGTCTCTCTTAACCGTCTCCTCCCTTCTCCCTGGACTTTTTTTTTTTTTTGTTCTTTCTAACTTGGACATCTGTCTAACAAAAGAGCACTGAAGCAAGTGACCAAAAAATATTATCCAGGTTGTGCTCTGCTTAAGTCCCTTTTCCCAGCAGTTATTGGGGATGCTCAATGTGTCAAAAGAACACGCCAATAAAAAAGCAACATTCCCGAATTGTAAGTGAAGTCAAGTCTTTATCTTTCAAACGAGGCAGGAGTCCCTCTGATTAACAAGATATTGACAGGTAAATATGATTTATTTTCATTTGTATATGGTACAGAACTAAATACAACCATAAATGAAATCTGAATTTCTGTAGGTTCTTGTGTACAAGAGCAAAAAAAAAAAAACGAGCCACCGATTTTTTCTACCATTCACAAACTCCACCTCCAAGACATCCTCCGGAACATACATTCGCCTTAGTGATCGAGTCAGAAGAACCCATAGATGCATGAACGGATGATAACGATGATAAAGAGGATGAGGGAGATGGAGAGAGCATTCGACCTCGGCGCTGCCGGCCAACCACTGGCCAATAGGTCTGACCACCTTTGCATGTCCTCATACCCTGTGACCATGGCTGCCGTGGTTGTGATTGTTGCTGTTGAAGGAGGGTCAGCGGAGTTGATAATGATGATGACAGTGATAGTGGTGGTAGTGCAGAGTCAAGTACAGCCATGTTAAGCTCATCTTCTGGACTACTGGCTGTGACTGTGGTGGAATCATTGACTGTAATCACGGTTGGGGACAGATATCCAGTAGTAGCCCCCTGTACTGGAGTGGAAGACGGAATCGTAGCCTTACCAGGCTCTTCCAGCTCAAGTTGTTCGTTTGCAATCTTCCAGCAGGTGGTTGAACAAAATCGAACACGCCTTGCAACAGCAGGATGTCCTAAATAAGACTTAACGCGGACAGAGCTAATCCATTCCTTGACATAGGGTCGCCGGCAGAATGCACAAGGTCGTGCGCCTGGCTGAAGATACTCGACCACAGTCTCAGGGATGTACTCGAGAGGTAGAGGCTCACCACAATAAAGGACAGCCCTGGCAGCTAGCTCCTTGAGGGTCGGAAAGAAATTGGAAGAGGTTACAGTAGGGCGTCTCCCTGGCAAAGGAGGTGTTACCGATGAGCCTCTACTACCACTAAGGTCTGGAATAGGGTTGCTCTGTGCTGGAGTTTGTCCAGGAGTTGAAGTGTCCAGCTGAAGCGCCGCTGCAGGGGTGAGCGATGTTGGTGATGTAGTCATCGACGGAGAAGATGCTGAAAGTACAGTGCCATCGAAAATTGATGGCTCTGCCGTTGTTGTGCTGGATGAAATCGCGGTTGTTGAAGTGGTTCTGGCACCGTTGTGGCTTAATGATGGAATATAGTCAAAGAATGAATCAATGTCCGATAACACCGCTTCTACATTAAATCTTGGCGTCGAGTAGCCAGTGCCTGTACCATTGAGATCGTTTGATGACCTCCCGTAATTGTTGGCATAGTCACTAATGTTCCCACCAGCTTCGCTCAAACCACCGACTGATCCGGCTCGCGAAGGTGGCCTAGATGATAATGCATGACGGGTATAGTACAAATGGTAGTCAAGTCTCTCATCTTGATCCATCTCGTAGCCACTCTCAGCTGAAGCCGATGGTCGTGGTGATTCACGTCCTCCCGCAATGGTAGCTGCTGTAGGTGTGCTGGAAGAGGACGAAGACACTGCTGAATTCAGGATGGCCCTTCGGGAAAGGCTCTTAAGCATAGCGGCATAACGCTCCTCATCGGAGGGTTGTGCGATACTCAAACCGCCAATTTCGCTGACAGGGTTTCTGTTTGCATCACAGTACCCACGAGTGAATGGATTCCCAGTAAGCAAGAGCGTTGTCTTTGTCAAGAAATCGGCGACATCACCTGGAATGACACAGAGCAGATTTTCACTCAAGTCCAGTGTATCTAGCTGTTTCAAATCTGCAATCTCAGTTGGCAAGCTAGTCAGTTGATTGCGACCCAAGTTCAGGTTTCGAAGCTCTCTGCAAAGCCCAATAGATTTTGGAATGGCCTCCAATTTGTTGTCGGATGCATTCAGCTGACGTAGGTGTGAGTGTGGATGGCCAATGTCCGCTGGTAAGAAACAGAGTTTGTTGTGGCTCAGATCAAGCTCTCGGAGACCTAACATGTGCTGGATGCAGTCTGCAGGAAATGTTGTTAAAAGGTTACCTCCGTACACCGACCCCAGCGAAAGAGACTCGAGCTTATCCAAACGCGCAAGCGTATGAGGTAGAGACGTGATTTGATTTGCACAGAGCCGCAAAGTCTTGAGTTGAGTGAGACTAGAGCACAGCTGAGGCGGGACTGGACCTTCAATGTGATTCTGGGACATGATCAGAACTTGAAGGTATGTCAGCCGACATAGCTCCAATGGAATCTCTTTGAATTGATTATGAGAGAGGTTAAGATAGCTGAGAGAAGGCACGAGAGAAGTCATATTCTCCGGGAGTCCTGAAAGTCTATTCCGCGAGAGATCAAGCTCTGAGAGATGGAGCAACGGACTCTGGAGTGTGCTCATCGTATAGGGGTCAAGTGTGGGCTGTAAGTTCTTGAGGTATTCATCAAGCTGAGCACAGTCGAGGCGTCTGCGGCGCAGAATGAGGGATGTAACAGGAGCATTGGTGTCACGCTCTTGTTCCTGAATGAATGTCGATGATGATGTTGGATGGATCACGTTGATGTCTACATGACCCTTATCTGATCGCTTTGGAGACCGGCGCTTGTTAACATGGCGGCCGAGGGGCGCAAGGACTGGATTGTCAATACATGACTCAATATCCACCACTTCATCCTCTGATATGTTTAATCGGGTCTGGACAGACTCCTTATTCTTGGCCATGAGACGGCTTGAGAAGGAATCTGATACTGACGTTCGTCTTGAGTCGTGTGGAGATGAGTCCAAGTCTGTTGAGGCGAGATAGGATGAAGTTGAGATGTGAGATGGTGGTATTGACAGATAGTTGGGACGTGCAGGAATAGGGGTTGAAAAGGATGATGATGCTGATGATGCTGAGGTTGATATTGATGTCGACACCGGTGGTATTGACGGTCGGTCAGAGATGCTGCTCAGCGATGAAAGTTGACCAGGATGTGGAGAGTGCATCTTGTTACGATCATGAATGAGCTTAGGTGATGATCGCGTAGTCACATCGTTGATAATGGAATTATTACTGTTGTTACCAGTACTCATATTACCACTTATACCTGTTATCTCGCCGCGTGTCGAGGCATACATGACTTTATTCGGATCATGGGCAGATGCCACAGTAGGATTGCATAGTCTCGGAAAGAGCGATGAGTTGACGGGAGCAGGAGATGTAGCAGGGGAAGGTAAAGTGGAGCAAGACGAGGTAGAAGACTCGGTGTGATTTCTGGTATAAAGTGGAGTTGGAGGCTTTTGCTGCTGCTGTTGCTGCTGTTGCTGTTGATAGTGGCATTGATCATGTTGCTGCCTTAGATATCGAACGCGCGATGGAGGTGAAGGAGGGACAAATAGAGATGAAGAAGGGCGATAGTGGCTCATGATGGCCACACTGCGGAGGAGTTGCTTTAGACGCGACGAGAGAGGCCGAGAGAGTAGCGCATGTAGTCCCCCCAGCAAGAAATAGAAGAGTAATGGGATCTGAGGGAGAGAACTGTGTGAATCTTCTGTGTATGTGTGTTTGTGAAGAGGGCAAAGATGTGTGGGACGACGTTTATTAAAAATAAATGGAGGAAAGGAACGGAGAATAAGAATTGGGACAGCAGTTGGGTGGTTGTGTACAGAAAAATAGAATGACAAAGAAAGGTCAAACGGAAGCGAGCATGAGTGAGCACAAGTAAGCAGAAAAAAAAAAAAAAAATAGAAAGCATGAGCAATCGGACATGAACAAACGGTCGAATGCACAATTCGAGATGTAAGTAAGTACTCACCCGATCAGTTACAGTTCAATTGGAAATCAATGGATGAATGAGATGTAAAATAAAAAGGATGAGTAATAAGAATGGATAAATAAATCCAGATGACGCACAAAGAAAAGAGATGAGAAATAGTGTTGATCGGAGAACAAAGAGCAAAGTATATATGATTACATTTATGCTTTGTACGGTATCGTGAGTATTATTTGTGACAAAGATAGAAAGGCCACCGTTCTGGTATGTCCATCTTCATCTTTTTTCATATAACTTGGTTGTACACACACTTTTATCTGATGAAAAAATTATCAGATCTCACGTGAGTTTCCGGGACAAGCCGCAGGGTATTTTACTTGCACTTGAAAAACATTTGTCACCAATTAGAAATAGCACTATTGTTCTATAGATGCACATACGCTCCCTTCAAATGCACGAACTCTGGTCCCCTTTTTTTTATTTACTGATCAGTTTGAGGAATCTCAAGTATACATTCAACATCTCTGGACTGGCGAAAGCACTCAGCAAGGCACGGGTATTATTCAAGGCATGGCATCTAATATGGAGCTAGAAAGGAAACTTAAGCCTATTTATGGTATAACATATCATCCTTAGCGCGCCAATTTTTGTCTGTCCGCGTTTCTCGGACTTAATTGCATATGCTATCATTATTGCGTCCATGGAATATCCAGACCTAACGAATTTCCAATATCTTTGAAAATCAATTCACTCCTATCCAAAGATGCTCTGGAAGTGGGCAATTACAGGGAGAGCATTCAGCTTTGTAATAAGGCTTTGAAGAAGCAGCCTGACCTTCATATCGTCAAGGTAAAAAAAAAAATCGGATTTTGACTCAATTGATTGTGGGAGTCAATAGAACTTTGTTGAAAGTGGCTAATAGAATAACCTTGATTAAATCAAAAACTATAGGCGCTGAAAGCCCTATCCTTTGAACGATCAGGAAAAACAAATGAGGCTTTACAACTTTGTGAAGAGATACAATGGGCAAAACCTACGGATGAGGCTACTTTAAGGACTCTATCTATGGTGCTTCGAGCTGTAGGAAGATGTAAGAGGCTGGGAATAGGGGTCAATGCTGTCACTCCAACTTGACATCAATCAACCGCGTTACGTCTTTAATCCCAAAACATAGGAAAGTCTCTTCCTATCGGTACTTACTCTAACTGAGGATACAATTTCTAGATGCACCTATGATCAAACTGTACGAGAATGCGTCAAAAGTCAACCCAAAGAACGAAAACTTGGCTACACAATGGTTTATGTCCTTGGCTCGCACTTTAGATTTCAAAGGACAGCAAATGGTATATATGTCTATCACTAAAATTGGAAGACGGCTCACTGTTCTAAAATAAAGGCCAATATTTGATATTGACCTTTACTACGATTTATATTCTACATGGAATCAAGGTTGCTCTTCAGCTTCACAAAAACTTCAAGAAGACCAAGTATATGTTTTGGGCGATCATGAGCATTACACTTCAGGTATAGTTGCGGTCATAAAAAAAAGACACAAGTTTACTTCACATTGGTCTTACGATGCTTTACAATCCAAACTAATGCTGATAGGGCAAAAAATCCTCCACCAGTCAGTCTGCTGTTTTCTATCAACTTGCAGAGCGCATGATGGCAAAGATGAATTCTGAAGGAAAGGTCGAGACCATCGAAGGTATGTTCTATTTAAGGGTGCTAATTTATTCTACTTAGTTCAGACTATGTTGCTTACTATGCATTGGCCTCACTACTTTACGTTAGAGCTACAACTCTATTTAATCATTCTATTGGGACAGGAGGATCGTTATTTGGATGCATTAAATCTTTTAGAAGGCGAAATCGGCGTCAAAACAAAAGCAATCGAAAACGTAGAGCTCCGGTTTTTGCGTATTGACCTGCTGATCAAGGTGGGTCGTTGGAATGATGCCAGGCAAGCTGCAGCTCAGATCCTCAAGGAGATCAAGTAAGCATTCTAAACACTTTTTATTCCGCCAGTATCATTTACTTTATCGAAAGTTGCTCAACAAGCTGCTGACTGGCACTATTATATTGGTATGGCATACATATGAATTTGTAGTTCGGACGATTGGAGAACTATTCTTCAATACTTTGATACCATATTTCTCCCTGTGCAAGATGCAGACCTTAAGACTTCAGAAAACCTTACAGAAGCACGCACATTTTTCTCTGAGCTTGTTCAGAAAGAAGGTAAAAATCCAAAGCGTGGCCCATTCCTGGCTCAAATTGAGCTCGAAAAACGAGTTCAAGATAAGATTGGTGAGTTTTCTTTTTTTTTTTTTTTTTTTTTTTTTTATCGTCTTCTCAAAGTACATTATATGAAATTTTGGACATTAGGTAGAAACTTATGGAAATTTTTTCTTTTCTTATTACTTTCTAATAGGAGACAACAAGGAAACTGTGATGAGGCTTATGATAGAATATTTTGACAGATTTGGCTCCAAATCCTGTTGTTTCGAGGATCTCTCTATCTACATCTCTAGCCTGGATAACCAGGATAGTCTGGAGTTTTGCAAGAAATTGAGGGAATCAGTGGTCAATAAACCCGAGACTGTTAAAGAAATTGCCGTTCAGATCAACATTGCACGTTTTGAACGATTCGTTGGACAACAGACACAGCTCAACTCATCGGAAGCTACAGCCCTTGTGAACAAGTTTTGGAAACTATACGAGGATTCACTTCCTTTTGGTAAATTTTGACATGATCACTATATCTTATGCGATTCGAGTAGGCGTTCTTTTTTTTTTTTTTTTTTTTTTTTTTTTTTAGAGCTATCAATCCCCTGGGGGCTCACAGACTGTCATGATTGTTTGTTTTGTAGGCAAGGATCTTGAGGAAACTGAGCGTCAATATGGAGACGATTATGTCATTATGGCTGCTCATCTTTTGATCGATTTGCATAGGGACACTAGTAAGTCTTTTTTTCTAGTCTTGCAATGCGATATAATGTTTTCGTCTATCTATCTGTCGGCTCGTTGCCTGGTATTAACTTTTTTGTGCTTTTCCTTGCCTTTTAGAATCTTACTTTCCACTTCTGAATGCGACTTTCATGCTGGAACATGCTCTGAACAAAAGCAAACATAACTATCAGATCAAGCTCGTGCTGATCCGTATTTATGAACTTCTTGGTAATCCTTTTTTTTTTTTTGCTTATTTTTCTTAGTTTTTGTAACTTTTAACTCATTTTGGATAAACCGCATAAATATCTAGGTGCCTACAACTGTGCGACCAACATCTACAACACCATGGCCATCAAGCATGTACAACATGATACCCTATCTCATTTTATCACGGATCGTGCTTCTAACTTCGGATTATTCGATCTGGCCCTTGCTCAGTTGTATAGTGCTCATGATATCTATCATAGCACTGAAGCCGAGGTATAGCACAAAAAAAAAAAAAAAAAGAAAAAAGAAAAAAAAAAAGATCTTGTACTACTGAGACATTCCAGAAACATACAATTTCTTTCTTATTTATCTTTTTCATATTTACTTTTTATTATAGACCCCAGAAATGATTTTACAAGCATACAAATATTCAACATTCTCAAAGGTAATTTCCTTTTTTTATCATTGCATCTAGTATACAAACATACAGATATATCTATAAGGAGAAATGTTAAAATGAAAGCAATGACACTGCTTTCTCATATCATACCATATATTTTTTAAAATCTATGGCCTAGATGGAAGAGTTCATCGAGTTTCAATCAAGGCTTGAAAATTCTTTACAAAAGATAATTGCAGACCGTGAAATAATTCGCCTTGAAATCCTCAAGGAGGATTCCGTCAGTCGTGTCATTGCTTGGCTTCAAGAATTGGAAGTTGACAATTTGAAATACGACGGTAAGTAATTGCACTGTCTCTTTTTTCAACGTTAAACAATGGGAAATACTGACTTACTTTTTTTCTCTTTCCTTTTTTAATAGCACAATTCTGCGAGTCGAGGATAGACAATCGCGATACTACAGTGATGTTGAACTGGAATCCTAAGGACACTACTTCGGTTGAGGTCCTCACCCGCCCTGCCCCACAGCCGGATCTTCAATGGATGATCCTTTTCACGCTCGTGCCTCGATTGCTCAAACATATGGCTTGCCTTTCACCCGTCAATGCCGAGTACGAGAACCATATTACTGCCCTTGAAAACCTTATCTCATCTTCAACTTCTCCTCCTTCTTCCGCGGATAGTACGGATGGCCATCAACAGCAACAACATTGCGAATTAACAACGCAGGAGATCAAGCTTGGACAGATCATGCTGCAAGTTACCAAAGCTTATCAGGTTCTCTTTGCAGCCATTGTAGCCCAGAACAGCAACAGCTCTACTAAAGAAGAGCCTTCCAAGACCGCTTCCACAGTTAAGGAACATTTATCCGCAGTTGGAGCACTCTTAAAACGTGATCCTGTCAAATCTATAGGCGTGTTGTCTTGGCAAACGTTCCATGTGCTCACTATGGTGGTCGAGACGGTTACTTATTTGAATGTCTCGAACCAAAGTTTCCTTAACCTCATTGCTAATAAGGCTAACAAAAAGTCGATCTTCAAGCCTGTGAACGTTGTTGTACAGGACTTTATGGCACAGTGTCGACAAGCTCTACAAGTTGTGCAGACAGATGTCACTGTTTTGAGAAATGTGGTCAAGCCGGATAGGATCAAGTCTGGTTTACTCTACGAGCTTTGTGATGGATCCGCCATTGATTTTGTTCGTACTCCTGTAAGTTACTCTTTTATCTCAACTATTTCACGTAAAAACATTTTGGTTAATTTTTTCTCTCTTTTTTTTTTTTTTTTTTTTTTGCTGCTTAGGCGCACCAAACTCAGATTGAGGAATTGACCCTCAAGATTGGGGCAAGCTGGATGAATAGTCTTATCAACCTTCAGCAACAAGCAATCTCTAGAGCTGTCTAAGAGTTTATAATGGACTAGACATTCGGATAGTTTTTATATAAAAATGTAAAAAAAAAAAAAAAAAAAAAAAAAAGGAATCGGCATTTGTGTACATTGAACATATGCACTGAATAAATGCATGGATGCGTATGAAAAAAAAAATAAATAATATTTAAAGTGATTAATCTTTATGAAGAGAGCGATGAGTAGGGGGACGGCTTCCACACGAATAGATACGATGCTTTGGAGCTTTTTCTTTTTTCTTTTTTTTTCTTCTTCTTTAGTTCATCTCCACAGAACGTCCAATCTCCATACGACAGATCTCCTGAAAGATATTGATGATACGTGGATCAATCGGTTCACCTGCCTCACTATCTGCAGAGAAAACAATTGCATCCAATGTACTTGAAAATGTGGCCACCTCTTTAGAATAACGACGACCCACCTCCAGGAACCAGCCTTGACCAATCTGATAAGAACGAGTTTTTTGCTCCAACTCTTCCGAGCCTGGATTCAAGCCTTCGATCTCTTTCAACTTGGATTGTAAAATCGCTACAAACTTTTGATAAAGTGTCAAAAACACCTCTTTTTGTTCACGATTCACAATCGATAATGTGTTTTCGACACCCTGCACGACTTCTGCTGACTTTGTGGGCGGTACAGCTAAAAAAAAAATAAAAATAAAAAATAAAAAAAAATAAATAAATAAAGACATCAATAAGCGCTTTTTTCTTTTTCTTTTGTAAAGATAGAAGTGATGGTGATGGTAATAGTAATGACGGCATTGATTTGTACCTTCAAATTCCTTGCGTACTTCAGCGAGCTTGTCCTTGACCTGAGCCACTCTTGAAATAACTTTATTAAGCGTATTCTTCAAAATATCCCAAACAAAGCTTCGATGCCACTCATTCTGCCATACTTCGGGCTCAAATACCCATTTCACAATTGCAATTGCATCTACGACACGATAGTTCAACATCTTGTCCAATAGAATACCCATAAACTGTGTGTTGTTTCTCCAGAATTGGGCTACAATCTTCACTGTATGCAGACGTGCCTCCGGCGTGCCATTCAACCGTTGTAAAATCGTCAGATACCGTTCAATCACATTCAAGACATGAGAAAAGGACTTGGATCCCAACATCAACACACACTCTGTAAATAATTCCCGAATAAAATCCTCACGCTCCGTCATTGTTAACGATTCAAGTCGTGGTGCGTTCTTCATACTCTCTAAGGTTTGTTCAATCTGTTCAATCGAGTTTTTGGCCCGAAGGGAGTTTAACACTGCAGAGGCCATTGCGTGATATGGATGTTCTGTAAAATATTATAAAAAAAAATTAAAAAAAATTAGTTTCCAGCACAAACTCCGGTATTCCAACGCATCAAAAGAACTGCAAAAAAAAAAAAAAAAAAAATACCTGGATTCTCAAACTTCCACGATGGGCCAGGCGCCTCTGCAGGGATCATCTTTTGAAACTCCTCTGGTAAAGCCTCTCTAATGCGTTCAAAATATGACAGACGGATAGTCTTTTCTAATGTCTCACGAATAAAGACAGACTTTGGATCATCAAAAGGTACTTCAAGCGCAGCAGCCCTATCAAAAATTCGCAATAAGTTTGTTGAGTCAAGTGATTTATAAATGGAAATAAGAATAAAGCGAATCCTGTTGACGTTACCATTGATTCCAGTCCCAGAGATATCCAAAATTGCTAAGATGATGACTGAACCAGGTCCAGAACCGATGTGCACATTCAATATCCATGGAAGGCAGTCTGTCAAAGAGGCGATTAATAGCGACAGCCAAGGCTGCTGGGAAACTATCTGGGAAGGATTTGCAAACTTCGACCAAGAGTGATGCATAATACACAGTTTTGAATTCTGGCTTAGGCAACTTGAACAGCTCTGTGAAGATGACCTCTGCCAATACTTGATCCACTGACCATCCAGGACCTGTTGGTACATCTGTTTCCATATCTTCTGCTACTGGATTGTTGGCGGCTGCAGCTGCGGCGGCTGCAGCAGCAGCTGTTGAGTCTGCAAATGTGCCAATCACATAAGAATATTGAACCATGAACAGATATTTTGCACACTCCTTTCGATTAATTTCAAACAGGCAAAGTACATCCGTCAAGTTGTCGCGGACAATGAAATGGGCAATGGAATATGGATCTGGAAGAGAGTTTTGTTGTTCTTCATCTTCACTCAAAAAGATTCTGAGCAAAGGTGCGGGGGTGTAGTATGAGATCGTGTCAGTATGTGGTGGGAAGACAAAAGGCGGCAATTCATGTTGAGACGCCATTCCTAAGACTGCATCAAATGTCTGTGAAGGCTTGATCAAAATAGACACATCCCAATCATCCTTTTGCAAGTTCTGAATCTGCTTCCACAATAATGTTAGAGGCTAGTAAGGCAAAATATACAAATATAATAAGGTAGGAGATAAAATAGTGATCTGTTAAAAAATGTAGTTCAAATTAACTACACCAGCATCCTGAAAAATACATTTATTACTTCCTTGTACATTACCTCTTCCTGGATATACGGACAGTCAGAATCCTTAAACACCTTTGTGATTTCAAAGCCCTCGGCGCCACCTCCTTCTTCTCGTGCAAGCATATAATCCTCGATCCTTCCTAGAATTTTCTCAAAATCATGGGGGTTACGATCGCGCATATCTGCTGCGCACCAAGGGAGAGTGGCGAGCACACAGTATACAGCGCAATCAGCGCGAGCCTAGAGGATATTGTTAAGAAAAAAAAATCATCAGATCCATATATCCCAGCTTAGATCCAATTTGCATAGTCTTATCCTCTTCCTTCTCTATTCAACTTACTCTGATAACAGTTTCTTCCTCAAGGACTGCGAGGAATTGGTTCATAACATTCAACAAAGTGGTTGGCAAAATAACGTTTGCATTCACCAGCTCGCCAAAAAACCGCAATAGTAGCTTAACATTCCTCCACTGATGCTTTGCTAGGTTATCCTGAAGCAGATCTGATGCCATAGTGACAATAGTTCCTCCGGTCTGCATGTTTTTGGCATTCAACAATCCAGTCAATGTTCCATAGATGGCGGATTTCATGGGCAATTCCAAGATGCTGGGTTGAAATGATGAAAGAAAGAAATCAAAATATGAATTTAGAGTGCTGTGCATATAAGGCTCCTGAAGCGAGTGGTATATATAAAGAAAGCTAAGAGATGGATCAACTCTTAACCAACATCATACCATGCTTTCAAAGATTTCAGAATGGTAGCTGAATGCTTTGCATAGTCATTGTCCAGAATCCCAGCGAGCGTATTCAGATTAGTTTCCAGAGTTGGCGTGATCTAGTGGTTCAATAGTCCATAAGTAAAAAAGAGACTATTAGTCAATCATATTTCAGTCCATAACCAGGACCCATATCTTTTCATCTTTATCCATGTTCCATTTCATTGAAAGACTGTTACCTTGTCTCCAACGCGAATAATAAGCCCTCCAAGGCGCTTTTCAATGTCATTGACCTCCTCCTGAGCTCGATCTTGCTCTCTATCACGTTGATCATGTCTGTTTCTTTCGTATGGTCTACGATATCCACCTCCGCCGCCTCTTCCTCCTATAGAAGTTGTTGTTATCATCAATGAGGAAAATCAAAGAGATTAGAAAATTCATATAGATCAAAGTAGCAGAGTAAAATTAAAGGCTTTGGCTGTTTTTTTTTAAAAAATTAGACCACGCGTCTTTGTCATACCACGCCTTTTTTTTATCTCTTCTTACCTTTATCATTACGATCATATGGACGTCCACCACCTGTATACCAAAAATAAGTAGAAATAAAAGAATGAGTTTAACATGTCGTGAGCAGACACGTGTCCATCCATTCAAAGAATAAAAAAAATCGCGTTGAGTTGACAATCTCTTGTATTTAATCAATAAATCTGACCCAGGCGTACCATAGTTATTCCTATTTCTGTCAGGTCCCCCGCTCCCTTGATTATTGTTTCTTCTATAGTCCATGTGGTCCTGCTTCTCCTTCCTTTGTGTTTAAGATGAGGACAAAAAGAAAATTGATGGTGCCGAATGTTTTTTTTTTTTTTTTTTTTTTTTACATGACTCCCAGTGGTTTGTGCGTTCCAAGCCATTGTTACTCTTAGAAGCAATTGATAGTCACGACAACAAGTGCACTATTCTAAATTCTATGATGTAATTTTGGCTTAATAAAGCCCTTAAGCGATACAAAAACGACGCGTTCTAAGCAGTGCTCCTATTCGAATCGATTCGAATAAGCCCTATCCTGGATCGATTCGAATGACGCGAATGGTTTGAATGGTTCGAATGATTCGAATAGGAGCACTGATGAAAGGTAGCATTGTTACGCGTAGCGTAAGCACGGTCATTATATTATCGCATCCAATCAAAAAAATTCATCGATAAAACCACTACAAACACAAATTTAATATTATCATTTCCTATTGTGCCAATGGTTCGAATGGCTCGGTCCGAATGGCTCGAACCATTCGAATTTAGATATCTATTCGAATAGGACCACTGGTTCCAAGTCCCAGTCATACCTGGATAATTGACTTGCTCATCAGGAGTGATTCGGCATATTGGTAGTAAACCTCTGTCCCTCGTCTGCTCCTGTCTGAGTTGACTTGCCCATCTGTTGATGACAAGAATGCAGAAGAAGGAGAAAGGAAGTGATACCGGATTCATTGAGCCTTGGGAACACTTTCTGTAACAGCTTCTCTTTCTTGGGGTCTCTGTTCCCATCTTTATCCGATTCAAGTGAGCGTTTTTTTTTTTTTTTTTTTTTTTTTTTTGCCCGGTTGAAAAACAAGGTACAAAAAATAAAAGCCGAGATAGCAATAGCACCGCTTGAAAGACTTACTTCTCGCTTTCAATTAGTGGTAGTATCTATATCAATAACATCTGTTCAGGGAGTTGGGAAGATTCTCCTAGAAGGGGTTGATCAAGCTTTCATTCTTTAGAAAGCCATTCACGTCAAAAGAAAAAAGAAAAAAACAAAAAACAAAAAAGGCAATTCTACCAGCTCCTGAAATAGTATGCTAATCAACTTGCTGCTGGATGTTCTTGCTAAAAGATTATTATTGGTTTTGTAAGATCTTTATGTAAATGGTCATTGTTGCAGCAAGAGAATGCTTTTGTAAACAGATACCAATCAAGGTATATACTAAGACTAACATCAGAGACATACACGTGACTCTTGTTTCTTTCTATATCAAAGGCTCAGAATGAAAGCCGAAAGAGTAAGGGGAAAGAAAGGGCAAAGGCAGATGGAAACGTGTTTAGTGTGATATTAAAGTATATAATCAATCAATCAATTTATACCAACAGAATCATCATCATGCAGAATGAATGCAGAAAGATAAATGGGCTCTCTGAAACTTGACTTGAATTGTGCGCCGTTTATGTGATGGTGGAGTTGGAGATGGGATGGATGTTTTATTGTATTGAAAGAGACGAAGATTCTAGAAAGCAAACATTTGCTCTCTGTCATTGTTTGCTTCTCTAGTTGTCGTTTTTTTCTTTTACTAGCAATGGCATTGAAGTTAAAGTTCATACCCTGGATCTTCATATTAACAAATAGGGTTTCTGGGCTAAGTTTTACAAGGCTCAAACTATACTGACTAAACGGGCCATTCTAAAACATACACAGTTGGATTTGAGCTTCTCTATTCAAATGACCGCATAATCTTCCTTCCAGGAAGTCGGGCAATAAAATACTATTAGGAATGGGCAGAAGAGAGTCGTTCATGTCAGCGTTTACTTTTAAACACATGATCAGGTTTCTGCTTTTTTTTTTACTTCTCGGGCTGTTTCGTTTCGTTCGTGGATTTGTTTTATTTGTTGTTTTGTTTGTTTGTCTGTCGTATGAGCATCACACGCTTTGCTTCGACTGGCTGTTAATAATGTACTATTATTCTTGTGTGGGTGGTGAACAAACAGACTCAGACTACGCCCAAACTCATCCCTTCCTTCTATTGCACCACCACTCCACACAATGAAATGATACAACAGTATTCAAACAAAAACATATCCCTTATTCCTTGTAAACACTAGATGTATCCGATGCGTACATAATCAACACCATCATTCATGCAAGTTTATTCTATTTGTTGAAGAGAGAAGAGAGCCAGGTAAAAAAAAAAAAAAAAAAAAAAAAAAAAAAGAGTCATCCTAACGGACGGAAAACACGAGTTAATAACACTATTGGTTAATGGATTATCTATAGCTTTCATGATGTGTGGTCCATGTTCATGATGTTTAAAAGAAAAAGAAAGGGGCCACTCAGGAAGAGCAAAGAGCTTGCATAAACAGTTCGCCCCTCCCCCTTCCTCCGCCTTCCTCATTTGATGAGAAAAAATGTAAGAAGATGACTCCTCTTCATTTTATTCGTTAGCTGGCTAAATGGCGGCAATAAATTTGAACAAAAGTCCCCTTGAAAGCTTTGTTATCTTTGTCGTGTCAACAAAGCAAAATCAACTTTGGTATAATATTGCATCTTAATCTTACTCATATAGTGTTAACAATGGATTGGTGGAGGACTCTTGAGCCGAGAAGGCACATTTTTAAGATGCCTCCTTTCTCTCATACCCACATATACTGTACCCTCTCTCTCTGTTGACCACCATACAATTATTATGATGATTGTTTTCAAAGCCTGTGCGTGATGTGGCGAATAGGGAAAATTAAGAAGAGGCAGAGAGCTTTGTAACAAATTCATTTGTCTATTGTTTTTTGTTTTTCTTTTTGAAAAAGCTTATCAAGATGCGATATTTAATCCAGGGAACACGATGTTCCGATTTCTTAATATCCATATTAATGTGCCTATATGCCAATTTGCCAGCCTGCCCGGGCGCTATGATGAACATGTGGGCCAGTTGGAAAAATAGGGGGGATAGTTCCCATGTAAATTTCGTCCTCTTTCCTAAACTCTCTTTGTCAAGAATCAAGGGACACACTAATGTTTTTATTTTTATTTTCATCATTTCATTCGTTCATTAATAACTATTCTGTTCAGGAAAATAGTAGCGATAATAAACCTTGGTGGTGCTACGTGTTTGACCTAGTATGCCAAGTACATGTACCTAAATTTCTATGTGAATCGTTCTAGGAGATGAAATGTAGCGTATTTGCCATGCCTTACACCCTATTAGGGCACTGGCCGATTATGTGCAATACTGGTTACGTAGAACTCCAACAATGAGACACTTCATCATAGCCTTGCGTCATGCATACCCTTGGTTGGTTCTGTCTGCTCGTTTCTCTCTCCTTGGGAAAAATTATTTCGCGCTTGGAATGTTGGCAGAAAGTAAAGAGGAAAAATAGTGTCGGGTAATTTATTTACTTACAGTACATACTTATTTTAATACCTTATTCATATATACTTTGATTCCTGCAATTAGATGGCGGCGCGTTCCTTTTTTTTTTTTTTTCCTCGAATTTGATCCGATCTACAGCATAGTGAATAGCATAGTAAAGGTTGGCATTAATTGTTCAGCTTTTACCAAACAAAAATAATAATAATAAAAAGGTGCATAAAGAGTTATATACACTTTACGGTTGAAAAGCTTGATTTCTTTCCTTTCTCCTTGCTTATTTTTTTTACCCTATTCAAAAAAAAAAAAAAAAAAAAAAAAAAATTGCTGCATGTTAGATATGTGTTGAGCTGTAGATTATCGCCTTGATCTTCTCATATTCTACAATGTCCTTTTTTTTTTTTTTTTTTTTTTTTTTTTCAGCAGAGGCAGGTCCTGTGGTCAAACAAAAAGACTATGCCACGCGCAACATGCATAATATAGATGTATACATAAATATATACATTCATATGTATACTAACTATATTAGGGGACGCTATTACCTCTTTTTTTAAAAGTCTTCCTTCAGGTTTGTTTACATCCATCGAGAATTACATTAAGGGGAGAGAAACTACGATTGAGAGCTGTTTGTTTTTGGGGTAAAAAAAGGACAGGAGGCGAGGAGTACTTTTCTCCTTCCCTCCTCTCCTCAATCCCTCAATTATTTTGTAGGATTATTGATACTCTTCGGCATTCACACACACGCGTTTTTTTTTTTTTAAAAAAAGGGACGAAATAATAAAGGACGGAAAAAGAGAGGGAGAAAGTGTGTGGATGTATAGGGACAGCAGAGCAGGAATAATGCGTATAGTTCGTCATCTGGAGGAGGCGGGAGGGGAAGGGGAAGGGGAAGGAGGTAGGGCATGAAGGTATGCTAAACCATGCCTGTGGTATGCGCCTACAATATCTTTATTATGTACAATGTACTACAAAGTCTTCCCTCACTGTTATTATTATTTAACTACTCTATTACTACTACTACTACTACTACTACTACTACTACTACTACTACTATTATTATTATTATTATTATTTACTTTAAGTTGCAGCGATAAAGGCCAAGTGACCCTAGTGATTCTATTTGTGTATAATATGGGTTCATGTATAAACATGTAGTCTGGATAACACTTGACTTTGTGAAGTCTTGTGGGGGTAAAGGGACAATTTTCATCAGGTCACATTGTTCTGTTGTTTTGGGTCTTCCAAGATTTCGGTTCCTCTTTTTACAAACCATATTTGTGAGCCCTTTTAAAGCAGAGTTGACTTTGTCTTGTTTGCCAAAAGGACGCGTTTAATGCCTTTTCTTTATTTTCCTGTCTCTCTATGCAAGCACAAAGAAAAAAGGAAAAAAAAAAAAAAAAAAAGAAAGAAAAAAAGGAGAGTAAAATCTAGAAACGTCCTTCAGGGACAAGGAGAGGCTATAGGGAAAAAGCCTGTTCGGGAAAGACGAGAAAGTACACTCGCACATTCAGCGTGATCCCAAGATGCAAGGTATCTTGAACATGTCTTCAACAAAAAGCTGAAAAAATACTGACATTCCCCAATTTTATTTAACGCAGACTAAAGGGAAAGAAAAACAAAAAAAGGCATGTTTAGGGAACACGCTACAGGATTTATCCCACCAAAACCTGCATGCAGCATCTTTTTTCTTCATGTCTTTTTCACGCCCTCTCTCTCCCTCTGCCTCTGATGGGCCTTTTTGTTTATGCGTGAGTGTGTTTTTCGGTGCGAGATTGTTCGTCTGCGAACCTTTTCGGACTAGCCTTGTTTGTCCACTGCCCTTGCTTTAACATGCATATTTGTTTGGCTCTATTGATTAATGTTGATGAGAGCTCATTCGTCCCATCCTCTTCCCCTTCACTCTCACCTCTCTCATTGCACTCACTTGGGATCATAGTAAAGAACTTTATGGCGAAAAGGTTATGCAGTTTGCATGGGATATAGGTTTATACGAGCAGAGAGTATATTACAAACACTTGATGCATATTTGTCTGAATGTCAAGCTGGGAAGAATCAACTTTAACATGAGTAGGCCCTTTGGTTAAACACATGCATTCTGGCAAAGGCTTTTTCTATTCTTTTTTCAAAAGGCCTTCCCGTATGAAGTTGCTAGTGTGCATGTAGAGAAGATAGTAGATTTGAGCAAAATCTATGCCTCGCTATCAAACGAAATGTATAAAGGAGTAAATGCTTGTAGATAGCTACAGTTCGTAAAGAACAGCAGCAATTGTCTATCTTGTCTTCTTTGACCAAAGAAAAGAAGGAGAAATGGCGCGTTAGGACGTGTTTTTTTTTTTTTTTTTTTTTCTTTCTCGAGGTAGTACCAAAGGACCGCTTAGGCACAGCAAATTAAAAAAAATGGCGCTCAGTCAATAACACTCTTTCTGGCTGAAATAAATAATAGTGTTGTTTATGGACGAACACTAGATGCAAACAAAAAAATAATAATAAAAAAAGACGGAGGTTTTTGTTCCTACTTTCTTGCTCTGCTTTTTTTTTTTTTTTCTGTTCGTCATCGTCGTCATCTTACTTCCTTCCTCTCCTCCTCCTTCTTTCTCCTTCCCCCTTCTCCTTCCTCACTTGCTCATTTCCGTTTTCTCAGATGAAAATTTCGTGAGGTTTAGCGCCAGACAGGTTGCAATCAAAAACAGAAACAAAGAAATTTGCAATGATTTAGGAGCAAGGTTTATTGTTCTTGTGGTGAACAAGCTGAAGGATTCTAAACAAAGATAGTAGACATGGATGTATGTGGATGTTTCAATGGTGGTGGATATTTTTTTATGGTTAGTGTGAACTCATATTAAAAAAAAAAAAAAAAAAAAAAAAAAAGCTCGTTGATTTATGCGTGCTAAAAAAACAAAGCTTTCCTGTCCTTGACCCTGTCTTTGTTTTTTTTAATGTCGTACCATTATTCATTCATCTCCATTCTCTCCCGTTGAGCAGCATTGGCGCAACAAATGGAAAGGAGGGAAAAAAAAAGGACTACTGCATCATGATAAACATGTCGGTTACGACTTACGAAGCAACCATTTGATTGTTTTTGTTTTTTGTAGACTAATTATTTGTATATTTATCTTGTTGATGTTGATGTTAAATAATTTGCAATTGAGCATCTCTACACATGTTCAAGATTCTAAAAACCACGCCATTGAAGGGAAAGGGGCATGTGCCCAACGAAGTCTTCTTTTTTAGGTTGAAAGAAAGGAAAAGAAACGAGAGAAGGGTCCGTTGACCTTTGGCTTTGTGGCAGTTGAGATGGTTCTAATGTGATTCGTACTAGTTTAGTCAGATAGAAAGCAGTTTTTTTTTTTTTTTTTTTTTTTTAACCGTTATCCTTGATGCTTTGTATACACACCACGAGACGGAGAGGATGCTCTTTTTGTCAGTCAACATCAATCCATCCCATTCTTCTTGCTTGAAATTAAAACAAAAAAAAAAAAGGAGGCAATCGAAGGATGAGAGCTGAAGGGCTTTCGTTGACTGACAAGGTGCACTCTCCTGTTTTGTCCTCCCTCGATGTTTGGCTAACAGACAAGAAACTAGATCAGAATGGGTCCATGCCATGCCATGCCGTGCCGTGCAGCGCCATGTGTATCTTGTTTGTTGCTCTCCCTTTTTTTTTTTTTTTTTGTTTATTTCGTTTTCTAGATTTGTCTAGCCCACACCGCCTTTTTTAGTTGTTTTATCAAGTACATTTTGAGGATCACTAAGCAAGAAAAATGACAAGCTACGAAGGTACTAATGTAAGAGAATGATTATATGAGCGAAAAAGAAAGTGGGGAGTGGAGGAGGGTGAATGTGGGGACTGCTACTTGAAACGTCTATGAGGCGAGCCAGAAACGCGTCTGTATTTGAGCTAATACACACGATTTTAATCTTTCATTTTCTAGTGTCTAATAATTAATATAATTTTGATTTTGATGGCTGAGATTGCCCTATGGAGGAAGAAGGATGAGACAAACAGTTTCTTTTTACTCTGTACTTTTTATTTCTTCCCCTTCCTCTTGCAGACTGGGGTAACTGTTGACTTGCATGCCTGTCTATTCTGAATAGGACTGGTCTCATTCTTTAGTTGCCTCCATTGCTCAAAAAATTGTAAAATGGTTCCTTCTCTCCTATTATTGCGTTGTCCTTATTAATATCGCGTGTGCTTTACAGATACAAAGTATAGACACTTGCACACATTTACTTCTTTCTAGTTGGCTGCGTGTGAGCAGATATCAGTAACGGATGAACATGTTTAACCCGTTTGCCGCCATTATTGTTGCCCAATTGTGTGCATTAACATAGTCAATTGCATCTTTTCTCCGTTCTCTTGCGATTGATTGGGCGTATCGTTTTTTTCTTTCTTTTTCCTTCTATTTTGTTCTTTGCTTATCACTGCCATTTAAAATTATATTATTATTATTATTACTGTGGTGAGAATTATTTTGCTTGTGCTCTTCTTTTTTGTGTTTCTACAACTTCATATTGCTCATTTGCCTATTCTGTTCATTGTCCCAAAAGGGGGGGAACCACTCAGAGCATGTTTCGTGTTTGGTCTTATATTGAATATGTATATATATATGTTGTGAAAATACATACTCCATACAATATATATATTTATACATGCCTTCTTATGATTGAGCTGATTTGGTGGCTGATTCTTACTATCTACCCCGTGACGAAACTGCTACAACCTGTTCTTATTGGACGCCAATACATTCAAAGTCTATTCAAAATATATATGAGGACGCGACCAAAAGAAGCAAAAGAAATAAGACATGCTATTCTATAGATGCATACAATATAATATTAGCATGTATACCTGCAATATAAATATAAATGTATGAATGCATATACAAAACGTATGATATGTCATATCACTTGGTCTATAAAAAACAAGGTTGTAGGGATAAATTGTTTACTCTGCTGTAAAGATTCAATTGAATCGGGAGATAGATAGAATAAGAGAGAGTAAACATGGGCTAGACTGGTGCAAATAAAATAAAGAAAAGAAATGGTTGTTTGCATATTTGCATTTGAATAATATATACAGAACACATTGCCCCATTCACTCTGTAGTCTTCGTCATAACATGGCGTGCTCTGCTGACCCCATTTGTCTCTAATGTTTTTGTCTTGGTTTTTGTTGTTCCATTTCCATCCATGGCACTTTGCACTAGTTGGGATATTTATCGAACAATCTTTTATAAATCACTCATACACTTTACTCACCACTTACTCATCACTGTGCAAATAATAAATACTCGCACCTTTCCCCTCCAATTTTTCTTTTTTTTTTTTTTTTTCTCTCTTTCTACTCAGCCCGCTTTGCACACTATCTCTTCCTCTTCTTCTCTTCGTCTCTTCCTCTCATACTCCTTTCAAATAGGACCAAAAAGGGCTTCCCTTCTTCTTCGTCTTTTTCTCTCTCTCTCTCTCTTTTCATCCTTCAACCCTTTTTATTTTCTAATCATACTCGATACTCGATTCGTTTTGACTTACTTTCCTTTCTCTCTTTTTCTTTATTGTCTACCTTTTTTTTTCTTTCTTTTTTTTTTTTTATACCTTTTCTCATATCACACATTCATTCTTGCAAAGATGGCCATTGCTTACCTCTAAAAGCCGTTCCCTCTTTCTCAGGGCAACACCGACACTACTCGATTCTCACTATCCTAATCTCAATCCACCCATTCAAACGCATCCCTAAACCATGATCCAGTCCGCATCCTACTCCGCAAGCACCCTTTGCTGCCGCATTTCCACATCCTTTTCTTCCTTTTCTACTTTCACTTCCTCTCGCTCTTCCATACTTTATTCATTCAACGCAAGTTAAAAACGTCTCAACAAAGCATTTTTTTTTTTAATATTCCATTTTTATGTATAGTACAGTAGTATAGTCAGCTTTTTTTCATTTTTTATTTGTATCTAGTCCTTTTTGTATTTACTGCTTCACCTCCAGCCAACATTCCTTAAAAAGACACTCACTTTTTGATCCTACCCGAATTATCCCTCCAAGTGTTGTCACACAAGAACAATGTCCACTATTGAATCTCCATCCGGATCCACCGACGCTTGGTCGTTGGTCGGATCCTTGCTCGTCGATAAACCCAACCAGACTTCCTATCAGATCTTGGATGTTCTTGGCTATGGTACCTATGGCTGCATCTATCTTGCAAGGACCCTTTCCCGCTCCCCCGATGTCTCTCCAGACTTCAAGGCCATCAAGTGTTTGTCAAAACACGGCCTCACTCCTGCCCAGCTTCTCATCCAACGTCAGGAGATTGATATCCACCTTTCACTCTCCTCTGTTCAAAAGGGTCAACACCCCAACATCGTTGACATGTCTGCTGTCATTGAGACCAAGGACTCTCTTTACTTAGTAATGGAGTATTGTTCTGGTGGTGATCTTTATGACGCCATTACCTCTCAGCATGCTGCCGCTGCTGATTCGGGCATGGGCTTTGTTACCAAACCCAGTGGTCGCTACCTTAATGTCCACTCTGACACCTCTGTTCTTGATGCTATGGAGCAAATCATCTCTGCATTGATCCATGCTCATCGTCATCAGGTCTTCCATCGGGATCTCAAACCTGAAAACATCCTTGTCGCTGGTGATGGTTCCCTCAAGCTGGCTGATTTTGGCCTTGCTACCAGGGATCGCGTCTCATCTGACTTTGGTTGTGGAAGCTCCTTCTACATTGCTCCTGAACAGCAACCCTCATCTTTGCCTGCCTCTGCTGGCGGTCGTCGTCCTTATCTCCCTTCCAAATCTGATGTCTGGTCTTTGGGTATCATCTTTTTGAACTTGCGATTTGGTCGCAACCCCTGGAAGATGTCGCGTGCTAGCGCTGATCCAACGTTTGCAGCCTATGTCCAGAACCCAAAAGTTTTGGACGGTATGTTCCCCGAGTTGTCTGCAAGCGCTCTTCACTTCTTGCACCGCGTGCTCTGTGTCGATCCCAACGAGCGTGCTGATTGTTTCGAAGCCTTGGAGCTCCTTCATCGCATCGACAGCATCGTTCGAAAGGATACTTCCATGGAAGAATGTGATGAGAGCCGAGCGTTCCATGAGTCTTCATCTTCAGTCTTTTCATCGTCGTCTACTTCATCCTCTGATGATGCTTTGTCTTCAAAGTCATCGATGGCCGATTCGCCTATCATGTCATTGAATGGTACTTCTACGTCCACTACCTCCTCCTCATCCTCTTTGCATCATGATGATATTTTCCATATGGAGGATGACTTTGGTGCCAAGAACATGCAGTTGAGATGGTCATTGACTTCTTCTGCAAAGTCATGGTCTGATATGGCTGATGAAGATGAGATGGACTTTTCTCAGCCCATTGAGTTTGAGCAACAGCAACAGCAACAGCAACCAGTTGACTTTCTTTCCCATGTTGGTTTCCCTAAACTTACGGACCTTGTGAGTGCCATGACTGCATCTTCGGCAACTGCCCCTGTTGAGGTCGCATAGGATCTTTTTTATTTTTATTTTATTTTATTTTATTGTTGTTATTTTTCTTTTTCTGTTTTTGTAAACATTTTTGATAATATCATTTGTAGTATCCCCATGTCTTTGTAGCTTTCACCCCATTTTTTTGTACATTAAAAATAAGAAAAAAAAATTTTGGCAAACCCACTACCCAACCCATGCCTCTTTTTTTTTTTTTTTGTGAGAATAATAGTAATAATAATAAAAAAAATAACAATCATTCCTATAAACGTGTGACCTATGTGAGCATTAAAAACATGCACAGTCTTTTATCATAGACAAAGCCATGTATGACTTATAACCTCCCAATGATCCTTTTTGATGGAAATTTATCTGATCCCTGCAAAAAAAAAAAAAAAAAAAAAGGGGGAGGGGATAAGCAAATCTATGGGATGGTCATTCAAGTTTCTAGAAAGGTTTACTTCTGGTGGAGTTAATTTTTTTTTTCTTGGAGTCGAATGCTGTCTATTGTTCAGCTGGGGGGTTTTTTTAAACGGGAGTCATACTCCCCTTTCTTTCCCTCCCTTCTCTCCATATAGTATGTACATACACCCCTGAGCTTCTACTTCCCCACACCAGATACATTCACTTGCATAGGCGTCAATGAGAGGCATGACCTTTTTTTTATTTTTATTTTTATTTTTTTTTATAGGATTGGGATGTGGGGAAGAATGAGGGGTTCAAGAATAAAAAAAAAGACAGATGACTTGAATTCTATTGTTTGGTTCCTCTGCAGCTTTCCGGTACGGTAAACGCGTGCCACGTAGGTTTTTTTTTTTTTTTTTTTTTTTTTTTTTTTTTATTTTAAAAAATGAGAATATAAAAGGATAAATAGGATAAAAAAGGATAGAATGGATGAGTTAAAAAATCTAAAGTTAGGGCATGTGATTGGCTCATTTTTATTTTTATATCATTTTAACGCGTGTCGAACAACCAGAAAGTGAGGTCATCTTCGGTTGAATTTTTTTTGTGGATTTTATCAGGAATTATGCGCGCAGTGCTGGATGTATCTTTTTTTTTTTTTTTTTTTTTTTTTTGACATATCCGTCTGTTTTATTATAACATAGCATACTATATTGTTTTATAACTATACCATAGCCTTTTGCAACTTGAAGAGTTCGAGTTCCTTCATACTGTCTATTTTACTCTATATTCGAAATATCTATTCAAATGGAAAGATTCGGCTTGTTTTGCATCCGAAGCTAACTTCTCGATCCTCTTGCCCGTAACCCATTTAAAGTCTTATAAAAGATAATGTCCGTCTGATTCCTAACTATACTCTAACAATTAAGTAAAATAAAGTAAATAAAGAATATATAACAAATAAATAAAAAGACGTTCGATTCAAGATATTCGAGTATAGGAGAGGAGTGGAAGAGAACTTGTGATGGCTGTAGTCATGCCAGTTGAAGGATGCGGATCAAATTTACACCGAGAAAAATGTTGAAAGTGGCCATCTGTCTCCTTCCAACTCAAATGCCATAACCTTTTTCTCCTCTTTCGGTTTGCAATACAGTAATGTTGCTTAAGGCTAAGATAAACGGGTAAATAGACAAATAAATAATGAGGTAGTGTTGATTTTAGTATCAAGTATCTAGTATGGCATGCTTTTAGTTTATTCCTTGGACTGTAAAACAGGCAAATTTATCCATTTGGCTTTCATCAACTCACGGGCAAATTCAAATCTCTTGCTTTCTACTAGCAGAAAACAACCATCTATTGCATGCCAAAGAAGAAAAATACATGTATAAGTAAGAATCAATCAGTAGAAATCAACTAGCAAAAAATTCAGCAAAAACCATATATATATATATCTAGCTATATCATCGCGATGTACTATGTCCACCATTCATTTGCCTCCGCTCCTATGCGCATCTATCAACTTTTACCATTTTCATCGCTTCTTCCTCCAGCTTAAAGGAATTCAAAATATCAAGTGCCTACCCCTACTATTTTTTAACTCCTTTTCGGCTCCTTTTTCGTTAGAGGTACGTTTCCGAATTGTTCTAAAAATGGTTGTCGTTCGAGTCTTTAAAAAACCGATCAATTACAGGCTCAAGTATTTGTCCTTAACAGCAATAGTATCAGGCCAAATAGCTGGAATATGGGGCTGCTGGCATTCATCCCAAACGCTCGATCCATCAGTTCTCGGAATCAAGTCTGACTTGCACCTAGTCATCAAAGGTACCAATGTATTTGTTTGTGAAGGCGAGAGGCCTGTGGTTAGCTCTAAATTTGATTTTGAGAAAATCACACCGGAGATGAAGGACTCTTTTGATGATGCAACCATAAATGGGAAGTGGCTTGAGAGGGTGTTTGGATACCAGGTGAAAGGTAATGTTGGATTGCGCTTTCGCTACTTTCATCTGTTATAAGAGCACTTATTTTAGACTGATAGTTCTTGTTACCATTATACTGGGCGCTCAAGGCGAGTTGTACGGCATGCTGAGTCGATTTACCTGATGCGGCCTACTGGCTTTTTTATGCGACTAAAGGACCACATGGACATACTCCACATGCTCATGTTCCTCACCAACTTGCCAATCTTGAAGAGGCTTTCAGTAAGAGTTGAGGAGAGCGAACAATGACTACTTGCGTAAATGAGTGTACCATGAGTTCTAACTTACCTAAGCTGTCTCTTTGTTTTCTTGGTATATCTAACAGGGGCTCAATATATCTTTCAAAGCATTGGATCAAGACGCTCCGGATTTAAAAGACTTGGATTTGATCTTCGTTCGAATTACCCCATCATTGGAGTCCTCAGTGGGCCTCCTAGGGCAGGCCATCCACCTTTGTGGTAATACATTCCTTTACTCTACTTGAATCTGCAGCCAATAAGAACAAGTAGCTATTCCTGTCTCACATGAAAGCAGGTTTATGTTTAGCAAAATAAAATTAGCTTACCTTGCGGTAACTATATATATATATATAAACAATACTAACAGTAACAAGTGGTTGGTTATGGCGGATTCTTCACTTGTGTGCACGCGTTGCTCGAGGGGGACCAAGCCAATGCTGTCACAACTATCGAATATTCTTGAGATAGACATGTTATGTGGAGATTACAAAAAAAGATATCGCCCTAACACTTAAATATTCATCGCTGGAGGTATCAGCAATATTTTGCAGCCTTCAGAATGTTACTTTAATAAGAACAAGAGTCATCTTCTTTCTTTTCCTTTGCTTCCCCCTTCCCTCTTCCAAAAGCAAGTAAGCACTTGTGGTAAAGCATTTCAGTAACGGCTAATTTTGATGGCTGTAAGCATTTCGGAAAAACATCCCTAATTTGATTGGTTGACGAGACTGCTGTCTCGTATTTTTTTTTTTTTTTTTTTTTTTTGAAAAAGTGGGATTACATGAAGTTATGGACTTTTGGGCCAAAAAAGCCCCTGAGCGATGTAGATAGTGGCAGTGCTGTGTAACACTATAATTTTATTATTATTATTACAATTACTATTATTACCGTCGCTTCTTTTCATCCCGTTTCTCAGCTGGTGGTTGCATCGAAGCTTCTGCATAGTCTGGGGGTGGTCCATCGTACGCCTGTGGCTCGGCTTCAACAGGAACTTTGATACTTTGAGAAAAGTACTCAGCCTCGTCTGCTGCCACTGTTGCTGCTCCTGCTCTTGTTTCTGACTCTAGTTCTGGTATCACAGCATGTGGGCTTCTACGGTGTATTGTTGATGGTGGCGGTAGTTGATGCAGTAGGCCGGGAGATGTCGATTTGGGTGGTGATGAGACATTATAGGTAGTGTCTTGGGGTGCTCCTGGAGATCGCAATGGGAACGTTACTGAAATAGGCTGCGAGTGTCTCTTGCTTCCATTATTGCTGCTGTCAAACCCTTCAAGAGTTGGTGATCCAGGAATGTGAGGGATCGGCATCGACATTGGCATTGGTATAGGCATATGGACAGGTATTGGCATTGGCATCTGTTGCTGCTGCTGTAATGGGCTCACTAGACCACCAGGCGGCCCTGGCGGATACATAGATTGCTGTTGATATGGCAACTGTTGGCGCTGCGAATGAGGATAAGGCTGAGGCTGAGACTGAAGCTGAGGTTGCTGGGGTGGATACGGCATCATCAGTGGATGAGGAGCAGTAAACCCTGTGGAAGAAAACTGATTCTCACCTGAATGAGGTCGACTTCTTGGGGGTGATGAAATACGTTTATCTTCATGTCCATGTCCATAACCTGGTTGATAGGACGTTGCAGGTTTGTAAGTCGAATGAGGAACAAACGGACTAGGGTCTGTAGTACCAGTATTACCACTATTGCCACTATTGCCAGTAGTCTTAGCGGATGTTAAGACGGGTGTGCCATCTTCTTTGGTAATATTGCCATTGTGACCTCTGTTATTTGCTGTTGTTATTCCAGATATGTCCTTTTCAGGAGTTACAGGTTGTATGTCTGCATGTTCGGAGGCAGATACAGTCGTGTCGGAAACAAAAATGGGGATAGGCTCTTGTGAACTAGGGGTTGCTACCTCTGTAGTAGCCTTGGTTTCGGGGAGCTCGCCATTTACACTATTTGCGACTACTGCTCCAGCCGTAGTAGAAGACTCAGTGCCAGTGATTCTATTCTCCGATGCAGGTCCTTCTTCAGACTCAGGGGTAGGTGGAATCTCATTAATCACCTTGACAACCGGGACGCCATCAACATAAGTAGTTGTTGTCATCAGAGACGACATACTGGGTCGTGGAGAAGCAGATCCGGTCGATGAAGAGATAGAGTTAGATCGCTCATGACCCGAAGTTGACGAGGTTTTGGTTGATGATGGCGACTGTAATGAGTACCAGTCCGAGCCAGACTTCATGGCCAAGTCCTTGAGCATGGCATCCATGGCCTGCTTGTTGTCTTTAGGGAAATCCCCGAGGTCAATCTCCGAGAGTTGGATCTTGGGTTCATGTTTCGGCCAAGTTTTAATAGTGTCCAAGCAGGCCTTCACAGCATAAGCTGTCTTTGCATCGCCTGTAGAATGAGGAGGGAAAAAAAAGAGACTTAGTTTGTTGTAGTTGAACAGAAAAAGTATATCGTGTGTAAATTATGCGAAGGATAAAATAAAAAAAAGGCGCAAGCTTACCATCATATAGCGCAAAGCGATCATCCGCATGTGTTCCTGCTGGCGTAGGTGAATCATCCAAGTGGCTCATGATCTCTCGGCCATAATGAGCAATAACAATAAATTCCTTGCCCAACTTTTCCAATGAGTCCAAATGTTGCTGTGTTGCCTTCTTAATTTTTTTTCGCTTAAGATCTTCGAGTTCATTTTCAATTGCCATGGTCTCTTGTCTCAACAATTTCATTTCTGGATGTAGTTCAGGGCCATGGATAGAAACTGTCTTCCCCCCTGCATTACTGCTACTGAAGGTGTTGCTGGAGACTAATGAACTAGTGGATGCATGTCCATGTTGAGTATGGTGATATTGGGATGAATTTTTATCCAATCCTAATTTCTGTTCCAAATCTAGTTTCCGTTTACGAACTGAATAATTGTTATCTTCTGCTACTCGAATCTCCTTGAAAAGCTCCCGACTCTGTGCAAGACTGTTGCCATGTTCGCGCTCAAGATCTGCAGCCTGAAGGATCAGGACACTAAGTTTCGAAAGCGTGTCTGAAATATCAGGACCTTCTGTCTTGGCGTAAATGGCGAGATGCTTTGCGGCTATTTTTATTGGTTCGGATGGATTAAATTTGTCCCAAAAAAATAAAAAAAATAGAAACTGATTGTAAGTGTTTTTTTTTTTTTTTTTTTTTTTTTTTTTTTTTCTCATTCATTCAGTGAAATTGTGTACCTTCTTCTTTTTCAAATGCTCCCCGTTTCAACGATGTCAAGACATTTTTTTGTTCTTGAATTAAGATACGCAGTTCAGGCACAAGACCACTAAGTGGTGAAATGCCATCGATCCCTCGTCGAATCCCATGAGCGATCTTTGTCGCGCGTAAGCACGGGTCAATGAGATGAGACATGGAACCAGTCTTTTTTTTTTCCCTCTTTTTTCTTCTTTCTGTAGTTGTGGCGATAATAAAATGGTAGAGGTTGGAAGGTAGTAATAGAGTAGACTTGTAGTACTGATGATAACGGGCGTTGATGGTAGGAAAATAAATGCTATTTTATGATACAAGTAAGAGTAATGGTGGGTATATAATCGTAAAAGTGTGGGACAAATTGTTTTTAGTTGTGAAGAAATGTTCAAAAATAAAAAAAGACAGCAAAGAGAAGAGAGAAAGAAAAAGGAGCAGAAGTGATTACGAGAATGTGAATCACCTGAATTACGTCAAGCTGCGCTTTCTCTAGTCTTGGTATTATAAATGTATACTTGGATAAACAATGGTAAACAATGGATAAACTGTGGTTAGTGTGCTTGCAAACACAAATGATTAACAATTAAAAATCTTATCAGGATCGAAGACCACTTGCTGCTGATCCTCGAGATGGGCGGCCAGACGAACATTATGAGATTGCCCATGGAGTGCAAAACCATACATGCGCCATAAGCTCTCGTAAGTAGATACGTATCGGTTATCCCTGTAATTGTTGACCTCATCGAGATTAACGTTTCCCCCATCCGCTGCTACGATAGCAACTAATGCTCTGTCATGACCCTTGTGCATATATTTGTAAATACTTGACTGATGAAGCTGATCCACAGACTTCAACGTTAATATGCGCGTTATATTTAGTTATAAGTCATAAATTATAGGCAGCAACCCAAGTGCTATCGACAGCGTTGCCTTTTGAGTTTACAAAGGGGCGTGGGGGATCGTTACGTCGATGATAAGTCGGATAGCCATCCTCACTTCTTGCGCTATTTCCCAAGAATGGGCGTGGGCACTTTTTAATGGTGCCTGAGGATTATGGACCCCACATGGCCCATGTATCATGTGAGAAATCACTGCCTCGTGCGCAAGCGGAGCGCTGTGTCGATCAGGGATCTCTGCAGATACAATAGAGTTAATGTCGTCTACTGTCCGAGGCTTGCTTCCATCATCAAGGATTATGAATAGATGCTGATGCGGCAAACCAGGTTTCTGAAACTCGACGACCCAATTGTAGACAATAACTTTCCCTAGACATCTTTCTTGGAGAGGTCGACCCTCTAGAGCTTTCTTTTTGAGATTAAATACTCGCACGCAAAGATCGGGTCGATCAGCCGCTGTTTGGCCATCATAAAGAGCCTCCTGGATCTCTGGGGTTACATGAAGAGATCAGACTTCCCAAATTTGCGGACCATGGCAATGGCATCTTGAAATAGTTGATGCATAAACCTGGGACCCCCAACAAAGGAAGATGGCAAGATGACTCGCTTTTCAATATTCTCTGGCCTAAGATCGAGATCAATTGCATCTACTATGCCGATATATGCATCCGCTTTGAGCTTGGATTGGTACATACTGATGTTCAGGAGCCCAAAAGTTTCCAGCTTGTAATATTGGCCGACAATATGTTGATGAGTCAAGCGTGGAATCATCCAAATGTAGGGTCGTTGACCTGTTGAGCTCATTGGGCGAATTTGCAGCCTATACGCATAACACTCCCTTTGGCTGATGAACTCTCGGATTTTTTTCGTTCGGCTCTCATGAGACTCCATCCAATCATCCTCAATATCCTCACTATCGCTTCTTCCAAAAGACCTTTCAGAGGACAGTAATGACCTGATTTCCTTCTTATACTTGCCGTATGTCCGCCCACCACCCACATTCGTCATTCGGATGCAAGGGAACATAGTGAAGACTGTCGTATGATGGATGAGTCTCATTGATTCGCTGTAAACCGTCTCCTTTGTACTCAATAGCGATATCCCTTTTCGAAGCTACGCTATCATCACCAGGCATCAAAGCAGCAATTTCAGAGGACGAAGGAGGACCATATTACCTTCGTCCTTGGCCCCTTAGGTCACGCTGGGACTCAGCACGGATGACAACCCTTAATTGAGTACCTTGGCCATTGACGCGCTCTTTGATGTTCTTGGGTAAACGGGTCATCGGATGATGCCGTTCGAGAAGTTGCTGTAGCTCAATTAGCAAATTATTCTCAAGAGAACCGTCAAAGTACTCATGCGAATTTTGGCCTGCTCTTCAGGGTCGTAAATATGGCTGTGGATCTATAAAAACTGAGGATCTACGCCTTCGGATGAGTTCATAGGGCTAATCAAGTGAGCGATACTTTCAATAATACGGAAAGTGTACACGCCTTGTAGACTCTTTGCAAGACTCCTGTCACGGTTCACTTTCATCGATGTGAAGGACAGAGGACAGTTGTATTGTCATGCATTACTGTGAATTGTTTTGCTTCCCGCGCCTTGGCCGCCAAAGAGCTCTAAAAAGCGGCGTGGAATGCCCTCCATATGGGGGACTTTGACTTTGACAGCTACTAGAGTACAACGAAAATTCTGGTCGGTGTTTGGTGCTTTTCACACGTTCTTCGAGGAACATGCTAGCATTGTAATAAGGGCTGTGAACTATCTGCTCTAAGCGGTGCCTATGACGCTCGATACTGGGTTCCGAGATCAATTCTTGTCAGAACCTCCGTCTAGCGAGGGGTGAAAAATATTTAGACAGACAAGTAGTTATGAGGGACAGAAAAATAAGTGAGAATAAGATGTGGGAACACACATCACATCCATGGGGTATTTATTAAAGATCATATCAAAGTATAACTACAAGTTTGTCTACGAGCACCATAAATAGAGTAACTATGGGGCCTGTTTTTGTGATATACAACCGTTGGTATGTATTATTTCTCGTATAAAATACATGTCTTGCTTATATAAAATGTATTATTACTTGTTACATGAGCACACATATTAATTTTTATGTAACACGTGTACTGTGAAATATGCAACACACTTGATTGGTATTCGATTTAATTCTTCAGATTCGTACCGGCTGCTCCTCCTGAATATGCAGCTTCGGTGTCGATTTTTATGACACGCTGTCTTACATGTTTCAAGTATCCAGGTATTGCCTTGGCATCTTGACTATCGTTAATAACAAACTTCTGAACCTTAAAATTATCATACATGTATCCTGGTACCACAAAATAGAAGAAAATAGTATCATCACTTCCCTTCGACTTTGATCGGTTTCCCTTCGAGCAGGGTCCGATAATATAATCAATTATCTTCTTGAATGGTGCTTGCTTGATCGGATGTTTCTCTGATACTGTGATCTGAAATAGCTTGTTGGGTTCCAATGCAAAATCAATGCATGGAAAGTTGCGTATAGATGGTAGAACAACTTGTCTGTTGTTTTGGAGAATGTTGAAAAATCTGCTGTAGCCCTGGTAAATAATACTTCCGAGGAGTCCCTCGGAAGATCAAAGAATCCTGTTTCGTCTGATTGAAGATCCTTAAATGGAAACCTAAGTCCACCACATCGAATTAAATAGTGAACATAGAGTTCAAACGAAGGACCTTTTTCTATTTCACTGCCAACTTTGACAAGTCGCTTCAACACGTCGATCCAAGTCTGATCTCGTAACTTCATGATGATCCGCGATCGAACATAAGGAGATGCCCATACCAGGTGGAAGTCGAGGTGGTCAGAAGTGGGGACTCTATGGAGTAAACAACTACCCGCTTCATCTCCTTCTCTAAAGAGGTCTGAAAGATTGCTTGGGAGCCAGGTTACGCCAATGGCATCATTGACACACTGAAACGCACTTTTTCTAGCACGCTCAGTATGTTTTTGATTTTTGGATAGTACATCGGCTGGACACTGTAGAACCTGTCTTGGCACTCCTCCCAAGTCGTAAAAAAGTTCCTCCAAAAATGCTTCACTCACTACATGAAAAAACTTTACATTGGCTCTACATTCCTTAAGCTCATCCAGACTCCAGAGTGACATGTGATAGTAGCTATCTGGTGTATTTTCCTTGGTGAGTTCATCGTAATGCCCATAGAGAGTTCTTGGCGATGCTGAAAATATCGTCCTGGCTTCACCTGGTTGAGGATCTTTACCACTATCAACTAAGTACCACGTTTCAGGCCGAGCAAGGAAATCTTCGAACATCGTTATATTCCCTTTACGTTGGCAAGTTGTTCCTCCATAAACATAGCATTTGGTATGCTGCTTCTCTTGGAAAATAATAATCGGTGGATTTTCCTCATCGTGTTCGGCAAGGAGGCGGATGGCAAAATAGACCAAAAAGGCTGACTTCCCAATTCCAGGCGTTCCAGTGATAAAGAGTCGGTTCAAACGAGGTACTTCATGAGGGGTACTTAATCCGGATGTAACAAGGCCATAAAGCTCTTTATATTCATCTCTGATATAAAGATGCCTTGTTCCGGCAACAGGGAAGATACGACCCTCAGGGGCAGTCAATATTTTGGAATCCTTGATACCACCAGAATTTCGGAGCTCGCGAGCCACGCTAATAATGCCTTTGTAAGGATCATCTGCTGGTAGCCCCCCCATGTACGAAAGCACCTTGACCCTCTCTTTCGAGTTGAGAGGCGAGACGGTAGGGCCACCATCCACTATCCCTTTCGTTACAAGCCCTGCTTCTGTAATCGCATCCATAAGATCACCTCTGCTACTCATGCTTGGACGAGCTTTTTTAGAGGGTGACTCTGATAAAAGAGATAGAGTGATCAAAATTAATATTTTTGATTTATTGCACATCACTCTAAATTGATCAATAACCAGGTTCTCAGCCAAAAGCACTCACCAGAATCTCCATCTTGTTTTCTTTTCTGAGCTAAGTATCAAAAGCGAATAATGAGAAAGAACGTTGAGTTATCAAGGCACAAACCAAATGGCGATATTATGCACATGGCCATTTAAGATATAAACCAAGCTTCATCAGCTGGAAATGTCAACAATCAGTCCATCAAGAGCCAAAGATATACCTCGCTGTGGTGGCTTGACAAAAACATGGATAGTTTCCTTTGGAAGTTCAGAATTAAATATGTTCCCAAGCTCCTTTGATGCGACTGTAAGAGCCTCTTTTGACTTGATTTCTGACTCAAAGATGGCCTCGCCTTTGTCAGGGATGGAAACCTTGTAGAGGGTAAGCTGGTCAGCGTCGATATTATTCAATGCATTGGCTTTCTTTGCTTTGATGACCTCCTTGAGTATCCCGACCGATTTATCGCAGAAAATCTCTACTGGGAACGGCGTTGCTTCGCCCTCGACAACGCAGTTCAGAACCAGCAGCAGTGGGATGGCGCGCTTTTTTCGTTGTGGGTGCTGGTTTTTTCTTTTTCGTTTATTGAGTATGGAGGCATCCTCAGGCTTATTTGCTGTCATTTTTTTTTTGTGCTTGGCTCTCTGTGGAATCATTTGTAGCCATGTTTTTTTTGCTTGGCTCCTTGTGGTGGCCATTGAAAATTAAGATGAGTGGGACTGAGTGTGGTTGAAATGCAGGGAGAATGATGGTTAAATAGGCAAAGGTATATTCTATACTCTTTCACACTTGTGGTTGCTGTATGAAAACAAAAATGAAAAATGTGTAAGGCAAAAAAAAAAAAAAGGAAAGGAAAGGAAAGGAAAGGCAATAGATGAAGGCTTGGAATAAATAAAAGAGCAAAATCGACGGGAGGGGTGAAATATAAAGGAAGAGGGAGAGTGCAAAAATGAAGTGAAGCAAAGGAAAGAAAGGAAAGAAAGGAAAGAAAGGAGCGACAATTGCAATTGATCCTTTATTTTAAGGTTAGGCGATGTGTGAGAAAATATTTTTTCAAATCAGCCACGTGCCATTTTCTGGGTCATTGTGACGTGACAATCTTTAGTGCGCAAAGAACTCATTTCTCATTTTCCATGTCCCTCAGATAAACGTTTGTTCACACTCTACTTGCTCATTCCTCTGCTTACAACTGCTCCCCATGAGGACTGGAATGATCATTGGAGGGGGGCATTTGAAAAGGATTATAAAATTGAATTTGCCAGATGTCAACTGATCACTTTTTCCGCTTTTACTGTAATACAACTTTGATTACAGTTTATGATGGCTCACTGCTTAAAAGCCTCTATTGCAATTGAGCCCCTGAGAACGGTGCAGGACTGTTGTTAGAATGTCCACTGAAAGTTAAGTGGACTACTATCAAGACAATCGTTAACATACAATATGTGCGGTGTTATATGGGATTCCTGCATAAAATGGCTGTTTATTATCATTGCTTGTGTAGCAGTGGTGATTTTTTGAACTGAAAAGTGTTACATTTCTAGGCAGTATACAGAGCTATTGCACTCACTTTGGGCGGAAAAGGTGCGCTAGATGGAAGTAATCTTTAAAATTTACTTAGACTGACTGGTCTTCATGATATTTATGATATAAAATAAAGAAAAAGGATCACAGCCATGGTGTCCATCCCTCATACATGTTTGCCAGATTCTCTACATTGGTTGCTTCTTGAATCACACGGTCCACTTGCTCTGTAACTTTGCACTTCTTGGCTGCTTCAAAGTCACGTCCTTCCAACTTGTGACGAACTCGTCGCAAGATATGCACCGCATATGCGTTGCGTTGATGCACTGGCTGTTGCTGCTGCTGTTGTTGTTGTTGTTGTCGTGGTACACTGTAAACACCAGCTCCATTGATCAAATTAGCCGCTGCAGGTGAGCTTGACTGCGCTTGATCTTTTGTTTCAGCAACACCACCACCACCATTCATTCGTCTAGAGCTGGTTTCAATTGTGGCCGCAGTGGTGGATCTGATATTGCTGTTTTTAATGGAGACAATGCTCTCATTCAATAATCGCTGCTGTGTACTCAATGACCGTGAAGAGTTGCTGTCATGTGCAGTAGTGGCAAGTGATACACTACTAGTCTCACTTTCACTCTCCTGTCCTATTAATCCTGGAAGGCTATCACGCATTGATGATTGACCAGCATCATCTGCTATTGCTCCTACTCCTTCTACTGCTCCCACACCAGTAGCTCCACCCCCACCGATTCCAAGCCCAGCTTGTGCAGTCATCGTTGCTTCAATCTGCCAATCCACCAGGGGATCATACACGAATGCTTCCAATAAGGTCACCAAAATTTCTTTGTTTTTGCGCATCACCTTCATAGTCTGTTCACATCCAATCCTGAAATTGCCTTCTACTCCTGTCACACCCAGACTGGTCAACATATTTCGGCTCAATCTGAACGGGACAATCTCTGGTATCCGAAGTCGCTTGCCCTTTTCAAAACACACATTGTAATCAATATGGACTAAATCCCCTGTTGTGAAATCAATCAGTATATTATCCAAATGGCGGTCACCTAAGCCAATTACATAGCCAATCATCGACATCACTGCGGTTGATCGCGCAAATCGGACTGACTTTTGCCACCATTCTGCTGGTGTAGGACTTGAAGACCAAAGCTCACGCTCCAACAAGTCTGCTGGCGTCTCATTAGCCATTTCATGGTAGAGATCCAACAGAATCGACTTTGGCCATTGACGTCGTGGATAGTTCGGGGGTAAACCTGTCCTTTTCAGTGCTGCTATAGCTTTCTCATGATATACCTCTGTAGCACGTTGAGGCTGTGGGGGTGGCCCTCCTGAGGACGTTGAAGAAGCATCATCGTTCATCCACCGTCCACACATCATCTCTCGATGTTGCCACTTGGCAATGATCGTAAAGATCGAGACAGTATTCTCCACCCACTGAATCATACCCGAGTTGTCGCTAAGAGGCACCACTGCGTAGTGACGTGCATTCAATTGCCTTGAGTTTGAGTCCTTGTCCCGCTGTAGCATTCCGTTTGATATCCGAAGAAGCTGCATCACACGCTCATCCAGATGAAGATCCTCCAAACCTTTAAAAAGATATGTGTAGCGCTTGCCATCTGATCCTATCAAAGCCAGCTTTTTGGGCTTTGTTTTTGTTGGAATAACAACCACCTGCTGCTCAAATGACTGAATTGTCACCCCCGTGCCTTGGTTAGGACTAGGAATATCAATTAACGACGATTGGATCGCTGCTAGCTCTGGACTAAGGTTGGAGAGCTGTAACACTCTTGTGCCAGAAAGCTCTTTGCCTAGTTCCATATAAACCTGCATCGATAATGGAAATACAAAAATTGACAAATAAAGAATTGGTCAACCATTAGTTGTTCATTGACAAAATAGTAAAGCCAAGAATGCTTCGGTCAAGTCTGTCGTCTTACCTCTTTCAATTTAGTTAGTCCCTCAAACAGATTATTCCATGCTCTCGGTGATTTCAAGGCGTCTAGAGCTATCAGGATCTTTTCTCGAAAAGTCGAAACGAACCATCGCTCATGATCCGATTCCGGATAAGAGTTCGATTCCAACAAACTATCTAAAGGAGCCAAGAGTGGAGTAATTGTCTGCTCATAATTGTCTGACATCACTGTCTTTCTGTCCTCCGTTTCTAATCCTGCAACTGTATCCAGTCGCTGATACTGTTCTGTGAGTTCTTGAAGAGCATTTTTGAGCTCAGGCAAGCTGACCATAATTCTTTTATACCACACCTCCTCCCAAAGAACAGTGACTCTTTCTAGTTCTCGGATCAAGTGCTGGACTTGCAGCACTAGCTCTGGATGTGATTTATTCAAAAAATCGCCAATAGAACGCAAAAGACGCCGCTGACATGCGCTGTTGTGAGCTGAATTGGCGCCCACTACACAATGGAACACGATAAGCTGTGGATATTGCTCGCCAATTTTACAAAGCAAGTCTACAATAAGTGACTGCACAGGCCTTTCTGGATGGTCGAGTCGAGCAAAAAGCTGGGGAATGATGTTGGTCCAGGGACTGACGTTGATGTCGGCCAAGTTTTGGTGGAATGTATCATAAAGTTGACCACCATGCTTAGCAAGAAGCCGCAGAAGCCGCAGTGTTGCCGTGATTTCATCTGATACTGCAGATTGCGATATCTGTTCTTCAGCTTCTTCACCTGATGTCGTCTATTGATTATGAATTTGTGTCAGTGTCCAAGAATTATAAAAAAGAAAAAAAAAGAAAGAAAGAAAGCAGATGTACATCCAATGAAACATAGGGAGATGACATACTTTTGATCTCGGTTTACTACATGAAAATTCTAATGCCCTAAATTGAAGAAACCGGAAGTAGCCATGAATCGCCAAACGATAGGCTTCAAGGATCTTTTGAAGTAGTGCCTGAAAGGACTCGATGATTTCGAGTATTACAGCTTCCGACTGGGCAATCTTCTCAATACTCATAAGATGTAATCGTATGTTATCATATGTAATGGATTCATCGAAAGGTTGACCAGAGGCGCATTGTTTGACAAAAACGCAGAAAATATTCTATTATCGTTTAAAAAGAAAATTAAAAAGAAAATAGAAAAAAAAAAAAAAAAGGACTAGATTAGTTAAGGACTCAAAGAGCCATCTTAAATTGATGATCATATATGAGCGGAATAATGGAAGCAAGCAAATATGTATTGTATACCTTGGAATGCCCTTCAGAGTTTTCGACACCCGCTTTTTCCAAAATACTTATAATTGCCTCATTTGCAGCCATCGCCACTGGATGGTGAAATCGAAATGATCCAAGCTCGTCTAATATACCCCATCCTTGCTTATAATGGTGTGTTCCAAATGCGAACCAAGATTTTCTATAATTAGCTCCAATTTCGATTGCCTTTTCAAGACAGGACGCCGTAATGGTTTCTATCCGTGCTTGAGAAGATCCATGGGTTTCATGCTTCAAATACAGAATGTCTTCAAATGCCTTGAGATCCTCTTCCGAAAGCTGCGGCTTAGTTGATCGAGACCACTTCGCCATTTTGAGATATATCTTGCTCTGAAAGACTGTCATTGTCTGTTCACTACCCGGCGACTTTTCCCAATCCTTGATTTTACCTAATATCCGTCCTGAAGTGCTCAGAGCCGTTGCGTAATCGTGCTTTGCCATGGCAGCCTTTGCTTCCTCTAATAGGATCTCTGGTGACAATGCTCCTTCCCAAGTCCGTGGAATGTTGCTTGCAAAATCATGGCATTCAGAACGTCTGGCTATCTTTGATAAGAAGAATTTGAATTCATTGGATTGCTTCAGGACCAAGGAGTCCTCAGTGGTAGCATGTTTTTTTGCCAAATTCACCAATGCATCCAGTCGAGCCCAGTATCGAAGGTCCTTGAGAAACAAATTCATTTTGAGTTCATCTGGAATCTGATTAAGTTGTTCCATGAACTCCTTCACTGCATAAGGTGTTGCTACACTTGATGTGTTCAACATCATAGTATCGAGCAGAGTAGCGCTGGCATGGCGCAATCCATTGTAGGATAAAAACTCTGCCGAAGGCTGAACAATTTGGAAAGCCTGTTGACGAATACGGTCTAGAATTGCAGGCTTCTGATCCAAGTGTTGATGGACTTTTGAGACAAATAGAAATGTTCGGCCCATAATCCCACTCCTGTCGAATACAAATACGTCAGGTACTAGTACGTCCTTGCCATCTGTTTCATAAAAATCTACTAGACTCTTCCACGCTTCTGTAGCTTCGTCTGCACAGTAATCCTTCAAGCTCTGGGCCACAGTATCTTCGCTCCATAACATTGTCTGATGTGTATAGGCATCAAAGGGTTTAGAATCCATGAATGCTTGAAGCTGTGGGTAGTTGTACAGATCACTTAAACTGTTGGTAATCTCCTGGCATAAGAATTCTGCAGGAGCATTGGCTTCATCCAGTCCATCGTCTTCAATCATAGACCCCACCAAGGACAATGCTTCTTTCGCTGACTGCTCGTAGCGGCTCTAATATTATGAATAAACAGAAAAAAAATATATAATTACTATGACAATTCAATAAAATACTGAAACCATATATAAGATACAAGCACTTGCCTGAGCATATAGTACAGCAGAATTGATCCAGTCCAATGATACTTGTGATAGAGCAAGGGCCTGACCCTCATTAAGGCATGCATTCTTGTACCTAGGATCTATCGATCCGTGCAGAGAGTTTAAGGGAAATGTCAGCTCTATTATGTCATTAGATTAGACTGATGAAGGATATAAACCATAAACCTTTACATTGAGTAGACCGCTCGGAACGAGAGTTCTTTGATTTGCCAGAATTGGAATGTTTTGTCATATCCTTAATTGCACGCCGACACCATATATACAGCCCAGTGATAGCATCTGATGCATTAGTCGCAACAAGTCCCTCAACTAACATAGAGAGCATCAAGTTAATAACCATAGCTATCAAATGAATTTCTTTATACAGGAAATAGTGATTTCCCATAATAGCATCGACATACCAAGATCAACCAAAATACGCTCAAACTCATCTAGCCACGGCAAAATATCATTCACAGCACCTCGACTGAGAGTGCTGAAATGGTCCGCAAGGAACTATTGGTATACCAATTATAAAAGAATCAACGACGGTCGGTCAATACGGACTTTTTGTCAATAGACTCTTTTACTTTTTATAACACCAGTGAGTCATAGTACCATGTATCCATTGCGAATTATAGTCTCGTATTCTCCAGCCATTTTAGCGCCTGCGATGATTCGACTCCTGATTCTTGAGAACCATTCATCCCACATTTTCTTATTAGCTCGAACGAAAACAATGCTGGGTTTAGGTGTCAAAGGAATGACTCCCAATGCGGTTCCATGATGAGCATTATGAATCTGTAATTCCAGGCGATCTATAAAAGTAAGAAAATCTCGTAATTTGACTAATTTGGCTGTGGCAGTGGTGTCTTTTCGATCAAATTGTAGGAGCGAGTTGAGTTGCTTTTCAAGAGCATCCAATGTCTGTTGTGGTCCTCCAAACGGCGTCCGTAGTCTTGATAGTACACAATATCTTGCTGTTTCCCACATTGACCAATACTTTAAAAGGCTGAGAGAGTGCTGGAAAGTTTCAACTTGCTCTACTGCAATCATGTCTAAGATGAAGGACATTTGTGGTAAATATCATGTATAAGTTTCTCTGCAAGGGATAAGATTTTTCAGTTTAAAAAACCCCACCTGCTCCAAGTTCAGCATTGACCTTTGCGATAATTTCTTTTCCTTGACACGAGTAGAAGAGTCGCTGAAACATGTCACCATCTTGTTGAGAGACATTGACATTGTTGCTTTCAGGGCGTTCAGAGCTCTCATCATGACCTTCCATCGACGAAAGTACAGCTGAAAAGTGTGGATATCTGAATATTCCTGAGTTTGGGCTTCGCAGCACAAGGATCTATGAAAGAAGGGTATAGAGAATGTAAGATCAGTTTACGCTAGTAGTCAGTGTATATAAATGTAAAGAATAGCGATTCCGTTCATACGAAATACCTTCAAGGCCCTGGCGATAGCTGTTTCAGGGGTGTTATAACATTCAATTGCAAATACAAAAGGATTTGTCTGCAACACGACATGCTTCCATGCATCTCTCACAAGAGGTGATACATCCTGAGACCTTAATACGATGAATAACTTAGTGTTAGCACCAAGTCAATAAAGGGACAAAATAAATGACCATACACGCTGTGTATACAAATTAAACCTACCTGTCTGTCATAGTCGCTAGGAACTCGGGTCCTAGACCAAAAGAACCGAATGCACCAATAAAGCTCTCAAAAATAGTAGCAATGGATCCACGTATCAAATCATCGTCATCGGCGCCTGCGATTGTGATTAGCTGATGAAGATTAGAGGATATGGCTCTCTTTAAAGCGACCCATGCTCCTGTATGAGGGACATCATCGCGATATCCCTGCATTGCCTTCAATATTGCTGATTCCCATGAAACCACACATATTTTTATAGATGATGGGAGTAGTTTCCAGTGAGTTATAAATACGTGAATAGCATCTAGCGAAATCCCTAAAACTGATGATTTCAAGTCATATATCTCCGCAGGATGTGCTAAGCTCTCTTTGAGCCAACCAGCTACGAAGTATTGGCAACTTGAGTGCACAGTACATGTACATGCCAAAAAAATAAAAAATGGTTTCGTTTGAGTCATGTTCAATTAGGCCGATCCCTATCCAGTCAGTCGCCCGATAGTTTGTCACATGAGCTTACCTGGCTGCTATCTCACGAAGAGCGTGGGTGGCGACCGCCAAACGAGATTCAGGCACAGTGTCAAGTGCTCCTAGTAATCTCAAGAAGATGAGGGAAGCTTCATCTGGCCAGAGTCGAGCCATCTCAATAAGTATCAAAATATCGAATGTAACGTTTGAAATCACTGCTGCTGTTGAAGATCCTGTGCGACGACAATCCTTAGGAGTGGCTCTACATTTTTTAGCACCAATAAGCCTGGAGTTTTCAAGTGTATCTTTATGCAATGTGTCGAGACTTTCAATAAGAGACATTAAATCTGGCACCTCAGATAAGCTGTTGCTCTGGCCTAAATCGTGGAGGGCTCTATCAACTTCATTCATAACGCTGCTCCAGGTCAACAGTAATACATCTGGATCATGCCCCTCTGTATCGGTTGGGGTCTTTGATTCAGGAAGTGATGATAGTATAATGTCAAGTATATCCTGAGAACGTTTAGAGTGTAGCGGTAGAAGCCAGCGTAGCCTCATAAAATCACCCTTTGGGTGAACTATTTCAAGCGTGACCATGGGATGAAGTCTATTTTTCCAAGCGGCAATAACCTGAAGGCAAGAGAGGGGGAAAAAATTAAATGACTGACTGCGGCAGGATCAAAACTAATGGGCTGACTGACCGTGAAGATGCATAAACTACAATGAGCCCATTCCCAATTCCATACGTTTTTCATAGTTGATGTCTTTTGACTCCATTGTGCCCTATTCATTCGTGCTGTTTCGAATTGTGTAGTAAGATATAATACTGCCTTAGGCTGGAGATGATAGAATGTATCTGGATTTCCTTGACTGAGCGTGAGAATGATATCGTTCCCTAAAGGATTCATAATGGTATGTCTGCGCATTAGTAATTGCTGTCTATTGTTTTATTTTTTTCCTTTCGGTTCTTTCGGAGTAAACAATATCCTCCGGAGGTACAACATACCAACCCCATCCAAGTCTCTCGACAATCTAGCAACCTTGTGGAGCATGTTGACTGCGTTATCTTGAATACGTCCTAATCGAGTCAGGTCTTGTGATGCATGGGAGATCAATGCTACGGCGATGATCTTGAAACATCTATTTCGTTGAACAACCAATCAAGACAAGAAAAAATAAAACATAATAAAAGCGCACTATATTGAGTTATCAGGCACAATCGGATGTACAGAAAGTGAGAAGGACATAAAAATGTAGAGATATAGTTTACCTCATCAATAGACCCGCAACCTCAATAGATGAGACAACATTAGTATCGTTTGTGTCTGCGACATTATCTATATCTTTGATAAAATACTCGAGAATGTCTTGGGCAAAATCCGCAGCATCGCGCCACTGAGCTGTAAACGACGAAAGAGTATCTAGTACGAAGTAAAGGAAGAAATAGGTCTGAGAGCTTGAAGTATATTCATCTTTTAAAAAAAACATTCGTAAAGCTATAATTATAATGGTATAAACCGAAATAATGGGGCAACGTACCACCAATACGTCTTCTCACGGCCTCACTTGTTCCTCGATCAATATACCATCCAACAAGTAAGTCTACAATTGCCTAGTATAAAGTATTAAAATGAGATTCTCCAATCAGAGGCCTGCATAAAAAAAAAAGAAGATCCAAAGCTTTTTGATATCCAAAAAAAGGAACAAAGCCATTTTTTTTTTCATTACTTTGAAATATGGTTCCCAAGCCTGTCTATGTTGTCCAGACATCATAGCCAGCTGATCCAATGCAGGTGGCAGTTGACAGCAATCCTTGGCATTATCGAGAAGATCCCGCATTTCCTCCAACATTTCAATGGCAGAATCATGATTAAATGTCCTGGATCCTAGGGAAAAAAGGTTATTATGTTATCATTGCAAGATTATTATTCTTCAAAATGATCAGTAATCTGCAATGTTGGATATCTTTTTTTTTTTTTTTTTTTTTTTTTTTTTTAAAAAAAAAAAAAAAAAAAAAAGTCTCGAGCTGGTTACCATGGATGGGCCGCAGCCCTTCAGGGGCTTGCTCGCGTGGCTGAGAATGAGGAGTTGCATAAGTCGCTTGAGCAGAGTGCTTTGGCTGAGGGCGACGGCGCACGTTCTTCTACGTGACATGAATATTGAGAGATCATAAAATAATAACATCATCGTTACCATAAGTTAAACCGTATTAGTTATTGAACTAAAAAAAGCAACCAAGATTTTTTTTTAAGGTAAAAGATCCCTTGACATGGACAGTACCATTGGCTTTCAAAAAGATCAAGATCAAGATGGAGACCGATTTGTGGTCGTTGGACAAAATGTAAAAAAATAAAATAAAAAAAGAGAGCAAGAAAGAAGAGGGAAAGTAGGCTTTGAGCCAATATGATTGAGGAAAGGAAAGAGAATGAGAAAGGGCTATTTTATTAAGAGTATAATTAGGGTTTTGGTAGGTTTATTCATGCAAATTTGGATTTGATCAGAAGTGAATCCAGCATTGTCGAGGAGTTGTGGTCTGGTCTGGTGTGAGGGGTAATGGTACGGTAGCGGTGCTGTTTGCTCGCGCTCGTCATGGGATTACAAGAAAAAAAGGAAAAAAAAGCAAAAAAAGAAGGGTGGTGTCTGAAGCAGAAATTCGACACGCTTAAACAGATATCAAGGAAGGAAGCTTAGAAATGAGAAACAACAATGCAATCAGTTCCTTTTCCTTTCCTTCCTTTTAAGAAAAGAGCGCGGAGGTGAGGTGTGACAAGTGACTGGCGTTTGTCAAATGAGCTTTCCACTTTCATTCCTTGTTTCTTGTTTGCTACTTTTCACACATTCCTCTCATATCTGGTCTGTCTTTTTATCAATTACTCGATCTGAAGCTAATCTTAAATACAGGTCATTTCAAAGTGGCGAACAGACAGGAATTACGACAGGCCAACCTCAGGGCATGGCATGAGAAGCCTGGTAAAAAAATAACAGAGAATGATGGGAAACAATTAACAACCAGGATTCATTCTACTGCATCATAACCTTCTTACTCTCTCTTTCTCATTTTATCTGCTTCCTCTGCTTCCTCTGCTTCTCTTTTATTTCATTATTTTTGCTTTCCTTCTTATAGACCCATCGGCTTTAAAGAATCTAGACTCCAACATCAAAAAGAATACGGGATTCATCAAAAAATGCAAAACAGGGCTGACTGCGGACGTATCCGCCCAGTTGTTGAATGATTTTAAGAAATTAAACCTTGAAAAATATATCTCCGAAATTGTTACGGCCATACTTGAAGGACTTTTGCGTTGCAAAGTCGGTGCTGATGTTACTGCGGCTGTTGAGGTAAAAGAAATAAAAATGCGTACCCATTCACTCGTTTTCTCATTGTGACAATGATAAATGAGAATTAAGACTTTTTATTTATTTTATTTTTTTTTAAAAAAACAGGTCATCTCTGCATTACATCAACGATTTCCAGATTCATTCACTCTTCTTTTCACCTATCACCTGGCTAAAGCTCTTGCACCCTCGCCAAAATTGACACATCAACAACTAGCACAGGCAGGAACAACTCCGGAACAACGTGAAAAGGAGGAAACGTCTAGAGTATTAAAACAGCGCGTACTGTGTCGTGTAGCAACTGAACTGTGGTTGGTGGGAGTATTGCGTAATGTTGAAGATGGTGTAGCCACCCTCAGCGCAGAAGGCACGTCTGGAGTCTCAACCAAAGCAGTACAAGTTACGAAGGATAATGTCGCAGGATTGCTGATCAACTCTGGCAAAGATTCCAAAGGCTCTTCAGCATCTTCATCTTCCTCTCAAGATAATGCAAGATCATTCCCTAACTTCATCTACAACGTCCTCCATGATTTGGTATGTCTTTCTCTTAATCTTTGGATATCTGGCAACTTTAGATCATTAACATATCAATATGATGTAAACTTTTTTTTTTTTTTTTTTTTTTTTTCCTTTCTTACTAAGCTTGCATCGGATAAGGATCATACGAACTTGCCTATTTTACTGACAGTGTTAAAGATCCATGGCAAAGACTTGACTGGGATCACATTAAGGAAGTCAAAGGCTGTGGCTGAAGGAAAGGATTCCTTAGAATCAAGAGCTACAGCAGCAGAAGGAAAGGATTCATCAGAATTAAAAGCTGCATCATCCGCTACAGAGGATACAAACTCTGCTCCAGTTAACAGTTATGTAGCGCCAGCACAACAGCAGATGTTCAAAACTATGTTTGTGGACTATTTTAAACGATTGGAAAACCATCTCATTCGTGACCACAAGGTAACAACATATAAACATCGCAATTTAAGGCCTCAACTTGCCTTTACTTTCGCTCTTAGGATTTTTTTTTTTTTTTTTTTTTTTTTTACTCGCCCGCACTCACCCTCCACTCTTAACTTTGTAGGAATTAAAAAAACTTGAAAGGAAGAATGAGTCGTTTCTTTTTTCAAAGGGAGAACTCTCAGAGGAACGTCAACAACAGTATGAGAAACAATTCAAGGCATTTGAGAAACTTTCTACCTCAACCCAGACTGTGGCAGATGCATTGGATCTAGACATGCCAGCCTTAGTAGATGAAAAAGATGATTTGATCGGTATTGTAGAATCCAGTGGCGGCTCTGATGATAAGGGAACATCCAGCAGTGTATTTGAAGATGAGGACAATGTGGCCTTTTATGAACAGATTTTAAATCTTGAGACACTCGTCCCCAGGCTCTTTCTCGAGACCTCAAAGTCGAAAAAGGATAAAAAAGAAGATAACAATGACGTCAGTGGAGACAAGGATGGAGACAAGGATAAGGACAAACAGAGCTCAGCTGATGGAGACAATGCATCCAAGGATGCTGTGGATCAATTGGATGACCTTGATGAGTCTGCGGACCTTATTATGGGAAATCTCGACGCAGAGTTGGATGAGATGGAAGTGAATGATAGTACAGGAACAGAATCCTTTTTGCCAGAAGAGACCTTTTCGACTATTCAAGAGGCTGCTTCGACAACTTCCAAGAGCAATGCTGCTCAATTGGATGCGTTCTTATCCAAGTTACCGTTGATGTGCAACAGGGACATGATAGATCAAGCAGCTGTCGAGTTTTGTTACTTCAACAACAAAGTGAATAGGAACCGTCTTATCAAGGTATTTTCTTCTTATTTTTCTTTCATCAGGAACATATTTTGATATGATCGATGAAGGGTTGCGCAATTGAGCCTTTATCTTTATTTTAAATTCGAGGACACATATTCATTTCAGTTAGATACAAACTTTTTTTTTTTTTTTTTTTTTTTTTCTATTCAAATAGACCCTTGTACAAGTCCCGCGTGACAGACACGATCTTTTGCCTTACTATTCGCGAATGATCGCTACTTTTAAACCTTTCTATCCAGATATTGCAGAAGAAGTCTTGGCTGCATTGGAGCGTGAGTTCCGAGGATTGTTACTCAAGAAACATCTTGATCTTTCGGAATCCCGTGTTAAGAACATCAAGTTTTTATCTGAGCTTGTCAAGTTTGGAATCACACCTTTACCCATTATTTTCCACTGTTTGAAAGTGCTATTGGAAGATTTTGTTCCACAGAACATTACGGTCGCATGTGCGTTGTTGGAAACATGTGGACGATTTCTGAAACTCAAGAGTGCAGCAACGTCTGCTCGATTGGATGGTATGCTCGACATTTTGAAACGCAAGAAGGCAGCCCTTCACCTTGAGCCTAGGTTCTTGTTGATGATTGATAACGCCTATTATCAGGTAAAAAAAAAAAAAAAAAAAAAAAAGTTTTTGAGGGCCGGCTGAAAAGGAACAAGGAAATATGTCTTTATATATATCCGATGGATATGACCGATCCTATGGGTTTAACCATTAACTACGTCATCACCACAAAATATATGTGAAAAATAGTGTAATCCACCGGAACAAAAGACTAGACAAAAGCGCGAAATCCCACCTATTGAGCAGTTCATTCGCAAGCTGTTGTATCTCGACCTTTGCAAAAAGAACGTGGAGAGTACACATAAGCTACTCAGAAAGCTGGATTGGAACAACAAAGAGGTAAATATGATTCTTTATATGAATCAAGTTTGTCTTTTTTATTAAAAAAAAAAAAAAAAAAAACTCACAAAATGACCACCCTCTTTTTCTCCCCTTGTTATACAACTCTGTATTGCATTTATATAGATCTATGACCTTGTTGTCCGCCTGTTTAGCAAGGTGTGGAAGATCAAGTTCAGCAATATTCATTTTGTTGCCATTATTGTAAACGGACTTAGTCGATACCACCCCGACTTTTCAATTGCCGTTGTTGATTCAGTTGTTGAAGCGATCAAAGTGGGCATGGAACAAAATAATTTCCGTCATAATCAGAGACGTATTGCGATAGTCAAGTTCCTGGGTGAACTTTATAATTATCGTATGGTTGACTCACCTTTGATTTTCAGTACTTTGAATACATTGATTTCAGCTGGTCATGGTAAGTTTAGTCTTTTCAAAAGAAAAACCTAGCAGCATTTTATTTCATATTCCTGTCAATTTCTTACATTATCATTTTTTACCAAAAAAAAAAAAAAAAAAAAAAAAAAAACCTTTCAAGAGCAAGGGCGTGCTTCGCCTGATCGCCCATCGCCCATCGATGCACCCCATGACAGTTTCAGAATTCGACTTGTATGCACGTTGTTGGATACATGCGGCATGTGTTTTGATCATGGAAGCTCCAAGATCAAGCTGGACTCATTCTTGGTGTTATTCCAAATGTATATTTTAACAAAGGAATCAATTCCATTGGAAATTGAGTATATGATTGAGGATACATTTACCGAGTTACGACCCAAATTGAGACGTTTTACTTCCTATGAAGAAGCTCTTGCAGCAGTGGAAGCCCTCCATGGACCACTCGACAGCCATAATAATAGTAATGCTAATGGCAGCGGTCATGATCAGACGATCCAAAATGATGAATCGGATTCTGAAGACTCAGAAGGAGACGATGATGGCGAGGATGATAATCAGGAAGATGAGGAAGAGGATGATAGTGATGAAGATGAGGACGGTCCAGAGGATGATGAAGAGGCCTCCCATGCGATGAGGCAAACTGACGATGAAGAACAGGCGGTCGTACTCACAAATCAACACAAACCTGTTGAAGCGGTTGATGAGGACTTTGAACGTGAGTACCTGAAGATGATGTCGGAGAGTCTGGAATCAAGGAAATTTGAGAGAAAGCATTTGGCGCTTGATGTGGCTATTCCAATATTAAGAGCTGCAGGTAATGTAACAGCGTTTTTATCTCTTTTTTTTTCTGTCTGTTTTTATTTGGTACGTGGCAGGCGCATTAACTTGTTCATTTGAATGTTAAATACAATAATAATTATAATAATAGATCGCCGTGAAGAACCTCAATTGTCGAACCCAGATCATGTTGCTTTCACTCTTCTGACCAAGAAGGGTAACAAGCAACAGTTAAAGACAGTAGGGTTACCAAGTGATAGCGCACTGGTCATCAACACTAGAAACCAGCGTGAAGCAGAGCGTGAGGAACAACAACAATTAAAACAGCTCGTCTTAGAGTATGAAGTGCGTGAAGAGGCCAACCAACGAGCCGGTAAGCGTTTTTTGAAAAATATTTAATCGGCTATTCGTTAACCTTAATTTAAAGTATTACACAAAATTATTATAGCAACCATGTAACACCTACATTTGCATTTATATTTTATTTTACCTTAGCATTGGAGCAATCGTTGCGCAACCAAGGTATCCGAATTAATTATGCTGAAGATAACAGACGAAGTGGATCGGGTCATCACCGTGACTCGAATCCCCCCCGTAGTCATGATCGACCTGATCGTGCAGGATTAGGACCCGATCCGATCAAAAACAACTCTCGATGGGCACGTAATCAATCTGTTGGAGTTGGAGCAGGCTATGGAACTGAGAGTGCATTGACAAATCTGGGCGTGGATGGCTACGAAAGGCGATCTGCTGGTGGTCAAACTAACCGAGGACGTGGAGCAAACTATGGAAGGTAATTAAAAAAAAAAAAAAAAAAAAAAAAAAGAGGTTGTGAATCAAATCAAGCTTTACTCTTATTTACAATGATTGAGTTTTTTTTTTTCTTCATAGACGGTGATTGATATTACATCGATTCGTTGATTTTGGGTTTTTTTTACACTCCTCTAACATTCAGCTAGAGTTGGTCAAGAAAACTTTTTTTTTTTTTTTTTTTTTTTTTTTAAAAAAAAAAAGCTTTTTCCATCTGTGTTTCACTTGTCAACACAATAGGTGATGAGTCATCTAAAAAAAAACCCCCCAACGACTCTTATGTCGCATTCTTCACACCCTTTGCGATCTTTTAGCTTCTTTTAAGCTTAATGCTTTGTAGGGAAAGGAACAAGACAGCACGCGCAGAATTAATTAAAAAAAAAAAAAAAAAAAAAAAAAAGAGATAAACCTACAGTCGCTTTGTAACATCTTTTTTTTTATATTCGTCTTTTATTACTAGTTTACAATAGATATCGGAAACAAAGAAGCAGAATAGGAATTGAGGAATGTTATTATGTTATGATACATGTCATTTGACAAAGGAAAATAATTAGTAATGGTAGCAGGTAAGAGTATTAGAAGTAAGTAGTAGTGGTAATGATGGTGGTGGAAATTACTATAGTGAAAATGAGCAGTAAAAGAAAGGATTAGAATAGCAAGGTTGTTAATAAGTTACTCCTGGAAGATTAGTGGATGAACTTGATGCAGAAGGAACGGGCGAAGTCTTGGGTGAAGTCCGTGGCGTATTAACGGTTGCCAATACTTCGATCCATGACTCATATCCTTGCCAGCCATTCCATGACTGTCTAGAGGTATTTGATGACGATTTCTTGATCTTTCTTGATGATGATGATGCTGCCGCTGATGATGACGAGGATGATGAAGAATATGACGAAGAAGACATTGATGTTGGTGATGACGGTGATGATGGCGAAGATCCTTCAGATCGTACTCTGCGTGCCTCCTTAATCTTGAGAGTAGAGAGTGTACCAACACCAACACCAGCAGTAGAGATATCCACAACTACACGACTCATCTCTAGAGATTCATCCATGGCTACAATGACACCTTCGTCTACAAATCGGACATCACTGGCGGAGTTATTACAACCACTTCTACTGCCGCAATCACTGCTACTACCAGCCTCAGACTCGTCATCCCCTTCGTTATCTTGATCATCAGGGGTGCAGAGCAAAGTCCGCTTCTCATGCTGCCTCAATGCCTCGATCATATCAATTTTGACGGAGCTTTGACCCTTTCGATCACTGTAATATTGTCCATATTTCAGATCACCATCATCTTCATCGTACTCATCGTACTCATCGTACTCTTCTTGTTGTGTTGGTAAGACTGAGGGCAAAAAGAATGAACCAATCCAGAATGCAATGACAGCATATGCTCCACCGCCTACTAAGTCGACTACATAATGATGACCTAAATACATAGTGGCCCACCAAATCCAGAAAACATAGCTCATTGCAAATGGGATCGACCTTGGTCCAAAAACATATACGACAAAGAAGGCCAATAAACAAGCATCTGCAGAGTGAAGGGATGGGAATGCACCAAAGACAAGAGGGGATGCTGTAAATGTGGTCTTGTACATCTGGACACCTAGAATATCATCCACTCGAGCTAATCCACCTGGATCACCTGGCATGGTATAAACTGCAGGTTGAAATCCTCCATACCTAGTCTCGTACCCTAAAAAAAAAAAAAAAAGAAAATTTTAAAAATATCAAGAATATCTTTAGATTTAGTCTATTGTCCAAAATGGAGATCGATGTACAGCTGGAAGAGCCCTGACCCTTGTCATCATTGTAGTTATTTAAACATGTGTACACCTCACTCTGCATCCTTGCATTCGATGGTCCAAGCCTTTTTTTTTTTAAATAGCATTAGAGCCTTCAATAATGATAAAATATATATTTAAACAGGCCTATCTATTCCTCGGATAGCTCTTATGCTCTATCTCTTCTCCCACCAAGATAACTGCTCAAAGCTTAAAAAAAGTGGATGGATGGGGCGGAATACTTGCATATGAAAGTAGTTATGGTAAATGCAGACAGATAACAGACAAACAATAGACAAGCAATTGAGAAAAGAAAAGAGTGTTGGAAGAAAAAAAGAATCGAAAATCAAACATCTCATCTTGACAAAGTTTGAAAAGATTGCTAAAGTCCCAGATAATTGTGAAATGCATCTTTTTTCCATTCCTCTCCTTTTTTGATAGAAAGTCAATTGAAGATTAAAAAAAAAAAAGGAGACAATTCAATGATGGAGCCCGGAAACATAACGCGTAACGGAGTCGAGATGCAGACATGCAAGTTAAACATATTTAGAGAAATAGCGTGTGATGATGTTTGTGTTTAAAAAATAAAGGAGAATCTGCCGGGACCGAAAATGTCTTAAAAAAAGAATTGGCTGTGCATTTTTTTTTTTTTTTTTTTTCTGGATTGTCATTGATCGATAATGTCGACTGTACTTACATGGCGGCGCACAAGGAAAGAAGATTTGGGTCAATACACCAGCCACGTTCATGTAACCGAACGTTCTCGCGTAGACTGGTAGTGTTCCCGATGGTCCGA